CCCCCCCAACGTTGTGATAAGGCAGGTAAATGACCTTTGAAACTCATTCAAAGTCATCGGCAAGCTGTTTATCAACTGCTTGCTAGTATGGCTGAAATCCAGATCTTGCTTCACTGTAAGTTACAGTTCTGTTGGTGAAGAACGTCCTTTTGGACCAGTGGTATCAGCATGATGTTAGAATGTATGAATCTCAGTTGCGCAACCCGAAAGGACAAAACAAATATACAAACTGGAAATTTCCACCATCGGTACGCCTAGCTTAGTATTGGTGTCATTTCACCATTCTCTTTGCGAAAAGAACTTCGAACTCACTTGTGACCCACAGCTTCGTCATGAAGGTAACGAAGAGCACAGCCCACGTAAGTTGGTTCATCTTCGTTGGTCCTGATCGTGATCGTTACTGGTCTTTGTTTTCTTGTAACTCTGTACCATGTATAGATACGATGTCTCATGACCTAACTATACAAACAACTGAGGTCAAAACGTCAAACAATCAGGTTAGCACGTAGGCAGTAAAAATGGTAGAAATGGCTTCACTCACTCGGTGATTTATTCGGGAACCATAGCAAGAAAATGGCCAGGCCTTATGACACCATATACACCTCATCATCATTATACATTATCATATTGTTTACACTTTCACCACTTCATTAATAAAGCTGGTTCATGCTAAAAGTCCCGTTATCACAGAAATCAACAACGCCTATAGTTACAATAGCCTGAACTACAAATGTTCCAGACCCTAAGTACGTAAACCGCGGGTACTCAATGCATAAAACACATTTGATCGTGTAGAATGGACGGGCATATCTCTATGGTCACATGTAGGCTTTGTCTTTACTTGTACGCACATCCTTGATATTCTCCTTGGTCTATTTCTGTAACGTGACTATAGGAAGTGCCTGATGCAAACATAAGACTTTACAAATATGAAAATTGATGAATACATTGACGTCTTTCCAAGTCCCAGATTTGAGTCTTTCCCTTCAACAGTCCAAGTCTTTCTTAAACTCCAGTAGCTGCACAGGCAGTAGTGTAGTGTTAGTGATGTACTGTAGTTTGTCCCGCCCCTGTAGAGTGGTGGTGAGGAAGGCTGCACTGATGCCCTGGATAAAGCTGCGGTATTTCTTGAGATCTGCGTCAGGGTTGATCTTACAAGCTTTGGCGAACTTACACTCTGTGGAAAAGAGTATGATATTTATCCTTTTACTTGCATATCCATATGTCAGAGTTAGAAGAATATTTGTTACAACAGAGGCCTTTTATTTGATTAATCTTGTCGTGCGGAAACAGCTGTTGATAGTTACTCAGTTGTTCAACTGTTTTGATCTCAAGCATCCACACACCGAGTGGTGATAAAGTATATATTGTGAAATGTACCTCTTATGAACGCGCATGTACATGTAATTTTACACTCGGATTGGTTTGTCATTTTGTTATTGGCATGTTGTTTACTTGTAAGCTTGTTCCTGGCAGACGGAGATGAATTACAAAAAAACAGTAAGTTTACTTACCTGCATACGTAGGAGGATCCAAGATCTCGCAATGGCCATGGCCCTGTGAGAGTTTGATAGGAAATAAACATTCTCGTTCTTACATGTACCAATTCTCAAGAAACTGATTTGCAGCGTCTTTTAATTTTGACATCTGTGCTTTGCGTGTAGTTTTTTTTTTCAGAGCAAAAAAGAGGTTTTTAGCCTCGGTGTGTACTTTATCAACTATATACTTTAGCGTATTTTAGCACCTATATGTAGAATTGTAGCCAGTTATGTATTTATAAATAGTATAGCGTAGCTTAAAGAGGTGAACTAACTCTTAGTCAGTAGTTCTATTCAACATTCTGTCAGACATACTTAGTAGTTCCCGTTGAACCCTATATGTAGAATTTAGATAGACCCACACCAGCTAGTGATCTTATTATCTGCCATACGTTGTACCTGTTACATTCGTTGTGCAATAAACAAACTTTGACTTGACTTGACTTGACACTAAAACAATAAGTATCCTGATACTAACCTTGACATTCATTACAATTTTCGGACACTGCCAGAAGTCGTAGAAGTGATTGTACCCCTCAGCGGGGTAGATGCACATGGGCTTTTGTGTCGAGAACTCCGTGCCGAGTATGAAAGCAGACATTCTAAACTTCACAGGGGTTTTAAAGTGGTAGCTGAATGGCTCCAAGAATAGTGCAGCCTGTTAAGAGAAAAACAACAAAACCAAAAGCTCGTTAAAAAAAAGGTTATTGTAAACTTTGAAATGAACTTTTAGAATATGTAAAACACATGTAAGTAAAGGCAAATGCATTTACATCTTAAATTGCTTTCCTTGCTTCTAACCTTTGAAAAAGTGTGATTCTTCTCGGTCATGTCCACGATAGGGTCACATCCTGCAGAGTGGCAGCCGACCGCTAGGTGGTCAAAGGCTGGTACCAGTCCACTCTGGTTGAGCTGCAGTGCGATTCTTTCTTCCAGGTGTTGTGTTACCTACATTTGCAAAATTCTTCACACTTGTTTGTGACCTTAAGATGTATCTAACTTTCCGATATTCCCGCCGATGTCTAAAGTGTAAAAATCCTATACAATAAACAAACTGCCATATAGTAATAATTGGTCATTTTCAGTTGACTCTTTACGAACGAACAATGGTTTAATTAATTTGTTGTCCTGATACATAACGTTAACCCCAAACTTTCTACGGTAACTATAGTTGGTTTATTATCATCTTTACTATTTCTAAAGTGTAGAAGAAGAAAGGCAGATGGGTACAGGTTTTATGAGACTTTTAAGTGAAATGTCAGATATAGTGTACATAGTATTAAAAGCTAAGTTATATACATGATACAACAGTGAAGTTCCGAACGTACCCACTGCAGTTCCTCCAAGTATTTCTTGGTCTGACTCCCTACTTGTCCCGGGGTTCTGTCCCTCTCGTCTGCGAGAGGCAAGTAGTCCACTCCGACCACAACAAACCCGTGACTGGCCACCGCCTTTAACACAATACTGTAACTTTCCACCGGTATGTATCCTAGCAGACCACCGGTGAAGAACAGGACTGCGTAGGTGTCGATCTTGTTGGGGTAGTAGACTGAAAAGGCGGATAACATTCGTGTATGTGGTCATACATGGTTTTATTATATGGATTACTATGAAAACAAATTCAACTAGAAAGAACCTTCACATGGTCTAGCATAAAAAACTACTACTCGGTTATTCTTACTCAAACACACTCATACTAGTTTATGGTGACTAGCCCCTCCAACACTTGCTACATAATGTAACCCAACATCGCAGGGCGTCCTCTAAAGCATCAGCTACCATGGTGACTGACGTCTGGTCCAGGTCATTGACCTTTATGTGTTTGCAGAAGAAGAAACAAAGCAAAAACAATGTTTTCATTCTGCAAAGGTAAACATAAATGCACGATGCACATATTGACAATGAGCAGACATATATCCACAGTTACGTTAATATTATTTGTTTCACCTTTAGTGAGCAGTGGTGCGTCGTGCTGGCTGATAGTTAACGTGTTCACCTCCAGGGTTCCGTTGTCATATGGATTCCCAGTGTCCACGTAGATTCCTTGGGCTGATAAATCAAAGACATAGGCATTTGTTTGAACCAATCTTTAGTTATGAGAAACCCAAAGTGGCCTACAGGCTGCTTTTTCATGGAGGTCATGAGGGAAGAGGTAAGGGTCAGAGAAAATTTCACCCAGGTATACTTCGTCAACGGAACAGTAATCTTTGCACCCAATACAAGTTCATCAAAGAGTAGTAAATCGTAATTAGTAAAAAAATTGGCCTTTTGTCCTACTATTACCGGCTAACACCCCTTTCTAGACCGATTTCAAATATTTGTTCAGCCTGCAAAGCAGTCTGGTGGAGACTAGCAACAGTCCATGGCAGATTGGACGTATAGTCCAACATCCGACGAATAAAGAAAGCCAATCTGAGGTCTCTGGATATATACGATAGGCTACTTGTTAACCTCACCTGTTGCCCACAGCGTGGCCGTGAACGTAGCAGAGAGTAAGGCCCACGTCAGTCGGTCCATCTTCCTTCAAGTTGGTCGCACTGGTACCCGGTCTTGTGTCTGATGATCCTCATGTGAACTATACTGACCTAGTTTACTGCACCCTTCAGGTCCAAAAGTCAAACTACTAGCAGTGAAATATAGTTAATATATGTGGGTGGGTCGTCAATTCGCGAGCAGATTGCACCAATGATATGTACCAAAAATATACCACACTGAAGGGTGGTTATACCAGCTACTACACAAATACAGATACATTCTCTTCTTTGATAAACTTAGAATGAGAAATAATCAAATGACACAAATTCGACTGGAAATGAGGTAGCAATAGAGGCATTTACGTGTCCAGAAGAAACATACAGAACATATAGATACGATAATATTTAAGTCCTTTCAGTAGTATTTCAAGCAATTTTTTTTGGGGGGGGGGTGGTCAAAATTTATTTCTGCGAAGTCATAAGTATGGACCATCATGGACCAACATTACCTCTTGTAGTAAATAGGCTGAACTGCAAACAGCCTTCGACCCTTGTACATCACGACCTAACTTAGTGGTGTCTGCATACTGTACTTTGGACCCCTTATGTGAGAAAGGTCAGCTGCTTATATATTATATAACCTCAGGTGTGCATTTTAATCATTGTTTAATTGTTTGCACACGCATTGATATCTTTCATGGTCTGTCTCTTCAAGGGACTACCGGCGATGACACCACTGAAGCAGAGACATTTGGGGGGTTTAAAGGGGACAAGATACGACAATAATGGTCAACAAATATTTTAAATATGGCTGTGTACCGGTACGCAGTACCGATACGGTACTGGAAAAATTGATTAGGTACAGGTCCAAATGATGATGTCTAGCTTCTTCACTGTGTCTACGAAGGATGAAACTCGTCGGTTCTATGAAAGCTTTTAATGAAGATAAAGTCATATGTCAGAAAGTACATGTAAATCTGCCTAATACAGGCAATAACATATACGAATACCTTACATAAAGTTACATTTAATCCCACAAACTACGTATAGAATATATATTTTATTATTTTGTTATTTTCAATAAAGATAATAACAAAATAACAAAGCCAAGTCATGGAATCATAGACGTTATCCAGAATCATGTCCAAATGCCGTTCCAAGGTCAAAATCTTGGGAGCCTAGAGTTCATTTTTTTCATGGCTTTCACATCCATACTTGTACCATGGCTGTCTTCAAAATACGTATTGTTAACCATTTCGACGGTCACCAAAATAAACTGTTGCCAGTGCAAGCATTTGGCACTGGATACTGCTGCCTAGCCTTCTTTCCATATTAGCAGTTCATGTCGTTCTTGTACTCCAGTAGCTGCACAGGCAGTAGTGTAGTGTTAGTGATGTACTGTAGTTTGTCCTGCCCCTGTAGAGTGGTGGTGAGGAAGGCTGCACTGATGCCCTGGATGAAGTTGTGGTACTTGTTGATGTCGACGTCTGGGTTAGTCTTGCAGAAGTGGGTTAACTGACACGCTGGGAGAGAGACAGAATTATAGAAAATTTCAATAACCTATTCCTATATAACCTTTATTGTACATTCATGCCCTATCTGGCTAAGTACAGGTGAACAGATGAAAAGGTATATACATGTTTGTAGTACAAACAGAACTATTGATATACTAATCTAACTACATCAGCTCTAAAACTACTCTAATACAGAGGTTCGCCTTCTTCTCGTTTCTTTATGATGTTGAAAATATAATTTGAGATGGGTTTGTTTAATACAGGATGATCAAAGCGCATAAGAAAGATGACTTCTTCAATATTCTTGTAATATATCAAAAAGATTATTAATAACATCCCAATCTACAATGTTCCTCTGAAATGTATGAAGCTTGGACGTTTTCTAGACTAATTACAGAAAATGGATTAGCTCCTCCAATAATGGAATGCCAGCCTCAATAATATGGATGCATGGTACGTATCTACTAGTAATCAATTTAGCATACAGTACTACGTTTTAGAGTTTTCGTGCTTGCTTCCTAATTGCTTCATAGAGAGGACAGTAGCCAAAACTTCTCTTAATATTTGAATGCGGGTTTTAGAATGACACCAAAGGTTGCATCTTACCTTTATACCAAGTTTCGTTGTAGATATCACAGTGGCCATGATCCTGTAAAAATGCAAAACCGTATTGACAATAACCCATGCAAAATTACTCAATGGAAATTTGCTATGGGTGTCTCTCCCGGTAAAAACAAGTGTTCATTAGACACAAATACCCGTGAAGTTGCAACACTTTTAGCTGAGTGGGTGAAGGTGTATCGTGTCAAAGTTGAAAGTTAAACTTTTGATCCAGCAAAATAAAGTTCTTTCACCTAGAGCTTTCGACAAGATACTGTGTCAGTCCACAAAGTAGCCTGGGTGCCATCCCCAGTAGTATATTCGCCAGCTCTATAACTGTTATAGAGCTGGCGAATATACTACTGGGGATGGCACCCAGGCTACTAAGAAAGACCAGAGTCGAAAGCTCTAAGTGAGAAAACTTTATTGTGCTAGATCAAAAGTTTTAACATTAAACATCTGTATGCTTCATTTATATGCTTACCTTGACTGCTATAAGCATCCGTGGGCATTTCCACATGTCGTAGAAGTGGTTGTAGCCCTGCCCGGGACGGACGCACGCGTGCGGCTGGGTGGACAACTCCGTGCCGAGGATGAAGGCAGGCATTTGGAACGGCACCGGGGTGGCGTAGTTAAAACTGAAGGGTTCCAGCAATAGGGCCGCCTGTTGAAAAGAAATTTAAAACTAAGCAATTGTTGATGAAGAGTAAGGTTCTGCTTACATTGCACGCCTTCGTACTACAAGACATTCGATGATTATACTTATTTCAAGATATCAGAGATTTGCTTGAGAACAAGGGATACACTTGTATGAGCAATGACGAACTAAAAATACATCATTTACCCAAAAGTGTTGATCTCATTTTATAGAATCCTACTGTTTTTGTGCACGTGCCTTACAATGTCCCTTCTTATCGGTTAACGATCCCAAAGGCCACATGTACCTACGCTTATCTACATGCAGTTGCTATGTCAGTTATTAACCTTTGAGAAGGTGTGATTCTGCAGGGTCATCTTGACCAGTGGGTCACATCCTGCAGAGTGGCAGCCGATCGCCAGGTGGCTGAAGTCCGGTACCAGTCCCGTCCGGTTGAGGTGCTGTGCGATTCTCGCCTCCAGGTTCTTAGTTACCTGTACGTAGAAAGCAGTACAATGTATGTGGAAAACTTCTGTATGATGTCTACTATAATAAAGACTAGAAAAACAAATAGCCATCAGGAAACAAGCGATGGCTGAGTAAAAGGATCTGTTGCATTCATCCATTACTCCATCGCAAACGTTAGGTGATCTTAGGTTGACTTGGTGGCATTTTCCGAGCAGCAATAAGTCGAGAACTTTGAAAGCAAGTAGAAGAAAAGGGTAACATTTGCAAGACAAATTCATAATGTTCACCTTCGCATATGGTCTGGTCTGTTAATTCTTACTCAAACACATTCATATACATATATGGTCAGACAGGAGTCTAAATCCCTCCTGCTATAAAATTGCAACATGATGCAACCCAACACTATTTACCATCACAGACAGTCTGGTTCAGGTCATTGACCTTTTTGGTTTGGAGAAGAAGAGGAAACGTAGCAAAAACAATATGTTTTCCTTCGGTAAACATAATAAAGGAGGGTCAAACGACATGTTTTCTCTTGGAAATGAGGAGACTTGTCATGTAGAGAAAGAAGATAAAAAGTTTATTTACTACGTACCCACTGTAGTTCCTCCATGTATTTCTGTGTGTGGTCTCCTCCCAGTCTCTGACTCCTATCCCTCACGTTAGCAGTCGCCGTCACCATGGGCATGTAGTCTATCCCGATCACCACAAACCCGTGACTGGCCACCCGTACTAACACATCGCTGTACAGCTCTGACGGGATGTCTCCCTGGTATCCGCCGGTGAAGAACAGGACGGCATATGTGTCGATCCTTGTCGGGTAATAAACTGTAGAACATTTTCGGATGAAAATGATATGGCCATTATTAATTGCTCGTAGTTAGAATCGCAATAGAAAGGTATGTTAGTATTTTTATAAGAGCACAGGTGTGTCATCTATGTTGATATCTGCCTTACCTTTTGTGAGCATGGGAGCGTCATTTTGGCTGATAGACAACGTCAGGACCTCCAGAGGCCCTTCATCGTACGGATCCCCATTGTCTACGTAGAGACCTTGCGCTAAGGAAAATAAAAAAGACAAATCAGGACGGGGCACACAAAGAGACATAGTACTTTCAATGGCAACTTAAAGGTACATCTCCTTTTTTGCACTTCTTCTTCTACAAGACTCTGCAGTTATGAACCATTAGTCTGCCTATAATTTGGCGCTTTACTGTATAGAGCTAATAAAATTTGTTAAAACTGGCCAAATAGGAAAAGTAGCATGTCCGAGGATTGTTCCATAGTCGGCCAATAATTAAAGAAATCTCCTTGTTTTTTTTTTTCAGCCAGAATAAAGGTGAGGCTGAAACTATACGTCCTTCGTATTCTCCAACCTTTGTGCTCTCGACACTCAATGTCGTGTAAATGTCCTCCAAACCCCAGGCCGTATAATTAAGCAAATGTTTCATCATGAATGTTCAAATATTGTCTTATATAACCACTGCAAAAGCGCTTACTTCTGTCAATTTTGACCCAGTATTGCGGGTCACGGGTTCGAATCCAGGACACGATGTCGGTGACCTAAGCCCTGAGTATACTGTTAGTCAGGGTTGTAGTTCTTCTGAGCTGACCTGACAATATAATGATCTACCTGTAGTTTGGGGGAAATTGTAAGGTATTTGCGTGTTTTAAGCTTACAACTGTCCCCAAACTACAAGTAGATCATTACATTGCCAGGTCAGAAGAAATACAACCCTGACTAACGGGGTTAGGTCACGGACATCGCGTCCTGGATTCGAACCCGTGACCCGTAATGCTGGGTCATACTTGACATTAGTAAACGCTTTTGCATTGGTTATATAAGACTAGTCCATGTTATTTCTTATCTCTAGTTAATAGTACTTGGGTCAGCGGGGTTACTGTCGGTTGCCGTGTCCATATTTGAAGGTAACATCCCTCTAACCATGGCCAGTACATAGCATGTGCCCATATTTGTGGATTCGTCTACTTTCCTCGTTAACAGTGTCGTTTGGAGATTTTAAAAAAATGGATAGCATGGACATGTCTTCATAAAAAAAATTGTCAGTGTAGCGTCAACCGTTTGAAATTCATGCTAGTTCAAGCATGAAGTTAATATGCGTCTTGGCGCATGGGGCAATAGCTTGATCTGGAGAAGTGGAGAAGCCGGGTTAACGGCATGGTATTTTTGTGGCATTCATGAGGCGTCACAGCCGTAGGTCTAGGTGGTGATCCCTTTTTGGATCGGGCGAAAATCAATGCGCGCGGGGATGTCATCAATAAAATTAAATCAGTGTGGCCTTATACCCTTACTCATGTTTCGACATTGGCTGCATGTGTCATTGACTTTCCGACACAGACCTCAATTCATCAAAACGCTCGCACAAAAATGGCTTCTATATCAAACCTCAACGCACAGTGCAACTTCCACATAACGTAAGTAGCATTAAAATCATAGTACGGAGGACAACCTCTAATAACTCACCTGAGGTCCAGAGCCTGGTCAGGAAAGTGCCGAAGAGGACTACCCACGGAAGTCGGTACATTGTTAGTACTTGGTATGTGTGATTGTCCAAACTCAAATCGCCAAATTAGCCACCCCTGGTACCTTAACTATTCAATTACCGCTTGCTGTACGCGTGTGTCACCTTTAAAAACTTTAATTAGGTCAGCCACGCCTCTAGGTCTCTGAAGGTCATCACGCCTTCATCACGTTATTTGTCTAGTGAACTGTGGCCAATATAGGGTATAAGGGGTAACTACTTTATGTAAAAAAAACTGAGGCTCTCATAGAGTTGGTCTTAACATCTCTGCATCTACACGAAAAATCAAAACGTATGATATATTCTGACGACAAAATAATGAGCATTGTCACCAGAAAAATAAACAGCAAATTTATAAGTGATTTTTTTCGAGTCTTTGTTGCCCCTTGAAAGGTCCTCGGGTATGGATATTTGCCAGGTGTTAATCATTGCGCATGCTCACGTTTTCCCAATGTGGAAACAGCGCAGTTTTAATCAGATGGGAAACAGTGTTATCACCTTTGTTATTTTTACTCCGTGAAGGAGGCCAGTGAACTCCGACACTTGTCAGTGCGTTTGCAGTATGACTCACGACACTTCTGCTGCATTCGTATGCTGCTTGACATGTCGTCTGTTAATATGTGCGGAATGGTGTGCATTTTTTACACCGTACCAGATTTAATAGGCCATGTAATATTTCAGAAAACATCTTCTTGGAATTGTGGAACAGGTCATTAATGCTGTTGGCCTTTTTTGTGTATCTGAGTTTGGTGATGACAAAACATGAAAGGGCAAGATACACTTGGCCATGGGGCACAATCTATCTTCGTCGACATGCGATGTGTTTTGTGAGGTTGCCTACACTATTTTCCTTCTGTTATGTAGAGTAAATTCTCCTTGGATCATTTGTCTGTACAACCATGCTTCTATGTCCGCAAAAATTGGCTGAGCAGGCTGACTTTCTAATGACTAGTCAACAGCGCCTCTTGTGACACCGGCCATAACTGCAATAAGGTTTATGCATCATACGTAAACGGCATGCAAAGACTTGTACTACGAATGTTCAAATCCCTGCATACAGTTGAAACACCACGACAGAAATTTACGGTCAGGAATAATGGTAGAAACTCGCCAGAAGGCATGATAATTTTACAAGTAGTATAGGTGACTATCGGATGCTTGAATCGTTCAATTATTCTACCGTTTTGGCCAAGCCCCACTATTGTCCCAGTTCGCAGAAGTTTGCTGGGGACTGTCCATGATCCTATCTGATTAATCCGCCCTTGAGGCAATGTTGTTTGCTGTGTGTGTGGACCTACTGAGGCACGAAGGCCGGCTTTTAGGCAGACCGTATCACAATGGGAACGCGAACAGTAGCTATGACCCTGATGCGCTCACAAAGTCAACAGTTTTACAGGGTTAGGGCAGGGCAGATTCATTTCACTTCCGCGGGCTTATCTCTATTCAAGGACAAAGTGTTTATTTTTGAAAGGTATCTCTCACAACCTAGCCTTTGTACCATCCGGATTTTCGCTCCGCAACGCTCGAAAAAAAATCCGAATGGTACCCAAGCTACTTACAATCTCCAAGCTGAAAGAAATCATGTTTAAAACTTTACGTTTATTTCTGAGTACTCATGCATGGAAACCAAGCATAACTAGTTCATACTCAACCCGTCAGTGTGCTATTGATGACATAACCCAGGGTTACCTAAGCACAAGTCTGTCGTTTGAAAATGACGTCATCGCTGCGCTATGTTCTGCCCCCCAGTCATGCTTGTGGTGCAGTGCGTGCGATTAGCGCTTTAGAGCCAAGTCTTAACAAGACGACAACAAAGAACAAGAGACGAAACACCTTGTTTAGAGGAGGCTTACGGCATAGCTTACATGTCACAGTGTCATCAGATCCCCAGTCAGTGGAAAATGGCGGAACGCGCGCTGGAAAAACAGGCTGCACTTTGCCTGGAGATCCCCAGCTCGGCGTAAAGCATGCGCGAAGCCGTTGGTGGTCCAGTCAGGACGCTGTCGTGCCGTGGTGATAAAATACAATGTGTCTTCTGGTGGCAACACGTTACGCTTTCTCATTTTTTTTCCAAAATATGTACTAACAATTATCTACATGTGTACAATTCCGGCACCTGCTTGACATATTCGATATTCACCTGGACAGGTTACCAGGTGTTTACGAGCTTTTGACGCCCCCACCTGCTAGTCTTTGACTGATATGGGCTAGGGTGCGATTTCAGGCACCGTTTCAGGCGCTCAATATTAAGGTCTCGTCAAACAATACCGTATAATGAAAATAAGGAGCTTTTCAAGTCAAAGCTTTTAAAACCCCTTTACTGATGGTCAATCTTCTTTCGCCATGAGCACGATTCAGCCATCCTTTCATACTCTATTATTGTGACTGACTGATTACCAACTTCCAAGAAGAAGATTACCAACTTCCGCTATACTACAAAAGCCATACCAGGTAACCGTGTTGGTTTAGGTGAGCATAGTGTAACAACAGCAATATAGAACTACAGGAAGAAGGCATAGGTAGGCCAAGACGTAGGATGGGTTAGGTTTAAAATGTCGCCTGAGACGCCACTATGATAATCCATACGTACCCATTCACGGTCACATTCAACATTTAGTATACCTACATACTAGCTGCCTAACAAACGTCGTCTTACAAACGTTATCCCTTCTTTTTTTTTTGTATCAAAGTCGCGTCCAGATGTCATTTCCCATGTATTAAGTTGCAATATTGACAGATACTTCTCCTTCCCGCACAGTGCATTTAGGCATCAGCCGTTGCCATAGACGAATCCAACATTGTCAAAAGACTGCCGAAGACCAAGATAAACACAATGATTCTCCTTTCTGTGTGCAGATCCGTCACGTTCTGACATAACTGGGTGAAGTCTAGCGTATACAGAAGCGCAGGGGTCAGGGAGAGCAGAAACAGGGAGCGTGCGAATGTGCCGGGCGCGCTGACGCGGAATCAACACGCTGTAGGGCTGGTATTAACTCTGCTCAGCTCATAAACACACGGCACAGAAAAGCAGTAAATCTCTCCTCAAGTTTACTCTCTTTGGCACTAACACGACGGCTGAGTGCCGTATGTTTGCTCCAAGTGCTGTAAAACGATAGTAAATAGCGCTTTTGTATAACGAGTTTCCGTTTTTTATACTCTGTAATGGGGTCAGGAGAGTATAATTAGGATCCATAGAACTACGGCAAGATAAGGCGATTACCGAGGTAATTTCATGCGTGTGCTGTTAGTAGGATTCACAACGGGGCAACGCTAATGCTAATAGACATTTCCTGAACAGTACTAATGGCATTAGAAAATTAATGTACACTGATACCCCTTCTTAAATGGAGGTGATACAAAAATATGACACTACCGCACAAAATGAGACATCTTGCCACATGATCGACTGTACAAACCGACTACCATGTAATCACGGTAAGTGGCTATTACAGACTATTATGTTTCATATGTTGTTTGTCCTAAGCTTTTTGATAAGAAAGAAAGATATTTGCAGATGTCTTGAAACGCTTAATGGCACGCAGAGAGAACAGAGGTGTGTCATTGATTTGTTGTTGTTTTTTTACATCAGAAATAGCCAACTACTAAAGCTATACTACTTATAAACTATTCGTGGATTTGCAGGAAGGAGCCTCTGTGATTCATTAGAAATTCCTCTGTATCATTTCTTAAATCTCAACTGAGTAAATGTGCGTGCTTGAAATACTAGTACATTCTAGTGAATTTTTTTAGTTTTCTCACAACAACTGGAAACGTCATTGTTGAAATTTGGGTTTCGCGTAACCACAAAGCATTCCAACAACAGGACGTTATCTGTCGAACAAGCCCTAGGGTGTGGTCAGCCAAAATACAAATATTAAGACAAGGCAAGGACGTTTCACAAGGGGCAAACTATGCAAAATCCCAAACGCGTTTCTATATCTGTGTGATCCGCTTGTGACTGTGTACCATTCATATCACATAACGGCAAGAGAGAGTAAAGAACTACCGCAGATGTCCCATTGTTAACTCACAAGCTATTTTGTCCAAACCTCAAAGGACCTTTCTTTGTCAGTAGAGCGAACACATCTGTTACAAAGCCGGGAGAGCTTGTATATGACAAATTTAGATATCATATAAAAGATTTAAATATCAAAACCGACAGATATTTGCGACAAGTCTTAAAATCTGTACAGCTGGTCTTTATTTTTTCAAACTTTACATAACCGTCAGGCGCTGCCCGGTATGGGAAACGAGGTTTACGTATAAACAAACTTACAGATGTTGAGAAAACGGGCGACACCATCTTGTCAAGATTCGTTCCACACATATGCACCTATACAGTCACGGCATTGACAGACGTTTTCTTCTTTTCTTTTTTTCTTCCATCTAGTTTGTGTTGAAACCGCTGACAAATACGAACCATTCAGTCATAGTCGAAGAGCAAGGAAAACATCATGAATGGAGAAGCAGCGATACCAACACAAAGGGTTTGTTTTGGCAGGGTGTCCGACTAAAGGCTGTGTTGCTGTGATATTGACTTGGTTGAAGGAGTCGGCAGGACAGTTTGTGTGTCTTACTCCGCCCCATTTGTCGCCATCCCCGGCAGGTAAACAATCGCTGCACGGCATTCGTCTCGCGTCTGTAGATAGCAATGCCAGCGGAATGTACCTTTTACCCCATCACTCTACACCTTTCCCTGGTGTAGGGGTTCCATATCTCTCATACAAATCACTTTTAGCCCGCTCCAGGTCCGCTGGAGTCCTTATGTTGGCCCTTTCCATGGCCGCGGAGTCTCTGAGGCTAGATTTTAACATGTTCCACCCGCGAGTAGCCGGGTCTACCCGGTCCTCGGACGCCCTGCTCTGGGGCCGACTCCCGATGCTCAGCACTGAAGCCCTCCGCTGGAGACGCGGTCTCGGCGAGTCGGTCACAGATCTTGGCGACCCCTTCCCTTCCTTAACGTTGTAAAAACTTTTCTTGAACTTTTCGCTAAATTGAACATCGTTGTTATCAGTTTTCACCTCCTCTGGGACCGAGAATATTTTAGAAGTAGCCCGCATGAGAAGTGACTCCCTAGGGGACTTTGTCAACAGGTTGTTGCTTGAGGCAGATCTCCGGTTGGCGCCCAGCTTGGCGATATTTTTGAAGCCCATTGCCGCCGTGCTCAGTCCCATGGCCCGGCCCCATCTACCCCGGTTAATTTTCTTCTTCTCCACCGTACCCGGACAACCGTGTTTTTCCACGAACATGTCCTCAACCACTTGTTTGAACTCCTTGCTAGATTTGTCGGTGACTAGTCTATAACGATGTCTTCCAGTTTTCAAGAAATGTTCCCTGTCGTAAAAGTAGTTTCCCGCATTGGGGCCACTTTCTCCTAGTCTGGGCGTCGATCCTCCCCGCTCCGGAAGACTGAGCGACTTAGCCAGCGGATGTTTTGTTTTTCCTTGTGGACCCGTAGGTTTAGTTGATGGTTCTGTGACTATTCCCCAGGCGGCCTTCTTCGTGTTCAGAACCTTGTCTGTTCTCGGGAGAATCGGGACAGTCGCGTTCCTGTTTCTTGACGGCGGGCGGGAGCTGGTGTCTCCAGATTTCGGGCCGGTCGCGGCGGGCAGCTCCGGTGCGCCTACGGCCATTGTCTTGACTTCACCGTGCTGGGAGATCCTCGAAATAAGGGATGCTGCCCTCCCGTTCTTATACACCATTGAACTGCAATGTTGTAGGTTGTTAAGTGTTCTTCACGGTGAGACAACTCGGCGGGTACGCAAAACCTACATGATTCCCGTAATCACGAGGAAAAGTGCTGTAACAAACCAAAACAACCTGTCCGGACGGCGCCCTGCTGCGATGTTCGTGACGACGTTACTGTTTGTCGTTCTGCGGTTCCGTACACACTGGCCAGCCGCTCACCGTCAGTCGGTACACCTCCACTGAGTCAGAGTCCCACCGCACTACGTGTAGCACAGCACACCACACATGGCAACACAATGGGCTCGCACTGCTCTTCTGTCGGTGTGTAAAAACAACAATCCCCGCATTCGCTTGGTACCGTGACGGTGGGGGCGCGCGCCCGGTAATTATGGTCTTGTTTGGCCACGCCTTTGCCTGCACCCACCTGTCAATCAAACGTTCCATAAACATAGACTTCTAGAGCAAGTCACTCTCACTGACGTAAGGAGATAAAGTTATCTTCAAAATGAAAAACAGGAAACGGTCTTAATTGTCTGTTATTCATGTAGTGCTTCTATAAAGTACGCGTCAAACTGACATTGCAAACACAGAGGCACTGTCAGGCTAGTGCCTAACGCCTACATGTACCTGTTGCACAGGTAAGCTTTTAGTTCATACAGTTAAAATCACAATCGCTGACACCACGGATTACACAGTGCACCTACACAATCGACCGGAACGCTATTCCCACGCAAACCTGCAATCAAACGACTTACTGACATTATGCATCTTGCTCGCTGTGTGGAGCTAAAATAATTTCCTAGGTTTAACACAAAAGCTGGCTATAATTGGACGCTGGCATTCTTAACAGGTGAACAACACTTTGTCATGTTGCTTTTGCAGAATTGGTTTGACCTGTCCCCTTTTCTTGTCCACAGAAAAAGCAAAGCGATTAAAATGCAATAGACTGTCCTTGTAACAACGTACAGTGTAGTTATCAATGTTAGAATTCGTTTTCGTGCCCAGCGATCTCACGGTCTATATTTGAACACTTCATGCATTACATACACATTATATATCGATGCTATGTATGGTTTTAAAATGTATATTGGTATTTTTTGCCTTGGGCATTTTGATTTGGAACAGGTATTTAGGTAGGATTTGGCATGGATTATGGACATATGCTTCATTATGAACGAAACCACTGATTACAACAACGTACGAGTAACGCAACATGCCTGTCTTCCAAATCAAGTCGTCAGAAATCTGCATACAACTTACTGTTACAAAACACAAAAGTGCGTGCACATTGAGGATGGCACATAATACACAAAAACACAAAAGTCTGTACAGATACAGATACATACAAACAAAAGTGCGCATTCAGGATCCGGATGGCACATAATAATTTAACTTAAAAGCTCCGCTACATAGTTTGATGATACCAACGCTGTGATGTCGCAATTTACACAACATAATTCAGACTATAGAATATCTTTGTAATTGTCTTCATTTCTACATTGTAGTGGACCAGGACACAGTGAAAGTTCAGACTTTTTGTGTTTTTGTTATTTCAAAGGCCATATTTTGTAGATCAACACTGTATTGTCTTGCCCAGAAGATAAGAAAATCCTCTTTAAGGTTTTCTAAGCCTTAATGACTCACCCGGTGTGGGTACATGATGTTTTCACCTCCATAAATGAGAGTAACGTTTTGCACCTTTTACGACTTAACAATACTTTCCGGATATATATCAATCGTCTTTCCAGTGTACATGTAAAGTGTGGCTATAACTCTTGCCTCAAAGGTCCGTGTTTACAATAATTTAAAAAAACATGTTTTCCTGATGAAATAGCCCTGAAGGCCGAATTACCAGTACCATTTTTGTTGTGCCACCGGTGTTTAAAATGCCAATCAATTAGAGCGAATGATTGATTACATACCAAGTTTTCAACAACTTAAATACTCTTGCTATTTTCACTATTCTCTCCAGTTTCTAATGGCCAGTTGCAAACATATACTTTGTGTTACCCGAAGAGTATTTCTTGTACCATGTCACAACTTACAACATTGTCAGGGCATGCTATTATCTTATTCAGTCTATTAGGTGAGCCGTCCTGAGAATACAAGTCTCCAGTGTACATGTATGTTGCGTAATGCTAGTAGTTTTAAGGGCATTCTCTTCAAAGCCCGTCAAATTGCTGTCCTAAGCTTAAACAAGCGCGGGCTTCCTTCTATTTTGAATGTAGATGAAACCCTTGACAAGGAATGCACTACTCTAACCCCTGCCAAGATTGTATATAAGGTACAGGTGTTTCTTTTCTGTGCGCGGGGGGTAGAAGATGCCACTAGCTAGGTGGGAGATCTGTTCAAACATAATAACTGCCTTGTTGGACGATCAATCCACGGCGGCAAGACAGACGTCAGGCGAAAGCTTCAATTATGAACTATTGTGCGGGTCCCAGAACTGTTCATCTGTCTTTCCTGTCAGTTCTTATCCCCTTAGCCACTATAACCTCACGTAAAGCCTATCATGTGGGTTTCCATTAGCTTCCTACATGCCTGACTTACTCCGGACTTACTCCAACCCAGTATTTGGAAACGTTGCTGGGCACATCTGTCATAACAACTTAGCCTCTACCAGGCTTTGGGAGGCTGATGGAAAGAGTAGAAAGGGTGCAGTAAACTGTACTCTAGCGGACCAAACAACTCCCCTGGCATCTTCTCTAGCTATTTGGCCAATTTCTACTCTTTCTAGCCGCCTGGTAGAGGCTAATAACTGTGTCTTCGGAGCACTGTCAACTACCAGCCTTCTATAAACAAAGGCCCAGTCCTTGTGCACGTGTACCGGCAACAATTATTGCATGAGAGCAGTGGATTAACATTGGTGTAGATATATTAACGCGTTCTTTAGGTTATTGACGAAATAAGCTTGTAAGAGTCTGTTTTCACCGTAGTGTGTTTATCAGAAAGGAAACAGCAATCTCATAGTGAGTAAAAGTCAACAGTTTTCTCGAACTCAACAAACAAAGAAGCAAATATCTACACAGTTACGTCTGTCCGTCAGTTTGAACGGGTACAACAGAGCTCAAAGGATTCTGCCATAAGTTGACGTCTATGGCGTCGATTAAAATTTATTCCTTTCTTTGTTTGTTTGTTGTATGTGACCTCACTTGTCATGATTCCAAACAATGCTGACGTCGCCACAACAGTCGGGATCCTGGAGAGAAATGTTTTCACCAAAGTGGAACAAAACTTACATGATGGACTAAATTTCACTCATCTTTAGGAAATTGAAGACAAAACCGACTGGCTTTCATTTCAATGTTGACAGTTCGCCTTGAAATCTCTTCCTTCTTAGTTGTTGTATCTGCCAATGTTAAGACGGATGTCCCGAAATCTCACTGTTGAAATCTCAGTTTTTTTTAGATGTTGACAATTTGCCTTGAAATCTCTTCCTTCTTAGTTATTGTATCTGCCAATGGTAAGACGGAAGCTCCGAAATTAATCCCTAACCCTAAACACCATCGTTACATGTATATCATAGCTATGCACAGTTCATTATTACAACATTTCTAAATGGTTAGTACTGCAAGTGGAAGGGAAGGAGAAAGGCTGTGTGAGAATGGGTAAAATGCCACAGGAGATGTTTCTGTTCGACCTAAGGTTACACAAAGGCGCGGTGTATAACTCCGTTCCGCTGAGGTGCAAACAGACCCGTTCCCGTGACGAGTCCTACCACACGTGACCGTCCTGTGTGTCACACATGTATGTCAGCTAACCTACATTGTAAAACACCTGCACGCAAAATGTAAGCCCTGAAGGAAGTCAAGAAAAACATCGGCAGTTTCAGTCTGTGTTTCTGATGATGCCTTTGGTAACGTTACGCTGCCATGAAAATTTATATGTACAAATATGCATGCATATTTGTACATATGAAGAGAGCTAGAAGGAAGCTCTGAACCGTCTTGTAATGATATACTCGGACAAAAACTCAAGGCTAACTTAGAAATAATAGAGAGCAATTTATGGTATCGGGGACTTTCGAACATAAACAGTTTGGATATATTTATATTACAATAATCGCGGATACTGTTCGGTTCTGTTAACGTTTATCAAAACAACGAGATGATTTGACTGAAATATCCAGTACAATAAAATCTCTTACTCTCCCATTCCACACACAAACACTCTTCACTATTTACACACAAACCAAGACGGACATGTATGCAAAACAGATTGTCAGGCACTGCAAACACGGTGGGAAAAGTGATATAAGTCTGTAAATAGGTCCTAACTGGGTTATTGCTCGAGTACAGGCGCTTCCCTTTGCTGTGCGCTTAATAACAACAACAGAACAACATGAACATCTCGCTATCAACAGGATCAGTGTTATGACATGCACCTGCTGGTTCCGTACATTCACAAAGTCCCACGGGTATCTGTGCTGTCACAAGTATGTACCAGAGTGATTCATCATTTGAGCTGTATATCGTTTGGTTCAATTTTTCAGAAAAGGCTTTTTGATGGATGCCTTTTGCCTTTTTGGCTTTCCTCTTGTTTTGTTCTTGTTCTTTAGTATTACATCTTCGTAGTATACAATTGACGCTTGTATATGTACTGTGCACTCGACGTGTAGAGAGTGCACAGACGTGTAATTGCTTTGGTTAGCTTTTATATAACGAAGAGCAAATGTTATATGCACAGTACATAAACTGACGACTGCAGTTGGAGTCGATCCCTGACACAAACCTACAATGTTCTCCGGTGCGTGTAAAAGTCGCCAGGGGGCGCGTCTAACAGTTGGTGTCGTTTTTTGCGTTCATCACGCCGATGGGGATATCGGTGACGTTGTGGAGGTATCGCCAGTCGTCGACCCCCTGCAGCGTACTGATGAAGAAGGCGGAGACAAATCCCTGGATGAAGGTGTGATACTCCGCCCAGTTGTCCACATCCCCCGTCTTGCAGAAGTGAGTAGTGTGGCAAACTGAAATGTCAAAGTTTGATACCGATGACTAGCCGAGGACTTCATGGACTCTCAACGCTTAGGCTAAAAATAGGCTAAAAGAGGAGACTGTTTCCATCTTCTGATTGGCATCCAATTCTGAATGAGAATAACTCCTACCATCAGAAGAAGGTAACACGATCTCTGCCTTCAACCTCTGCTTGGAGAGTATGCTAGGCAAGGAGTAATTTCCAAGCAGATGTTTTGGGGGAGGCCAAGTAGTTACGTTTTCCTAGCCGCCCGCGTTTCTGTCTCGAACCGCCTCCTTTGTGACAGAAACGGGCAGCTAGGAAAACCAAGGATGAAAACGCAAGGTTTAACCTTACCCAACATCTGCTTGGAAATTATGATGAAAATATGTAACTATGACGAATATATGTAACTTGATGACAATGGTTCAAAAACGACCAAATTTACATCTAGATTGCCGTACTCATAAAAGAATACATACTTTCCCACATCGTGTGGTCCAGAATATCACAGTGTCCTTGATTCTGAAAAGCAATAAAACATAACTTAGTTTCTAAAACCTGGTTTAAAAACGGGAATTTATTTCCCTTTGCGTTACACCTTTGGTGACCTTTTATGTAATCTTGCTAAGGAATCAAATTGACAAATTGTGCTAGGGCACTTAGAGCACTTACTTGTGCCACTTAGAATACTTTTACCGCAGCTTCGGATCTTTAAAAACGAATATTCGATACTCCTGACATGTATATTGTGTAAAGGCATCTTTGTGTTTCATACCTTCGTTGCCAGCGTTGTCTTGGGACAGGACCAGTGATCGTAGACGTGATTCCAGTCCATACCTTTGACACAGCAGAAAGGAAAGTCCTCACAAAACTGCGTGCCGTACATCAGCGCCGGCAGGCGGAAAGAAACGGTACTGTTCCCGGACAGAGCGGAAGTGAACGGCTCGAGAAACGCTGTTGCCTTGAATGCGAGAGAGAATCAGAATACAAATCTACACATGTAATATAAACTGCACCCTTCCCTTGGCACAGGCTACATGGATGTCGGTAAGGCAATCTAAAATGCACTCTATTAAACGTACTGTAAAATGGAAGATATAATGTCCAATATTGTAAGATCTTTCCTCATACTAAGACTCGTCCTGACGTACCTTCATAGCCGTGTGGTTGAGTAGAACCGTGTCCAGTATGACAGAACAGCCGGCAGAGTGACAGAAAACCCCAGTGTTCTCCCAGTCTACGGACACTCCTGCCGTTCGGTTGGCCAGGTAGGAGTTTAGGTTAGTCCTCGCCTGGATGGAATGAAGACACGAAGGGTCTTGATTTGTGAAATTTCGAAGTCCTACATATGCGTGTGCCTAGGTTCAGTGCGTTTTCTTCTGTCATATTTTATCGTCAGTGTAGTGTATCCCTAGCTGTATTCCATTTATTGCCGATATGTACTTGTATGATCTTGTATATCTCAACTATATGTGATCGATACGTTTGTATAGAAATCGTTCCTGTCGTCACATTCATTGCATACTCATGACTCTCTGAGAGTTGGGGTGTATAAGGCATCTCACCCAGTCCATTTGCTGCAAGAACGTGTGCGCAGGGGATCCTGGGAGGCTGTGCGCTGGGGATCCTTGGAGGTTGTCCCGCCGTGTGTCTCCGGCTTGGCCGAGTGACTGAAGATCCACCCCCATCACCACGAACCCGTGCGCCGCTACACGGCTCAGCAGGTCTGCGGAAAGTGTTGTCATGAAACCATCTGCATTTGTCTAAACCTGGTCAATCAATGTGTAAGATTGTATGCAAAAACACTACATTATCATGCTAGTAAAGTTTATACCGATGACGACAATATACGCTACATACATATGCAGTAGAAAACGCTTGTGCTAATCGAAAATCCATATTCATTGTTAATTGTTGCTTGCTTATTAACCTTGCTGACTGGTCATGGTTGCTTGTTATGGGTTCACCACACCACGAAGTGGTGTGGTGAAACCATATTGCTTTTTCTGATGTTTCTTCTTCTTCTTCTCCTCCTCCTCCTTCTCCTCCTGCCATTTTTTAAATGGATTCAGCTTCTTCATTTTAGGGCCCAAGGTCCTGAAATTTGGTATGGAGGTACAGTGGGCAAATACCCCTAGGCGTTTTTTAAATTATTGTGATACAGGCTTTTAGAATGGTTTTATTTGAGTTTTTTGGCTGTGTTATAGCAAATGTATTACTGTGTTAGGGTGCCTTGTTTACCACGTTTGGACATGAGTCATCACAATGGAATGCAGGGCATCAACCAATAGGCATGCAGCTTTCCTCTATACTTCTTGCTGATTGGCTGTTGGGATTTAACTTGATTAACACCTGCACAGAAGCATTTCCATACTGACAGTATGTCTGTATTCAAGTGTTTTGGTAGGTATTTCAAGCTTTCCTGCTCCAGCAGTGGAATGCCGGGCATGGACGTTTTTTTTTTATTTTGAAAATCAACAGTTTGCATTATGCAATTAAAAATCCTAACCAATAAAGTAGGGAATAGCTATCCAACTGTTGTTTTAGTTGTATTTTACTTCATATTATAGTTATATCAATGTAAATCATTGTTTTCCCTTGTGTTTCCCATTCTTTCCCTGCCATGTCGTAAAATGTGGTGAACCCATCGCTGTATTTGCTCCAAAGCAAATATTGGCCTTTCTAGTTTGCTTTATTTTTACTCTCAGAGTCAGAGTGTAGTTTTGTGATACCTGTGTATCCCATCTCCACTCGGACAGCGCCGTCAAAACCTCCCGAGAACAACAGCACAGCGAACAGTCCTGGTCTGGCCGGGTAGTATACTAGGGAGGGCATACATATACATTATCGGGCTTCTGTTCCCGAAACAATAGAAGTACAAAGAGCATATTGCTTCGGGAAGCTTTATAGCGCTGTACGAAATGTTTTAAACGTTGGTGGTTTTCGACAGGACACCATTGACATGATTAGAATATCAGAGGAAAAAAAAAACAATCATGTAGGTGGTCTGCTGTAGCATTGTGAAATTTGTCTCGGACTTGAAATGACTGTTCGTCTATCAAAACTCGAGTACGATAGAGAGAGACACCTACCGACGGCATGACGCGGTACATGGTCCTTAGTTTCTGTCAAGGTGAAGTTTTGAACAGGAAGCGCCCCCGTTTTGTAAGGATTCTCTTCGTCCACGTATAACCCAGTTGTACCTGAATGGGCATGTGGAATTACACATTTTAGCTTAAAAAAAACATGTAGACAGAACCGTCCTCACTTCAGCAGCTAGCAAGGTCGACAGCAAGGTCTTTCTATCAATGTTTAACTTCAATTTACCATTTTTTACATTGTCTTCGAAAAGAAATCGACTGAAGTTTTCTGTGGCTACAAGTACTGAAATGTACATTTGTGTAGGTTATTTGACATACCTGTGATAACCATGAAAAGTCCCAGACTTAGCAAAGTACTAACTCGGATGCCGGCAACCATGATGTTCTGTACCCCGTGCGCATGTGCCGTTAGATGTTGTACTTTGCTCGTTGCTGTGTCCCCGGGTGACTGGTGACATTGTTGCCGTTACCTTGACCTTAAAATACGATATAAGGTCATTGGGTTGTTCCAACCATCACACGGGGGAGGAACGTATCATAAATCTACTATGAATCCCATGTGAATTGCTAGCTTTGCAGCTCCATTGCCATCGTTTTATTAATACTGTATAAAAGTACCCTGTCAGGAATAATTTGCCGAGGTAAAGGTATTCCCAGATGTGCCCTAGCACAATAACAATAACTACAACTATAACGTTATGTAAATACAAGATCTGTGTGGAGGAAGCTTGGCTAAGAAATACTTTGCCCTTTTCTCTACTCTGGTTCGAAGTGGCACAGTTAAGAGCCCTTGATTACTACATTGTATGATTGACGAAAACATTATTCTTGTTTCACTCCTGAGTGTATGGGTCTGAGAGAGTGATTGCTATATAGAAACTGTTTCCCCATCCGAAGTGGAGTAAAAACATAATGCAATATCACTTTTTAGTAACGTCTTTGAACCAACCCATTGTCTCCATCTGGTGCCCTCCCACTCACACAGAAGTATTTGTGCCCAACCCAGCGCATATCTTTTCAACTACGTGTCTGCATCTGATCAAGTCGGTTTGTATGATCAGCTCTTAACCGGCCCGGCAACTATCCTGGTCGGCCATTACCAATAAATCACGACCAGTTTTGACGTCGGTATCCTGCTACTAATCTCTTAAGAACCATATATATCTAGATCTTATGTTGTAGGAACACTTCGTTTGTTTCGAGGCCTTTCAGCTTCTTGCCTTGAGGCGAAGGATCGAATCGGGGATATTGATTTTCATAGGTAAGCAGTGTGTCCTTTTCAATAGTCTGGACATTGACTTTATATTTGCTAATAGATATGCTTTTGTATTGATCATTTTGTGATGTACTAATCGATAAAATCATATTTTTAACTCTGCCTATTACCTTTGAGATTGAGATCTTTACCGACAAGACAGTTTTGTCTTGTGCAGACATGTTGTAAACAGCAAAGGCTTATTATATACAGTCAATGAACCGTGTGATTAAACGTTTGGTCAACGCCTATAACGAACTCGACAAATACATGTATGCCATTTGCTGTGCTAGCATTCAAATGTACCCCGATTACATTTGACTTTTTGTACTGTGTACAACCTTTGTTAGAAGAGAAACACACTCAGAAAGGATCGTTGCGGGTCAAAGGTAGAGAGCGGACAGGGATGTTGAAAATTACGCACAAGAGCGTAAAAACGAATATTATGAACGACAGATATGCAAACATGACGTTGTTGTTGTTGTTGTTTTTACTGTCGCTGTTGTTGTTTTATTTCACACGTACGCCCACTGAGATCGTTCTCGATGCATCGTCGATCGGATCGATCCAAGAGTTGATCTTAAGTCGATTTGCTTGTTATTCCACTGTAGGAACATAGGTGGCGCTGCTTCACAGTGATGTGCCGTTGCCGTCTCCAGGACAGCTTCTGCGGCTGTTGTACTGTCCGCCATGGCTCAATATTTGTTGGCATCGTCCATCTGGTAACTTGAAATGACACTATTCATAGCATGTATCATTTCCTGGAAATTTAGACGAAATGCATTGATGCTATGGATGACACATACAAGCTATATATGTGTCTCTTTCTTCGTTTTCTTGGTTAGAATTAAAGCGATTTAGAGACATACTACATAAAGCTATGTTTCAGAAAAAAATGACATTCATGTTTTTATTCAAGCCAATATTCCTGAAATATTGTACAATGTCTTACTCTATTCCACTTACAGATGTTCTCGATGTTGGGTGGCCTGGCAGTGTTCTCCTTGTATGGTGTTTTATTCAAAACAAGTAAAAGACTGTTTTATTCTTTTTCTCGTTGAAATGCCGTTAACATTCACACGTAACGCATCACAGTAATAGAGTTTCATTCACTACTTCATCACTCAGACTACTCATTACGTAATATCAAACAAAAATAACATTTTTGTGGTGATTTTCCTTAGACCCTATCAGACCTGCTGAGATCACTGGTGTCATTTTCTACGCTTTGTCCATCCTGGTGGCCATAGTCCTCATCATTGGTGTGCTGAAGGTGAGTCACGTCATCAAAACAACTTGTAGCTCAACTTGTACACAAACATCCGGGTCCTGACATGTACAGTTGCATCATGGGATTTGAAAATCTGAAGGCCCAAAGCTTTATGGGTAGCCTGCTGCCGCGGTCACACAGCTACATGGGCTAATTGTGGTGCATGAAATGAGAAATGAGACCTTTATATTAGTTATAACAGATATTGAAATAAAGATAACCCAGTATACTTTTATGTATTTATGTCCATCTGATATCCTGTCTAATTTTAAGTTTAGAGATACAAATCTTTAGTCTTTTTTTAAAGTCTATCGTGTCTTACTGTCCCGTGCTTTGCAGAAAAACCGTACCCTGAGTTGGGTGTGGCTCGTTTGGGCGGTTTTCCATCTGATCCTGGCCGCAGCCTTGGCGATCGCCCTGCTGGTGCACGTGTCAGGAGCGGCAGTCATCCCCGGAATAACTCTGCAGGTACTGAGAGACTTGTCATGCATACGACAGAAACAAATCCGTCACATTTACACACGTATGAGCTATCATAATATATATATATATATATAGATTGGTTGAAATATGATAGAGCCCTGTTGAAAAAAAATTTCCTTTCAAAATTATCTTGGAATTGTCAACCTGTCACTATTAATATTCCTGGTACAATAGGCGTGGACTGAATAGAAATGTACCGAAACTAACCTAAACAGTAACCATAGCTCTTGATGTAACTCACGAAGTTTTCTTCTCCTTCGGATTGGCTGGTACTGAACTAACCTGACGGAGTGTTTTGACAGACTGAGGGGACGATGTTGTCTGAATCACACGGAACTGTCATCTTGGTGGCCGCCGTGCTGACCTTGGTCTTCTTTTTTGTGCTGAGTCCTTTCTTGGTAAGTATACATGAGTACTCCTTTTATAAGACACCGTTGCATCATTCATTTGCATCATTACGTTCAATTTTCCTATTTCAATACACTTTCCTCGCGTTTTAATTTTCATCTCTCTTTCCCTAAGCTTTTCTTACTTTTATATCGTTTATTGCTTTGTTTTTATTTTTTATATGTGTTTTTATATTTCAGATGTATGGCATCGTGGTTGTGTGCTCCTACCACCGGAAGCTGGAAGATTATGCGTAGACCGCCCCCACAACACTCTCCTGCGTATATGCTAATATATTTCCTGTTCAACTCTGTAAAAATAAAACAGAGACAGTCTTTAAAATCTACTGTATAGATACTAATATGACAATAAGAAGGTACATTGAAATGGAATTACAAAGACGAAATATTTATATCATCTAACCCCCACCCCCTTCACACATATCAAAAGACATCGAAGGACATGTATAGTAACAGCTAGCAATGTTTACATATACCACGTTATGCCAAATTATACCTTTTGACTGGTTTGTCAAATCTTAGTAATTGTGATTCGCGCTTAACGTTTTTTTTTTTTGTTCAGTCCGATTTATTATTATTTATTCATTCATTATTATGCCTACTCAATATCCTTGCCTATGTTACGTGTTATGGCTGTTGCAAAAATTAAAACAAACAACAAGATGACTGCGTTTGATACTTTCACCTTTAGGTAGAATATTTAACTGTTTTTGGCATATTTTTGTCTTGCCTTTATCATGCCAAATCTAACTCAGTAGACTAGACGTTTTTTTCAATCGGGCATAAGTTAGACATGTGATCCAGACGCAGAATCATTTTGAGTGACATTTCCACTTACCAACGTCTACGACATTGTTTACAACACATACATTTAAAATAGATGTTAAACTTTAGTGCACAACAAGTGTACAAGGTTCCTTACACCCCTCCCCTTGGAACCCATTCAGACTATCCGTTTCTTCTCGCCTTTGTTTGCTGGACTCCATACATTGTGAACAATGGTGTGTACGTGACGTGAGAAGATATCCATAAAGAAGTGCATGTAAACGGAGAAGTGCCATGTAACGTTATATTACATGTCAGCCCCTGACCTTGTACACATGACTACAGTACAACAGTACACCCCCTCCCACCCAGCACAAGTGTGTGGAAACACGTACAAGTAGACTTGAACTTTCCTACCTTCCCCCGACCTAACGTTAACTTTACAAAGTGGTGAGGAATCACAACAGGTAACAGCTAGGAACAGCAGGTACTTTAGTAACAGATCAGTGTTCTATGTTGACATGCCGTCTTTCTGTAGCTTTTTGAACAGATCTTTGTTTACATCTTGCTTCAACAGTTTAAGATCAAGGTCACATTAATTTCTGTCGTCATCGTCTCTTATTTGAAATGGATGACTTAACTTGATGATCTACAACCTGTGGCACCCCCAGTCACGCAGTATCGTCGTTCATAGGTTTGATTCTACTCTGTCAGGAAATGACACGTTTTGGAGTAGTTCTCAAGGTTTTGGTAGCTAAATGTTGAACGTTTTCATAACATTGTCTTTCTGAACTAGTCAGAAACATGATGCGAAGTCTTGTGGCAGGAAACGTGCACAAAATCGTGAAAAGGCGTCCTCGTTTCCCAGAGTTCGCCGCGCGCTGTGGAATCGAACCCGACACGGAACCCGAATTTTCGAATCTCGTTCCTTTGAACGTTCTACTGAACTGGTTCTCATTTTTCTAGAAGTACACCGTTGGGAAAACATGGGGTGCTTTCGCCTTACCAAATGCTGCTGCTGCAGTCTTCACAGTGCCTCCCTTACTGTCGCAATCATCTATTTGGTAAGAAGTTGTTATTGTTTTCGTACACCCGTAATTAGTATGGTTAACGCATGGACAAAGTATTGGGTAGTAAGTCCAATGTTTATGAGTACAGTTGAATATATTCCGGGGCCAAGAACAACCCTGCCTCTTTGTTTTTACCCTTCCCTTTATTTTCATACAAGGGTTAATTCAATAAGATAAAACATATTCGTTTTATTTTCTGTCTGACTAAGAAGGTTTTACAAAAGTGTTGAGATGATTTTTAATGTTTAACTTGACAGTTTCTAGCCCTGTTGGGAGGCGGGTTCCACGCGTGGGAGCTGTACCGGCACATTGGAACTACCAGTGGTAAGGAAAACACTTCGCTGTTTCTTCTATTCTCCTAATCTTTACTTAAATGATTGTGTTCGTGGTAAACACGTACATGTTTCTTTGTTTGTCTGACCGTATACTTTAGTCATTTGACATAATGTAGTCTGTTATATCTTACATTGGGTTTCTACAATACTTTGAGGGAGAAGAGGGCCTCCAGGCACTTATGACGAGACCCATTTTTATCTTTCTCCCCAAACAGCCGTCGCGTACAATGGCGCCGGGATCGGTGTGATGGGTATGTCTGTTATCCTGGCTATCGTACTGGTGGTGGGTGTAGCTAAGGTAGGTCATCTCTCATCTTCTCAATTTACATGTTCTTGAAAATGATATACAGATGTCAAGTACAAGAATCTTCTCCCATTATAGTTCTTTGAGTGAGCAACATTTGATTACATGTGTGCTAATGCATTATAGACCACAATCTATGAGTTTTCCGGTATTGTAGAAGTTTTCTTCGAGGTAGACTAGATAATTCTAACGCCACGGCCATGACCTTGACCTGTACAGGAGAGGCGGTTCCTGTGTCTGATGTGGGTCCTCTGGGCGTTCATCCACCTGGCCATCGAGATCGCCCTGGGTACTTATGTCGGCGTGGTGTCCATCGGCGGTGCATTCGGCCTGGCTGTTGCGGGAGTCGTGGAACAAATGGTAACTCTTTACAACTGTCTGTGGTAGACAACTAGCATTTCGCAACCTTTCCACGTCTCTTTCATGTATGTTTATCCAGAAGATTTTGTATAGACTTAATGTAGTTCTAGACGAAGCTCGTATTGCACTCCATCTCCCAACCCACTCTCAATAGGAAAGAGAAATTTGTTGCCTCTTGCTGACAGAAACCCAACTCAATACAACCTAAACTGTGTTATATTTGAACAGGTTGGATCCATCATCACTATCGCCCTCATCCCTGCCATCATTACCCTGGCCATTGCTGTCGCCATCATCTTTTTCTTGGTAAGTCACAAGACTTTAGTCATTCAGCGTTGTTTTACTGGAATAATTCACAGGTTCATCAAACTTTCACAAACCACCAAACTACATTCGTCCCCGTCAACATTTGAATGTGTTCTAACGGCGAACGTAAATTTACCGCGCAAATTCGAAGGCATCGAACGTATTCGAATTCGAAAGCATTGGAATGTTGACGGATATGACGTCTTCAGTGACATAGGTGGGCTACTGGTCCGCGAAAATTTGAACTGTTCTCTTGGAAGCGTACATCTCATATTTCGGTTCTTTCATGTGCGCTCACCTTCCTACCTTTCTATGTTCAGTGTTCAGCCTTTGTCAACTCTATTCTAGAGGGAGCCAAACGTTTATTCAAGCGTCTGTCTTGTTCTTTATTTCCTTCTTTTGGCCATTGTTTTCTCTATAGCTAATTTGCAGTTTATCGTGTTATGAAATTACAGATTACACAGATATCCCCATGTCTGATTTGTTCTCTATATATTTCAGATTCCCAGCATCGTAATTGTGTGCTCCTATTACCATGAACTAAGGGACGGGCAGCAGGTAAGCTGGGAGTGTTAACGTGTTCCTACTTACATACAAATCAGCTTTTCAGTCAGTTCTAAGAATATTCGCGGTTACGTTAGAGTGGTTTTCTACGAGTTAGTATAACCTTTTTTCTCATTCTCTACAGGTACAGCCAGTGTGAGAGAAGAAAGGACGTCAAATTTCACTAGTTTTTTGTTTTCTTTTAAATATAGTTCAGAGAAAGTTATGTCAAACACTACTGCAGTGGATATCTATGCATCTGTACACATTACATGACATAAATGAAAATGGAATGTACTAGTATTCAGTCTATTTTCTACAGCAGAGGTACACTAGTGTAAATATTGTTACTTCATAAATTGTAAAATTTTCTCTGATTGAATTATTTAACTTTTATTTATGACTATAGAGTCGTATTGTCCCCTGCTCAACTTGACATTCATCAGCTTATGCCTGTAATAAAACGTTTCAACGCACATGGTGGTTTTAGTCTTGGATTTATTTCTGCTCTAGTGTGTTGAATAAATATATATATACTCTACGTTTATAGGATAGTTTTCAGTAGAAAATGATTCCAATTGACAACATCTATCGGCTTTTGTATTGTAGTTAGTGACTGGAAAGTAGTATGATAGGATATTTGATCAAAGGCACTCAACTCTTGGCTTCGTTACTTGCCCACGCCAGGGTGTGGCCCGGAAATAAAGCCAGGATACAGAGAAAACATGATACTCTATCACACAAGATCCGCCTACAGATAACCAAGCGTCGGCCTTGGCCGAGTTTTGCCCCTTTCCCATGTTACCGAACAATAACTGTCACCGCTAGCGCCCTGTGATCAGCCCTGGACCTGTTCAACGGCATTCCTGAACAGTCCCGTCTTTCACCAGCAAGGTTCGGTCTACACAGGCTGGGATTTCAGGACAACCGAGCTCGAGATTTCTATCTACCGTTATCACAATACTCATCAGTGGCTTGTACGTATTGTTGCCTTGTCATACAATTAGTGTTGATATTGACACAGGTACTGTAGATTCATAACGTATGTTTTTCATACATGTATGTGACTGTGATTTGTGACTTCATATGTATACTCTGAAGGTTAGATTCTTAACGATTTTACAGGATATCTCACCGTTACATGACATTTTTATGGCAAATAGTCTTGCATAAAACACGTTAGTACATACTTTAGTACAGTGCCTACCGTGGGAAGAGGACACATTAAATTTTATAAGATCGTGTCAGGTCATGGCTGAGAGCTGTACTCCCAGTTTGAAAGACAGACGCGATGTAAGGCCGCCGGTAGTCAACTGAGTGGAAAGGACATAGGTCGTTGCCGTTTTCTATTAGTGCTGCAAGATTAAACACGCCAGACGAAGCATTAAAGTAAAGAAACGATTCAACGACATGTAAGTTACTACAGGGGTACAATTGTACATTCTTATTTGTTTTTGGACATTGTAATGGTTGCTCTGATCTGAATAACACACTCTGAGAATATCATATCTATAGTAATGTATATTGGATAAAACGAATGTCGATTCGTGTTGCCTGAACGATGAACTTTTGACACTTGACCTTGACGACTGCTACTTTTCTAGAAACCGCTAGTCGGCGCTGCAGGACCGTCATGTGCTGCATTCGTCTCCGCGCCAGCTGCTGTGGCTGCTGCAGTCTTCGTACAGGATCAATAGTTATCGGGGTCCTACATTTGGTAAAGACCAGTATCGTCCTTTTTTCAGTTATGCAATATTCTTTATATATTACGGTGCATATTTGTCTATAACAACGTGTACTAAGCTATGGACTCTCTTGACAAAGTTTGGGTTTAAAGTAGCGTTACATGTTGCAGGTTCTCTCACTTGTAGCTGGTGGTGACTATGTCTACCGTTGGATTCAGGCCATGGGAAATGGTGGTAAGAAATTGAAAATTCGCTGATATTCATTCCATGAGATTATATAAAGCATGTTTAGCCAATCTAGTAAAAAGTTGAAAGATATTCATCAATTTGCAGGACTTTCTGCCAATAAGGCAGTCTGATTGAAGTTTAGGTACGAAAATTAAAAAGCCTCCTGAGTCCTGATTACAGCTAAACTAAAGTTAATTTAAGTTTGCTGTTTTCCAGTCACTTCCTCTGAAGAGGTGATCATCGGCGTGGCTGTGTTCGGTGTGTCCGTGCTGGCCGCAGTCCTGCTCATTATTGGTGCAGCCCACGTAAGTCAGTAGTGACCTCACGAAGTCAGCAGAGACGTCGCAAAACTTGAAACTCATGACGTCGTAGCCTCTATCAGGCTTCGGGAGACGGCTGGAAAGAGTAGAAATTGGCAAAATAGAGAGATAACATGCCAGAGGAGTTGGTCCGCTAGAGAGTACAATTTTTTCAATACCGCAAACTCTCTAGCGGACTAACTCCCCTGGCATGTTATCTCTCTATTTCTACTCTTTCCAGCGGCCTCCTGAAGCCTGGTAGAAGCTAGTAACGTCACAAAACTAGTCATTTTTGGTTGGTAACTCTATAGTCTAATAATCTGAGTATATAGACTCAATTTAACCCATATGGTTGGCGTTCCTGGCCGAAGTTAACTGTTGTTATTTTTATTCACAGAACAATTCGACCCTATGTCTGATTTGGGTGGTCTGGGCGGGCCTCCATCTGGCCCTTGTGATCGCTTTGGCGATCTACGCAGGAGTGGTGACGTTTGTCCTGGCTGTAACACCAGAGGACACGGTGAGTGAAGATGGGACACTGCCCGAGAGTTCACGAAACACGTGCATGATTTGTTTTCACTTCTATAAAAATCATAACTATAGATCAATATCGTGCATTCCGCACAAATTTTATCCTGGTAATTAGACCATGGGCACAGTGGTCGGTTCATTTGCAACGACTATTCCTATATAGACGCACTAAAACACACCCAACGCACTCAAAACATTTGTAGTAAATGAAAAAAATTAAAAAGCACATAGGAGTCAATACGCTCATTGCGTGTCTCATATGTATGTATAATAACGCTAACCGGGTTTAACTGTAACTAACATCAAACGTTTTTCTCCATAGACTGGATTTATGGGACTCGTACAGATACTGACCATATCCCTTCTGGTTGTCGCCGTTCTCATCATTGCTGTCTTGGTAAGTTAGGCACGATCAAAGTTTGTTTTTTTTTCATTACAAAAAAATGCTTTAAAGTAACAAGTGATTGGAACATTTTTTTTTGTAATTTTGTAATGTTTCCGTCCCCCATACTACGAAGAGAAACTGTTCTGTTTCAGTCGTACGGCATCGTGGTTGTGTGCTCCCACTACCGAGATCTGAAGGAGTCGCCAGAAGTGCGATCAACTCCATACGAGGTGCCGTCCATATTGTACAATTTTACAATACAATAGCAACACTTGGCTGAAAGTAGATACAAATCCTTATTATCAATTTCTTTGTTCAATCGCCCCAGACTTCATCTTCTGTGTATCGATATTGGCATGTTTTGTTCAACTTACCGTATTTCCTTTCTTCTTATAGATGCAGTTTGTGTGACAAGTCACCGAGTAGACAACGACTTGTGTCGCATCTACGAGTACCAAAAGAAAAATTGTAGTTTCATGCTTCATTTTACGAGCAGCTGACCTTAGTTCTGAAGTTTTATCTTCCTTATTGACAACGTTATAGAGCATATGGCAGTAAAATAAAACTAGAACTGTAGCTATTTGATGGCGTAAGTTATTCTAAAGATAGAAAGTTACATCATATATATTCTGCGATGATAAGGTTTGCGATTATCTTAACTAAGGACGGAAATGTGTCATCACGAGTAAGCTAATTTGAGCTATTGGTAGCGGTAGCGTGTCTTTGTTTGCCCTATCCTTAACGTACAATATAAGGATCCAATACAAGCTACGTTTGCGCTTGGATGCTCTCATGAAGATTATACTTTGTCTTGCACTTTATTATGCCTCTGTCTTTATGGTTTCGTGATTTTTCAACGAAAGTAGGTTCAACCTTAACTTGATACACAACACATTTTAGTAACCTTTAGATGGTTACTTATGTATTTGCTCATTTACATCCACTCCACAGAGTTGGATGACATGTTCATGGAAGACCTAAAATTCTTACACAAAACAGTGTGGCTTAAATCCAACCTTCTGTTCCTTGTCGTAACCCTTTGGTGGTTATGTACATAGCGGGAGCTCGGCCAGAGTAAAGTGAAGTAAAGTAAGTAAGTAAATGTACACAGCTGTCAGTGTTGCACTGCAGGAAAGTCCTAAGTGGGGCTGAATCTTTCTTAAATCTGTCCATTTCTGACGGATGCTGTTCCCTAACACTACATCCACCTCACAAAGTCAATATTTGTATATCCATTTTTGTCAAGTCCTGTCACAATAATACTTTGTGTCCGAAAAAAGGTGCTGTATTTTCACCGCAGCTAATCAAGAAAATCATCACTTAAAAGCACCCGGGCTGTTGGGCTGACACCCCTTCTTACTCCTTTTACTTACTAGTACAGAAATACCTGCGTCACTGCAACTGTTGCACTTTATACAGCACGCACAAAGTGCCTACGTCATTGCAAGTGTTGTTGCAGGCCGTGACAAGCATATACTAAGTAGCCCGACGGCATTCTTGGCGGCCTTGGTGCGTAGCGGTGCGCAGCTAGGTAGGGTTTATCTTCCGAGACACACCAAGCTCTACAGGACACCGTCATACTTTCTGAGGTATTTGTCACCATACGCAATTTTCTACATAAGATAGCATGTTTTACAAACGATCGAGCACCATGTTTTTTTCTGCGAATGCGAGCGGCAAGATAAAGCGCGTAGTACTCTAGCTCTATGTTGTCCTTGATCAAGTCCTTTATGTTCACCTGCATAGCTGAGACGCAATGTTGTTTTCTTCTCATTTCAGTGACAATCACGCTGTTAACGTTGTTCTCTTCACTGCCACAGTAACAAGTCTTGTTCTTGATATGTGGCAGTCGCCTTGTAAATAAAGAGTGGAAGTGTGTGTATAGTATTTCTAGCAAAGTTCTGCTCTGTGTGAAGATGTGGTCTACGTACCATAGTGCCACACCCAGACGTTTTCACTGTGTCCATCGTAGCGTGAGGCAGGTGAAAACAGGGGCACCATGGTGAGACAGGTGAAAACTAGAAAGGCCGACATTAATTGCTTTGGCGCAAATTCAGCATGGCGTCACCACATTTTACGACATGGCAGGGAAAGAAGGAGAAATACAAGGGAAAACAATGATATAACTATAGTATGAAGTGACATATAACTAAGAATGCAACAGTTGGATAGCTATCCCCTACATTATTGGTTAGGATTTTTATTTGCATTTATTTGTCCTTGTAATTTGCATATGAAGAGCTCAGTTTTGCCGACCTTGTTAAGTTTAATGGAGCTATAATTACTTGTGAATAATATATGAATTTGTGAATAACCGTGAATAATATGTGAGCCTCGCCCTGCGGCGTTACTGTTGTATCACAGACCTCTGAACACATTTGATCGGGTGCGGCTGTACGACATTGCGTTGTATATCTTGCTTACCAATTTTTGCTTACCAAAATTCGACACTTTCACCCCTTGTTGCACTTTCTTCAGAAATACCTAGGGGCGCTGTGAGACCAATCATGTGCTGCTGTCGGCTCCAGTCCTGCTGTTGCTGTGGCCTCCGCGAAGGGTCGATCGCTGTTGGAATTATCGATTTGGTACACACATTCGAATTCTATGTTTTTCTTTAGTTATGAATATCCGATGAATGTTTATTCTAAAATATTTATAAACATAAAGAGGTAGAAGTATACACTACTAGGTATTATGAATTGGTAATGATTGATTTGCAATTTCTTGTTTCCACTTCACAGATCCTGTCAGCACTAGGACTAGCCTTAGGTGTGTGGCCAATCGCGGCTAGTGGCGGTGCAGGTAAGATGAAATAAAGTATGATTTCTATCCAAGATAAGCGACAAGAACATCAGCTACTCTGAAGATGCAGTTACTGGGGACAGGACACTATTCCAAGCCCCCTTTGAAATATATAGTAAACATATACGATAAGTGTTCAACTATTGCAAACTCATATTGACAGGGTAGTCCAACTTCCAAATTGTCCATTTAGTCCAAAAATGTCATATTTTGGCCAGAGAAAATATAGCCTGGAATCCATCCGTGAACGCTGTGTCTCCGCTATGTCCTCCGCTCTGCCTGAACACCACCAAAAAACAAAAACATGGCATTGCTTATGGATCTCTACCAGGCAGCCAAAACAAGTCTATAAGCCAGTTTTTCAACAAAATAGAAAAAGGAATAACTCTCCAGCTGTCAATGCCAGCATTTATCCACACATACTAAGAAAAAGGATGTTTTCAGTTGGTTTGGATGCGCTCATCAAAGGGGGGGGGGTCTCAGACTGGGCCTTTTGGGCAGGCGCGAAATAGTGACCTTTGTCCTACTCGCTATCATATCAATGTGCAAACACGCGGACTTCTGTTTTCAGTAAAATTCTGCATATTATAAATGTACTATTTAGTTGCTGTTTTTAACGTAGCCCTGAGTCTTGTATCTTCTACTCTAGTCCAAGTCAATCCTTATTCATACGGGACCCTCGGCGTCTATGCTATCTCCATCCTGTTCTCCATCCTGCTGATCCTGGGCGCCGTGAAGGTTGGTAAATCCATTGAAAATGGACACTTCAAAATGGCTTACAGCACACTGAGATTAGCTTTTAATATAAATAATAGTAATCTCTGATTTAGTGTTAGATCTGCAGTATTTTGCGTTTACAAATCTTTATCCTTACCCAAAAATTGTGTTACCTTTTTGCCTTGCTGGTCTTTGGTCATGTGTACGTATTTCTTCGGAATAGTTAAGAGTGATGTGCAACTGTATACGCTTGTTTCGTCATCATTAGTTGAAATATATATCACGATGTCTTTATACTCGACAACAACAGATCACGACTGACAATTCATACTTTGGGAAAGAAATAGATACAATTCGCGTGTGCTTTCTTTCACGAGTTCCGATGTTGTACTCATCGTACTGAACTACAATGTTACAGAACAACGCCTGCCTGTGCCTTGCTTGGATCATCTGGTCGAGCATCTGTTTGGTGCTGAACATCGCCCTGGTGGGATGGATCTGTGTTGTGGCTTGGGGTGTTAATGTGGGTGCTAGTGCCGCCGCAGCAGCGGGGTCTGCCTTTGCAGCCGCACTCGTGAGTACAATAATTATGTGTTCACCAATATGTTGTGAGAGAGAACTGTATACGTAACATAAAAACTGGCGTCCCTGCCGATTAGAAGAAAACAGACAGCCAGAAAAAGTTGTTATGACCCCCCAACCCCAATATCTGCTTGCGAAGGGATACTTAATGGTAGTTTCAACTCATGCATAATTAATGTCGGGTAATTTGCAATTGCTGTCATAACGGTCGGGAGAACAGAGTTTGTGCAGAGTACCATGTACCATGATTTAGACCATTGTTGTTGTTTTCGAAAAGCATTGTTCAAAAACACCAATATTGACAGAGAAAACTCACACAAAAGTACACTAAATTACTAATTACCTTCTTATGCTAATTTGAACACAAATGTTTCCACAGGGTATCGTAGCAGTCAGCCTCTACATCGCGCTCGCTATCCTCGGTGTGATCATCTTTTTCTTGGTAAGTCGTAGAGAAGGAACTGGTAAAGATACTAGCAACAAAACACAGCAGTCAATTGTTGCGCAACATTAAGAGGAATATACAAAACAGCCTATATCGGTACGGTTCTATTTGCCGTTTACGACTTGAGTCTATGATTTTATGTGTTTCAGATCTACGGCATCATAGTCGTCAACTCCTTCCGTCAAGAACTTAATGAGAGCGGTGGCAACCCGGCAGGGTCTTATCCGGTACGATACACCTTCAAGTTTTATTCTTACAAGTATAGCTTAGTCTTACGTCGTGTTGTGGTGCCTTTCTATAGATTACTGTCTCCAAATGAGAACGACAGTTTTTTTAAATGCAACGAAATTAATACAACTCGCTGGCGCCCGTTGAGAGAATGGAGCAAAATATTTATACACAAGGAAAACAAGGTTGGCATCATGATACACCTTACCATTCCAATTGGGCCAGCCTCATTTGTTGTAGTAACTTTTCCTTCTTTACTTTTGCAGATGCAAGCCGTGTGAAAAAAATGCAGCAGCTTCCTGATGACTTTGATCGTCATCGACAAAAGAAGGAAGATGCACGTGGTCTATTTGACCCCCTCTTTCACCAATAACAGCCGCATGTAACTTTGTATAATCTAACAATTAATCGCTTTATCTTGTCCTAGCCAGCGGTGTAAATGAAGGTGTAACCTTTCTGACGTGGATCTCAAAATGTAGACAATCGCGTGCTTGCTGATAAGTTATTGCTGAACAATTTAGTAAGTAATCCTAAAAGTTATATAGTGCTATGGGGTTTGCGAATATCTTAACAAAGGACAGAATTTGTTGTTACTTAGAGCCATATTTGCTTATTCTTGCCGTCTCCTTGAGTCATGTGTAATGTACAATGTAAGGGTCCAATAAAAACTACGTTTGCGTTTGCAGGCTATCTTAATGACTATTATGTTTGCCCCCCACCCCACCCCACCCCCAGGGCAGTCCTAAGTTGGGCTCAGTCTTAATTTTATCCTTTTCTGACGGCTGCTGTTCTCTATTCTCTAACATAACATCCATGTATACATTTTTGCCAAGTCCTGTTTCAGGAAAATGTGTGTCCGACAAGATGTTCTGTATTTTCACTGCAGCTGTTTAAGATTATCATCATTCAGGCTGTTTGGCAGGCACCCTTAACTACTTTTTACATACACAAAATGCCTACGTCATTGCAAGTGCTGCTGCACGTCGTGACAAGCATACTAAGTACATCATGTAGTTGTTTAACCAGTTCGACGACGACATTCTTGGTGGCCTTGGTTTGGTGCGCAGGTAGTATTCATCTTACGAGACACGTCAAGCTCTACAGGACACCGTCCTACTTTCTAACGGTATCTATCTCGATATGACATTTTTTTTACCTGTTTTACAAACGATCGAGCATCATGTTTTATTTCTGCGAATACAGGCGGCAAGATAAAGCGCGTAGTGTTCTATGTTGTTCTTGATCATGTCAACTATGTTCACCCGCATAGCTCAGACGTTTTGTTCTAATTTTAGCGACCATTACGCTGTTGTTCTCTTCAACGCCACAGTAAAATAATCAAGTCTTCTTGATATGTGATAGTTCCCTTGTAAATAAATAGTGAAAGTGTGTGTGTAGTACTAGTATTTCTTTCAAAGTTATAAATGGGTGCTTGGGGTCGTGTGGTACAGTCGGTAGCGCGTTCGGCTCACACACAAGAGGTCGCGGGTTCGAACCCTGCCCATGTCAGCGATCTTGTGCCCTTGGGAACAAACCTTACAGTCCGATCTTAAGCAGGTTGTACTTACATGTTACGGTTATGCGAAACAAACAAATAACAAAATGAGACTCTGCTCGGTGTGAAGAGGTGGTCTACGTGCCACAGTGCCACGCCCAGACGCTTTCATTGTGTCCATCGTAGCGTGAGACATATAACACATATCTGCCCCATCTAGAGTTGATACGTACGATTTTGCCGTAAAACAACGTTATGCATTAGGAAATCGCAACCGCATACTTGTCGATTCCCTTTGGGTAACATTCTTCATAGTGTGTTCTTGTAATTTTCATATGAAGAGCTCAGTTTTGCCGACCTTATTAAGTTTAATGGCGCTATAATTACTTTGTTCACAACCGTGTATAATATGTGAGACTCGCCCTGCGGCTGTGTCACAGACCTCTGAACACGTTTGACCGGGTGTGGCTGTACGACATTGTGCTGTATATTTTTCATACCATTTTTTCGACACCCCTTGTTGCACTTTCTTCAGAAATACCTAGGGGCGCTGTGAGACCAATCATGTGCTGCTGTCGGCTCCAGTCCTGCTGTTGCTGTGGCCTCCGCGAAGGGTCGATCGCTATTGGGATTATCGATTTGGTACATTCGAATTCTCTCTTTTTCTTTATTAGCTCTAGGTTATGAATACCCGTTAATTATAGTCACACATAAAAGCGATTATGAACAATATTAATTTTGCGCATAAACGTTGACCTCCCTGGTGGTTGATATGTATTATACTAATTTGTGTGATCCATATTCAATAAATGTCAATAAGATCTACTATATGAATAAGAGCTACTAAAACAATAACTTGAAAAACACAAAATATCGAGCATGAAGATATATACTATCAGAATGTTATGGCTAATATATTTGTAAACATTAAGAGGTAAAAGTATACACTATAGGTATTATGAATTGGTAATGATTGATTTGTAATTTCTTGTTTCCACTTCACAGATCCTGTCAGCACTAGGGCTAGGCTGGAATGTGTGGCCAATCGCGGCTGGTAGAGGTGTAGGTGAGATGAAAGTCTGATTTCTATCCAAGATAAGCAACAAGAACATCAGCTACCCTGTAGATGCATTTACTCGTTACCATGATGATGATGATGATGATGATGACTGGTTTATTATTCACATAAACATACAGGTTAAAAGTCTGTGGCAGCATAAATGGCTAAATTGACGACTTCTCACAATTTAAAATCTTGAAGAATATTACCATAGAAGAACTTTATTGAAACAACAAAAGTACAGTGATTTACGTAAGGTCTGTAACGGACACAAAAGATTTAACCTACGTACAAGACTATCAATAGACAAACACGCGGACACATCCGTTTTCAGTATAATTCTGCATATTAGAAATGTACTATTTAGTTGCTATTTTTAACGTAACTCTGAGTCTTCTGTCTTCTAAGGTTCAGTGCCATCCTACGAATATTCACTATACGGGATCATCGGCGTCTATGCTATCTCCATCCTGTTCTCCATCCTGCTGATCCTGGGCGCCGTGAAGGTTGGTAATCTCATGGATACTTCAAAATGGCTTTCAGAGATATAGATCATCTCTGATTTAGTATTAGGCATGCAGTATTTTGCGTTTACACATGTTAGGCTTGCCCAGGAGTTACTTTCTTTTAGCTCTTCTGGCCTTTGGTCTTGTGTACTCAATAGTTCGGACTAGTTCAGAATGATGATGATGATGAAACACGGTATACAGCTGAGTTGTTATACACATCAGTATAACAACTCAGCTGTATACCGTGTTTCATCATCATCAGTTCAAATATATACATTGTTCATTTCAAGTCATGTCATGTCATGTCATGTTATGTTATAGAACAACGGCTGCCTGTGCCTTGCTTGGATCATCTGGTCCAGCATCTGTTTGTTCCTGTACATCGTCCTGGCAGTGGCGCTCTGTTTTTTGGCTTGGGGTGTTGGTTTTGCCGGTAGTCTCGTAGCACAATCGTCTGCCCTTGGAGCAGCCGCAATCGTGAGTACAATTATTACCTGTATACACTAATATTCAAACATGTATGTTGGGAGAGAAAACCGTAGCCTTACTGGTGTTCCTTCCGATTAGAAAAACCAGGCAGTAATTTGCAATTGCTGTCATAACGTCCGACTCGGAAGAACAGAGTTTGTGCAGAGTAGACCATTGTTAACTTTATTGTTAACTTTATAGTTGTTGTTTTCGAAAAGCAAGGTTCACGAATAACAATATTGAAAGAGAAAACTCACTCAAAAGTGCCTTCTTATGCTAATCTGACCACAAATGTTTCCACAGGGCGCCTATGGAGTCATTGCTGTCTACATCCCGCTCGCCATCGTCGCTGTGATCATCTTTTTCTTGGTAAGTTTTAGAGAAGGAAATGGTAAAGATACTAGTAACAAAACACAGCAGTCAATTGTTGCGCAACATTAAGAGGAATATACAAAACAGCCTATACCGATTCTATTTGCCGTTTACGACTGGAGTTAATAATTTCATGTGTTTCAGATCTACGGCATCATAGTCGTCAACTCCTTCCGTCAAGAACTTAATGAGAGCGGTGGCTACGCGAGTTCTTACCCGGTACGATACACCTTTACGTTTTACTCTGACGAGTTCTCTATAGCTAAGTCTTGCCTTATTGCGCATTTACTACTTCTAAGGTAAGCCACAGCAAGTGAGAAAAAAGGGAGGCTGTGATGTAAGAGCGACAGTTTTATTCAACGCAAACGCTTATTCCTTCCAACTCGCTGCTCGTTGAGAGTACGAATGAAACGGACATCTATCAGTTTATACACTCGGAGAAACAAGATCCTTCAGTTTTTATCATGAAAGTGAGACCTTCTGTTTGTGTCGGAGGAATAAAAGAATATAGGTGTGCATTAGACAGTGTAGGAGTGACATTGGTTCAAGATTAACGAGTGTGAACCTAGCTATCTGCCAACCACCTTCTCGAATACCTAGCCAAAGCTGTATTGTATCCCAGCCTACAAAAAACTGCATTTCTATTAACACCTCCCAATTCATACATGTATATCTCGCAAAATGTCGGCCATTTCATACTCCACTGCACACGGAAAAGAAATCAAACCCAACAATAACTACAAATGTATATCTAAAGTAGCATTAGCATCACTTATTATCATTCTACTGTTTACTGTTGTTATCGTGTTCTTGCAATTAGCCCTCGGGCATGAATTTGCAATAAACTTTCTTTCTATATTGTATACACATAACTATTCCATCCTTGGGTCAGGTCTAATCGTTACAATGATATTCAATTCTTCACTGTTGCAGATGCAAGCTGTGTGAAGAATTTCGAAATGTACATGCACAACAAGTTTCCTCATGACTTTTGTCGTCACCGACAGAAAGAAGGAAGGCGTTTATACACTTGTGGTTTATTTCGTTCCCTCATATAACTAATACCAACTGCATGCAACTTTGTATAATCAAATAATTAATCGTTTTACAAATATTTAATGATACTGCCCTATCAAATAATTGTTGAACAATATCGATATAATGATATATCATTTATGATTCTAAACGCGAAGTACAGCCTTTAAATACAAAGTGCCTACAGGACTTACCCAACATTAACCAAAGGCGAGGGAAAATCCACCTCACGCAAATGAGTTCAATGACATGTGTGCATTCAGCAATGGCCAGTTGCACCCTAGATTGCGCAACATCGAAAAGTAAAGTTGTACTTTCTGTACACTGTACTTAAGTAACATTTTACAATAAAAATGATAATATAACTCTATGCATCGTTACTATATTAATGTGTGTATCATCTCTTTGTCATTGGAATTAAACTTTCTTTAATTTGGTGCTATTTAATCTAAAGTAGCATGTCTCCTAAAACTTCTTGGTCACAAATACTAGCTTCCACGAATAAACACGTCACTAAGAAGTAGTGATGTCTGATTATGGTGAACGGTGTTGTTTGTGATTATCTTTCCCAAATCTAGTTATATTCATAACCGTGTTTCCCTGTGATTGAGACTTTTTAATGACTAGTTGTTAGTGTTTGTCCCCTAATGTGATGAGTATCGGGTTACCTGACACCTGAAGATTACCTGTGACGTATGAGAACCCGCCATTGTTCACCAAAAACATGGACATCTCAAAATCTAACATTTCAGTCCGCAAAATTATAGATATCTAAAGTTCAAAAAGTTCATTTTTAGTTTTTTTTTGGCTGTTATTGAGTTTTAGTAAAATAAATAAAATTAAAAAGTCCTAAGATAGAAAGTTTAAGATTACTGTAATATTTATAAGAATCCAAAAATCAAACCTTACTTTTGATGGGGCCCCTTAAAATCAGTTGTTTTGGTTCTCGTGAACCCTTTTTAAAATTGGAAATTGATCTCATTTGTAAGCAATGCAAGTGTACACAAATTTAAGCAAAGGCAGTGAAAGAATAACATTTTGACACGTATGACCGGGTGGCAATCGCGAGAAGGTGAACAAAACTATTTATGTTATTTCATTTTGACGAGTAATTCACTTACTGTTAATTTTACCCGTTGCCCACGGGACTCCCGCGCGGCCTTGTATCCTAGCAACCGACCGCGACCGAGGCAACACTTGGATAATCCACAAGCAGATCACGGGGGGGGGGGAGGGGCAACTTGTTACAGGATGGACAACTGTAGTGTCTTGCTCCCAAAGAAATTGATAATTGGAGATTAGAACAATGACGCGTCCTTACAATAAATAAATACCGTAGTGTTGCATGAAAATAATGACGTAAGTCAGTAGGATTACTTCAAGTTCAATAGTCAGGTACGTTGTTGTGACTTCTATAAATGAAGGCTGTTCAAGTTACTCTCCAAGCAGAGGTTTGGGCTTCAAGTAACCTTCTCTGAATAGGCACAGTAGTTTTATATAACCGTTAAAGAGTTAATACAAAGTGTATACAGAGACGTGCCCGTTCGTGTTGTGCAGTTACAAGGTTGGATTCGAGACCGCCGGGCACAGATAACATCAGACGGATTTGGCAAGTCTTCAAATCTTACAGCAGGTGCGATCAGATAGCTGGGCTCTGTTTAGGACGTTTGGAATTCTTCTAGAAAACTGCTTCTTGGTACGTTTCTCTTTTTTATTCAAAATGTAGCAGCGCGGTTTTGCTGTTAGGTATGGTATCCCCGTGACTATCTAGTTCTAAGGCTGACTGGGTTAGGGTTGGCATCAGGCTCGGTTCTGGATAGTCTCCGCGTATCCGAGAACATAGATTTGCCCCAAACACGGTTCTGGCTACGCGTAGACTATCCAAGATCGTGCCTGCGCATGGTTCTGGATAAAGGACAGAAAGGGCGAAAGACATCTTATAGCAGTTTTAAGTTCAATTTTGCTTACAGAACTGCAGGTAAATCATAATAATTTATGGCATCTATTATACTGGGGTAGTGGCCATTATGAAAATGTGGTCACCTCAACGAGACGTTATAACGTTAGTTTGAAACATATTTTTATGGTTTACCACATTTTGGACAGGAGTGATTTAGGAACAGTCTATTTGTGCGGAAGGGGGATAGGACCATTTTTGGTACGGGGGCTGTGGTGAAGCCATTTGCTGCATTTGAAATGTCGGCCTATCTATTTTACTTCTATGTTGACAACATTGCATGATCCCCCCCCCCCTGCAGATTGTGAGGTGCAGGTGTGTGTGCCCGTGACAGGCTCCGAGGTGGAAAAGATGGCCAGCGAACACGGATGCCTGGTGGGTTGTGTAGGCTGTCCCTATGTACTATATCCATGCAATTGTATTGTATTCTTTATTCGCACATAAGGAAATGTTAAAACCCAATATAAAGAAAAAATACATGTGCTGAGGAAGGCAGTTTTGTCTATCCGAAGCCTTCCCCACAACTAAACGTAAACATAGAGGCAGTAACTACCAAAAACTATAAATTGAAATAACAATACTTTGCCGAATCAATGCAACGTGTATCTAGTGGTACATTATTTCCTACACCGTCCACTGTACATCGACGAGCGATTCGATATGTTCCCATATCCTAAAACAATATCCTGCTATTTGAATGTTATTCACATGTTTGGCATACACCACCTTAAGTTGTGTAAATATGGGGCTTTTTTTTCTTTTTTTATTAACACGGAAAAGCACTGTATGGGGGTGGGTGGGTGAAATCTGTAAGAGTATCGAAACACTTGATACTGGATGAAAAATGTTGATATGGAACAGCCCATTTTGTAATGGGGAGGGACTGAAATATGCTGTATTTGCTCCCAAACAAATGTGGGTCTTTCTAGTTTGCTTACCATTTTTGCGACATCAAATTCGACACTTTCACCCCATGTTGTACGTTCTTCAGCAATGCCTTGAGGGCGCTGTGAGGAGAATCATGTGCTGCTGTCGGCTCCAGTCCTGCTGTTGCTGTGGCCTCCGCGAAGGGTCGATCGTTATTGGGATTATCGATTTGGTACATTCGAATTCTGTCTTTTTGTTAATCTCTACATAAAGCTAGTTAATGAAGAGCCTTTGTAGTCACACTTAAAATAGATGATGAAGAATACAAATTTTGCGCATGAAATTTGACGCTCCTTTCATTTGTGTGATCTATACTTTTCTTCGATTATTCAGATACATATTCAATGAATTACTATATATAACAAGCTCTACAATATGAAGTAGAAGCAGTGAAAATGATACTCTGAATAATACAATAAATACATGGCTAGAGCATGAAAATATGTACTGATAAAATGGCTGATCTTAAAAGAATATAGACAACAATTTGGTAGTCATTACGAATTGACAACATGAAGTACTGATTCATAATCCTCAACGTTTCCTCAATACATGTTTTGTAATTAAACGTAACCACATGATATTTCCACTTCACAGATCCTGTCAGCAATTGGAGCGGGCTTGCAAGTGTGGGCAATAGTGGCTGCAATTGCAACCTCCAGTGTCAATGGAGGTAAAATAAACGTTTGTTCTAATTTCTTGAAGAATATCATCTACACTGCTGTAACGTTGTTCTTATATCAATTTACATAAGTCGTGACACTCAGTTCTTTTTAACATAGCTCTAGAGCTTAGTCATGTCTATCTTGTGACCTTTCAGTCGCGGTCAACCCCGTAACGTACGTAACGTTCGGCAACCTGGGCGTCTTTGGTGTCTCTATGGTGTTCTCCATCCTGCTCATTGTCGGTGCCGTAAAGGTTAGTCATCACATTGCCAGTGGAGTGGGTCAGATGATAACGTTCCGAAATGGCTTTCAGCACACCAACGTTAGCTTTGAATAGTCATAATCTCTGCTTTAGTATCAGATGTGCGACAACTCATACTTTTAGCGAGATCCCTTCCCTCATTTCCTATGTTGTGCTCTCCAAGCATAGGTTTACGCTTTAACATTTTTTGACGTGTTTTTATCGGGATATCTTTTTGTACTGGTATATTTTATTACGCCAGCGCTTCTTTCGTAAATGCTGTACTCACCGTATACGTAACTACAATGTTACAGAACAACGCCTGCATGTGCCTTCCTTGGGTCATCTGGTCGAGCATCCGTTTGATATTGCAGATGGCCCTGTTGGCGTTTATCTGTTTAGACACCTTCTATTTCTCTAAACTCGTCGCCTTGACAGCCGCAGGGGTGAGTAAACACACAGTACTATCCAAGCAGGTATTGGGATAGAAACTACTCACTGTCCCTTCCGATTAGACCCCCCCCCCGCCCTCCAACATCTCCTAACATCAGAACAACGACTAACTGATGGTAGTTGACCTGTCCTCCCGATCTCCTCAGCTTACACATAACTAATATAGAGCAATTTGCTGTTACGGTATCGGGGGAGGAGAGGTATATATGTAGGGTACATGAGTACATGAGATACTACAAGTATTGTAGCTTGGTTTTCCTTTTCGTTGTTATCCGAGATTCTGAGCAATGATAAGATGAGTATAAATATTAAGATGAAAGATAAAAGTGACACTCTTAGCAATTTCATGCACATTTCAGATATGTTGATCTGCTCCAAATATTTCGACAGGTCGTTACCGCTGCCCTTTTGCGTGTGTACATCACGATCGGTATCCTTGTTGTGATCATCACTTTTTTGGTGAGTCTTTAAAACCATCTACATGTATATAGTGCCCTGTGTATGTACGATTTGGGGGTGTTTCTCCTGCAACGCATCACACCACACTGACACGCAACTACGCCGCCATAGGGCAAAAAAGTCAAGGGTCTGTGATCTGATTAAGACCTCAAATTATTAGAAAATATTGTGTAAAAAAATGCCAGCAAGACACAACATCTATACGCAATATTAAGAATGGGGCAATATACAAAGATGCATTTTACTGGTGAAGGGCAACTAAAAGTCAAGGTCATAATCGACCACGATGGGTTCAAACCATCATCGTTCCTATCATTGTACTTGTTCTGTTAACGTTTGCCATTTAAGACTTGAGTCTATGATTTCATGTGTTTCAGGTCTACGGCATTTCAGTCGTCGACTCCTTCCGTCAAGAACTTAACGAGAGTGGTGATGACTATGAGTATGAGGGTGGTGATGACTACCCGGCGGGGGCTTACCCGGTACGACACACCTTCAAGTTTTATTTCACCTTATTTTGACAAGTACTGTATAGGTAATTTTTGCCTCGCTTAGTTGTGCCTTTACTTCGAAAGGTATTGAAGAGAAAAACACCTTGGTTTCAGAACGACAGTTTTAATACAACGTCAATGCTTATTCCTTCTAACTCGCAGCCCTTTGATAATATGACTGAAACAGAGAACAATATTGTTCATATGTTATTATCAAAGTATGACTTTCTGTTTGTGTCAGAGGAATCAACGAATACATGTGTGCGCATTAGACAGTGTAGGAGTGACTTAGGTTCGAGATTGGCGAATGTGAACATAGCTATCTGAAAACTATCTTCTTGAATACCAAGCCAAAGCTATATTGCATAGACATATCATACCACATTGCCATTCCATCCTTGGGCCAGCTCCATTTGTTACAATAATATTTCATTCTTCGCCTTTGCAGATGCAAGCCGTGTGAAGAAATGCATCGCTGACAGCAGTACAGAAAGAAGGAAGACGTGTGTGGTTTATTACGTTCCCTCATATAACTAACACCAACTGCATGCAACTTTGTATAATCAAATAATTAATCGTTTTACATATGATACTGCCGTATCAAATAATTGTTGAACAATTTTACCTTACTGGCCTGTTGTATCAATTATGATTAACACAGCGCGAGGCAAGTACAGGGATTTGAAGTGCCCGCAACATTGAACCGTGAATGGTGCGGAAAAATCCACCCCATACATGTAAACTACTTGGTCACAAAATACTAGCTACTCTCCAAGTTGTGGGGAATGATCGTTACCTTTTTAAATATGGCCATTTTTTTGTCCTGATCCCCGTCGGTGGCTAATGGAGCTTCTCTGGCTAATGGATACTGGCTGGCCAATTTGATACTGTCTTTTTGCCACCGATAGGGATCTGCTTGGAGATTAATACTAGCATGCACGAATAAACACGTCACCAAGAAGTGGCGATGTCTGATTATGGTCCAAGGTGTTGTTTGTGGCTGTATTTTCCAAATCCGGTTATGTTCATAACCGTGTTTCACTGCGATTGAGACTTTTTAAGTACTATTTCTGCCGTTTACTTGGGAAAAGACTGAGAGTTGGATTCTATCTGCAACTGTAGAATGGTACCGTCCATTGTAAGACAACACCTGTTTGTTGTCTAGGGGAAGACGCAATGCAACATTTCTTTATACTTTTTTGAGAGAATTGTGGCTATTTAATACGCTTCTGTTTGCAAATACATGTAGTCTGTAGGTACGAAACACGACGGGGGCCCGTAGGGGGTAAGAAAATATGACAATGGTTGAAATCAAATGATTCTCTGGCCCAATCAGACTCTTTGTTTTGAGACAAGGATTATCTTCTACTCAGGGAGGATTACAACAGATTTGGGGCGAACCAATGCAGACACTTTTTATTCAGTTCTGTTGCATGCTCTGTATAATAAAGAAAGATATTCAATGGACAAATCTATAACGCGCTTAAATTGTTCTACTGGGAATGTCTGGGAATGTCTGGGATTCCACCCCACAGTTGTTAGTGGTTTGTCCCCTAATGTCATGAGTATCGGGTTACCTGACACCTGAAGATGACCTGTGACGTATGAGAACACGCCATTGGTCACTCAAAACATGGACAGGCCAAAGTAACATTTCAGTCCGCAAAACCTTACTCACTGAAACTTTTCTGTGAGTTTTGGGCAGCCTCGCAATGATTTAGTACGCAAGATTGACAGTTTGGTTGTAGGACTAATGAAAATTCTTGAGTTTGTTTTTGTTGTTGAGACAGTTTCTACCCCGGAGGCGGGCGGGCGCAGTCAGCCTTGTTCAACCGCATTCCAAATCCCTCCACGGCTCCACGCTTCAGTACCCACAGGTAAGGAGGCGCACATTCGGCACGCAGGATTCGTACCTGGCTGTGGCGTTACCAACAGACCGACCAAGAACCACCACATTCCAACCGCATGGATAAAGAAGTTCAACTTTTGTACAATCAACTACATGTAACTTGTTACTGAGAACAAATTTATGGGACAGCCAATGCGTTATAAGATACATACACTTTTTATCTATCTCTTGAACACATCACTGTGAGCTAAAAAAACACTCTACATCTTTCTTTTCTCCACATGTGTCGTTCTTCCCCTGATTCACACAAAAGAAATCCGTGTGTTTATAGAAAACATTCTCCGTCTGAATGAATTCAAATCGCCCGGAGGCATATACATTGGCGCGCGGAGGTCATTCACAGTACAACCCTGCCACCCCCTCAGATTTACATACTGGATCGCCCCCTCAGCAGATTATAAGCGTTCGTACCTGGAGAGACTACTTCGCACCGCAGTCTGAGGACTTTCAAACCTCAGGTACGTACAAACGGCTGTTTTCTGGTCAAAACTACATACGCAGGTTTTGTGTGACGTTTTCTAGACGCGAACTGGATGGATGGAATAGTTCTAAACGGCGTTCTAGCCGCTGCACACCTGTAAGAATGAACAATACCTACTGCTGCTGTTTGTCAACCGCCAAACCGTCAGTGTCTCGTCTTGCAGGGTGTTGTCTGATGTTTCCTGTGTGTCTATAGTCTATTTAGGAATCACATCCTTACTTTACGCTCAAATTTCAACATGTAGACACGCTATGTGAGGAGATCAGGACGGGGGGAGGGCGCCGTGGTTTCCTACCTACGTAGTTTGATTTTCTAGGTGATCTGTTGTTTTGCCCACAGCGCTATAATCTGGGTGGAAACTTCCGGAGGGGTCTATATACACACAGATGGTTGCGTTATGCATAATCTCTGGTCATCTTTGCAAACATAACAGCGATATATTTTCTTCCCCTCCCTAAATTTCGGGTATCTAATGACGGATTGTTGATTTTGAAGCCATTTGGTATGACGGTTTTCTTTGCGTGTGTTCTTGGGAACTCATGAATAAAACATGAGTAATTGTTCAGAGTACCTGGCCGTGTAAGGGGAGAATCAATAGATTGTCAGGGCAGCAGAGTTTTGTTGATAAAGCATGGAAATATAGAAAATTGGGTCTATTTGACGTACTCTCATATTTCTATTGACATTCCAAGTGGTACCACTGCTCTCGCGTAATGTATCGACGTATCTCGACTTTTACCGACCGTTTATAGACGGTTTGCCCCGAGGGAGTAGTGGACAGCCTGACTCATAACTGATATCAGAAAAGCAAGAACTTTTTGGGCTCATTCGAAGGGAAAGGCACCAAAAAAACTGCATTGTTATTAGTTAAACTAAAAAATGAAGTGATTTTTTAACAAAAATGTGTTGTCTGCTCCCACCCACCTGTTTACGCTTCATTTCAGTATCTGGAGCTGCCGCTAGGAGGCGTTGTCGATCATGGAAGGCCGAACGATGTGCTGCGGCCTGCTCAGTCTTCGGGCTGGTGCATTCTGGGTCGCCATTGTCTACACAGTAAGTTTAAAGTAAAAGTTTAAAGAATATTTGCTTTTCTTTGCTAGCGATCGAATTTGTAGTTACTGCATGCTGTCCCTTTTGTTGTTAACCCACAGAAAATTCATTTTCCCTTAGATCCTGACGCTCTTGAATCTAGCTTACTGGGTGACTTACGTGGCCCACCTTGGAGGTGAGAATCTGTCTTTGTCCGTGTACTCATTTGCCCCCTCCCGTAGAAAGAACACTAAAACAATAAAACCAGAGAAAAACACACTAACAGTAGTACACCATCTTGAATTAAGTTACAATGTATCTATCTTAGATCTATCTGTTAGATGAATATAAAATGTTTCATCATTTTCATGTATACTCTAAATATGTGATACCAATGAACATTGTTTTGTACTTGAGTCTCAATACGGTATAAACTGCTCCCCCAGCTGATGGAATGAGCGGTGTAGGCCTGGCGTTCACCATTCTTGGAACCATCTTCTGTTTCCTACTACTCATTGGACTGTGTACGGTAAGTAACCTGTTATATGTGTACAGCATTTCATCAACTACCACCTCTCCCATCCACTCATGATCAGAAAATATGACATCTCAAATCTGGGCTGAATGCACATTTGGTTTTTGCATCTGCCAGTATGTTATAATATTATACTCTAGAAAACATGCCCACAATAGATCTAGAGGCGTCATGAGGACAAGGCCTACATGGTAAGAATTATACTAGCAGAAGCGATCTAGCTTTTCAATTTAGCTTGTGTAGAAATTGTATCTTATTGTTGGCGGTCTACTCTGTAATATCGATTCACCCTTCAGTCTGCGACTGTTGTGATATAAGTTAAAGTCCTAATAAAGCATTACTAGCTAGAAGTAAATCTCTAGTGTGATTGTCCATGTCATGTCTCCCTACAGTACCGGCCCGGCCTGTGCTCGGCGTGGCTGGGTGTGTCCGGTATCTACCTCCTGGCAGACTTCGTGGTCTCCATCCTGCTGACGTACTTCGTGGTCTGGTGGCCGTTTTGGTATGAGGTACGGGTGTTTTCTTCACGTCTACATCATTTGACGTCTACATCTAAAAGGCAACATTCGAGGTCATTGTTGCCTTTTAGGACATTTTTTTCAGACAGAGCATAGCTTAACATGTAGTATAAGTATAATAACTGTTCACAATTTGAATTTTCCTTACAATTAACTACTAGTATAATATGGAAAGGTGAACATTAGCATATGGCTCGTCTGTACAAAACGAAGCTAGGATCTGTGAAGTAAAAATTGCATTTTCATCAACAATAACAAAGCTCGTTTTATTTAACATTTCAGAAAGGGATCGAGCAGGTGTTCCCTGGACCGATATACGGTCTGCAGCGCTGGATGTACCTGTGTCCCAAATGGCTCATCCTGTTTCTCTCCGTCGTCTTCCTGGTAAGTGTCAGTTACAAACTTGTGTCTCAGTACAAACAAAATGTACTTGTTAACAATCGTTTAGCTAAGGTATATATTTGTGCAAGCAATGATCATCATTGCACGTTTGCAGTACGTGATTCACAATGTACAGTATGGAAATGTACTAAAGTCTAAACCCGATCCATGCTTTACAGATCTACGGTGCAATTGTGATCACATCTCACGGCAAGGAGATGAACACAAAGTCGTACAGGCCCGGGGGCAATTCACGTGCATGAGGGGAGGTGAGTACAACGGGGGTGATACATTGTATGGTGCATACGATACATTGTGAAGAAACATAAGCAAGATATGATGTAATTTTGCTGAATCGCTATCTAGGGAGTTCAGAATATTATTAATTGTTCAAGAAGTGTTCTTTTTTAGTGACTGGTTGTATAAGAAAAATTATGTCGACATGTTTCATATTTGAATGTTACAGTAATTTATATGAGTCATTTAGGACATCACAAATCCCAACTATGTTTTTTTTCTTTGGAATAACGGATCTTTTATTTTTGTTTCAGTCCTGACCACAGACAGCACAACCAACCTACAACACATCATTTAAACTGCAACAGTGATCAACTTTATCCTTACTAACATGCAAATGTAACAATTGACTTGGTGCGTTGATGCACCCTTAGCTACAAAAAAGCGATTAAAGCGATATCAAAGTTGTGAAGTTACAAGTATCGCAATAAAACCTGCGATTCTGAAATCCACCTTTATGAGGAAATTTAGAAAGTTTAGAAACAGAAGAAGCAGGGATCACTCATAGTGTATTCCATTAAGAAAATGTCAGTATTGTTGTTCACAGTTTATCTGAATACTTGGTTTACAAATATCTATTTTCAAACATTCATATAAAGTGAAAGTCGTAACAACTGTACATACAGAAGATCTTAATCAGAAAGATAAAATGTATTGTTTTCCAATCTCTTCAGTAATGTTTACATTTTTGCATATTTTGAACATCATTACGTTTCATACTTTTGTACATGTCTTGTCGGTTTCTATTAGAACTAGATAAGTAACAGAGTATTCTAACAAATACGTTTTAAGTCTTAAACAATTAGCATTACTTTACAGTATGTAGATTTTAGATTTGTAGCGTGTTTGAAGCATACTTCATTACGTTCTTTTGGATAAAACGTATCCGGTGATAAAAATGTAACGTTTCGTAAGAAATAAATCATAATCGTGTACACAGCGATGGGAGTGATTTCTTCATTTCTTTGGAACTATCTTCCCACAGTTCGTTTAACAATTTCGATATATATAACGTTATAACTGCGTTATGAAACTTCAACGATGACGTCAGTGCTCTCGTTCCCAAGTCTGTCCACGGCTCTCAGCAGGTACCTCCCGGCTTCGACGCTTACAGAAGTTGTGTTGTAACCGAGGACGTGCACTACAGACAAAAACAAAAATGCCCTCTATTTGAAATCAAGAATTTACACCGGTACAAGCATGCGCTATGTTTGTACAGTTAGCACATTTCAAATGGAGAAATCAACTGCTTTCGCCGCAATCGACAGGCCTGGCTCGATATGTAAAAGTTCTCATAGTGTGCTGCTTATCAAAAATTTGAAATAGGTATCCAAGACATACTATCTAGCTGCAACTCAAAAACACCCCACTCCAAACCAACATGTTTCTAGCTCCCCACCCTGCCAACCCGGTTCCAAACCACCACCTAATCATAGTTGATATCATTGAATTTTGCAAACAGCCCATGTTGTATTACAGTGGTTTTCCCTAGCCTCCTAGACTTGTTGGGCGTCGGCGTTTTTTTTCTGTGAGTAATTGTTGCGAGACGCGAGTAATAGTTGAAGCGCGAATTCTTCTCTTCGCGGCAAAAACTCCCTCGGCAGCAAATCGTCCCTCGCGGCGGCTCGCGTCGCTCACAGAAAAAAAATAACGCCGACGCCCTACAAGTCTGCGTAGGAGGCTAGGTTTTCCCTACCTAATCCCCATGTGTTTTCCTGGTCCTTTCGGTAGAGCGCCCAGGCTCGCACGGCTCCGGACTGGTCCCAGTTCCACGTGATTTCTCCCACGCCTGCCTGTTGATGAAATGATACATACAAAAGTTTACTCGAATTTGACACGGCCAGTATGTGTATACACTACAAATTCAACCCTAGCTATCATAGTAATACCCAATCGGCCCATGAAAGACACAAAATGCTTTTGTACCAAAGGAATCAATGATAAGAGATTTTGTGAGAGTTTGTGTAAACAGTACCTTTACTCCAGTGGGCGGGTCAGGAGAATGAGTGTCCAGCCATGTCATGACTGGGGGAATGGCGGGTCGGCTGTACACGTCAGATTTAAAGATATCAACCACTCCTGGAAAGTAAATTTAAAAACAAAAATAAACCATTGAACCATTATGAAATAACAACAAATCTTTCAAAACGGAACAAATCATGTCAAGTACACGGATACTAGAAAGCTAGGGTTGGTATTTTGCGGCCATGCCTGTCCTTGGTGCTGAAAACGTTTCACACTACATTGTTATACCGTAGGCTGTACAGCGATAATGATAGCTCGACAGCCGTCGCCGAATAAAAGCAAAAAGAACACAGTTTTGCACACACCAAACGTAAATAAAAGTACTGATTGTTATGCAGCAAAAAAATGGGAAAAGCAAAACAGTTCTGCTGCAAAGTAGGAGGTACAAACCTGAGATATTGTCTCTAAACGGCTTCATACTAAACATGATGTTTCCCAACGACAGACGATCCGCGCGATCTCGCGAGATCTTAACCTGGTTCACGAGTTCTGACACCGGCCAACCGGATGTAAAGATTCTGCTGAGGTAATTTCCGGTGTAGACGTGACGTTGCAAGGGATTCTGGTCCAGCCACCAGTCCAACAGGGCGGGGTAGCTCTGCTGTGGAGGTTCTATCTTCCAGTACAGCTGAGGGGCAAGGTAGTCTACCCAACCCTGCTCCAGCCACAACTTGGGATCGGCGTACAAGCTGTCGTACTGACTAAAGCCTACAGGTATGGAGAGCATTGGAGAGTTCCTGAGTCTGTGCCATATATGTTTTCAGTACCACTATATATACACTGAAAGCTTCTCCAGTATTGAAGCTCTGTATGTCTCTAAACAAATGAGTAACGCTGTTTGAATTTCAGGTCACTTCATATTCAAATGACAGGCTTGTCAAAAATGTAACAATGAGCCATAACCTATCCATGTACTTCATTGGTTAGTCTTTAATTCGCTTAACTTATAGCGCTGTTGCCAGAAGCATTCCTTACACACAAGTACCTTGGATCCCCTCTGGATGCCCGGGTTTCCAAATGCCAAAGGGTGCGATGCCAAACGTGACATACGGTTTTTCCGCATGGATACCCTCATAGAGCCGCTTCACTAGTTTGTTGACGTTATCCCGTCTCCAGTCAGACTTGGACATGGTGCCTCCTGTAGACTGGGAAATTGTCGGCCGTTAGTGGGTTTCTTTTGTGCATGCTTGTTCTTCTACGCCGCATTATGTCTTTTGTGCATGCTTGTTCTTCTACCCCGCATTATGTCAAAATGCCCATGCATTATAGTAATGTACAGGATCTAATTACTAACACGATATATTCTATGTATGATGTATAGATGTACAGCACATTAAAGATTCTATCAACACTCCCAGCTTTGCTTTACTGTAGGATTGGAGGGATGTGTACACGCACTTAAAACAAAATCAACGTCACCATCGGTAGATGTAAGAAAGTAAACAAAATTCAACAACACAACTCATATAACAACAATATTAACTATTTTTGTAGTTTTACTTGACTGTAAGGCGTAATAATGTTATTACTAGTATTTGTTAAATTAGTCTGACTACCTGATAATCTTGGAACGTGGCATTGTCAGGAAAGTCGACACCTCCGGCAGGGTAGGGATAGAAGTAGTCGTCAAAGTGAATGCCGTCCACGTCGTAACGTCTGACGACGTCGAGGATGACGTCATAGGTGTGATTCTGGACGGCCGTTGCGCCGGGGTCCATCCAGATGTAGCCGTCATACACGCATGCGTACTGCGGGAAGCGGCGGGCCATGTTCGTCACGGCTAGGGTGTAGTTCGCTGATTTGTGACGAGCCCTGCAATTTTGGAAATGTTAAGATATATATTTAGTTATCCAAAAGCAGTTTGCAATTCAACTTTCAAGGTGTTGTGTCCACATTATGGCCAAAATATTTAAAAATATTAAGATCCAAAATTCTAATGTACATCTCAAAGATTTCAATTGTTTTTATCGCCTTTGAATCATTCTGAAGCATGTTAAAAAAAGCTTAAACATGGCTTCATGAGATCAATTATATTTGTTAACTGCTAACTTTTAGAAATATTTCTGTATTTAAACATTACCGATAGGGATTGAGCCACGCATGGATCTGGATGCCTCTTTTATGGCACTCTGTTGTAGCAAACTGCAGCGGATCGTAGTACGGTGATGGGGCTGCCCCCTGGCGACCGGTAAGATAATAGCTCCACGGCTCCAGTTGAGAGTCGTAGAATGCGTCTCCCGTCGGCCGTACCTATAGAAATAGTTTTTATTTAACGATATTAATGATGGTTCAATCGAAGCCTCAGATTCAGCAGACCACAAAGTCGGTCCATAATTTTTTTGTTTAAAAAAACCAGTGGAAACATTCCAGTTTACTATAGGCCAAGGCATTCCCTTACTTTCATAGTGTCCCAACTTTCAATGAACGAACCTGGAAGACGAGGGCGTTCAAATTTACTTCCACCATGCGATCCAAGATGGCGATGAGTTCGTCCTTCTGTTGTTGTGTAGTCAGAGACATGTCGGACGGCCAGTCTATGTTCTCTACTGTCGCCGCCCAAACTCCACGGAACTCCCGGGAGCGGGGATCCACCATACGTAGATCTGTGTTTGCTTCTTTTGTTGGGAAAGCGACAAAATTCGTCTGAATTTCAACAAGCATTTGCAAAATGCTTTGTTTACGCTTCAGATTTATCAAAGATACCATAACTTTATTCTGTATGTAAGACTTTATTCTGTGTGGGCTTTTCTGACCCAGTATTTGGGACAAACACAGAAACATTTGACCTTTGATTTGAAAAGTCAAACACATTTACACATTGTCCAGAGCTTTTAAGTCAGAGACACTTTAAACAAGGTTGACATGATACGACCGAAGTTTGAAAGGCCCCGACATGTCCTTATTGGCGCCCTTCATCATATCATTATCTGAACATTCTGAAGTCGACATGTTCCTTTCAAAGTTCAACAAAGACTGCAAATATTGACGACAAACTACTGATAACACCCATCGTGGACCCAGAAAGCTTGTAAATTTACAATGAAACCTGTATCAAATAATGAAACCTGTATCAAATACATTAAAAGCCGCAGTGAGAGAAGGCTCTTCGTGATATTGCCTTAGTGACGCCCTTTTTGTTAAACATGCATGTAATAAAGCCATATTGTTTCCATACTTGGGTGTTTATCAATGTTTTTCGTGAAGGTTTCACAACCACTTTACAAAACTTAAGAAGGGTGAGGGAGGGAAAAAAGATAGATGATTCAGACAACATTTTACACGTAGAATGACTCACCGATAACATACACCACAGTTATGACAAGTACCATGGACGCCACCAACCCCATGGCGGCTCCGAGCACCATGTACCTCCGGTTGAGCTGTGTTCTTGGTCCATGGTCCGCTTCCGTTACGTCCATGCCTTACAGGTAGTTAGAGGGCCTGCCCAGCAGAATACCAGGAAACTATGAAAGCTATGATCAGATTTTTTTGCGACAGTGAATCACGATATGTGCCGGGCAACACTGCATGCTAGAGGTACCTGTTCGAGTCACGTGGTGTGTACCTGGGCAGTTTGACATTTGAACGTACGGTTAAAGATAGCGGGGCGGGAGACAAGCATGCCGGCCTGCTCGGTTTGTCAACAACATTCTTACGTATCCTGGTAGGGCGAGGGCGCACAGGTCGTGCGATACTAGCTGACGAGCTCAAGCAGGACATGTTAGTGTTAGACTTAGATCGATAGGGACAAGGGCGCCAAAATAGCGTTACAAAGCAAATAGTTGCAGCATTTTACTTAGCACTTAGCAGTAATAGTTCGTTAGATTTTAATGTTTATCCTTTAAGAAAAATCTTTAATACAATCTAGAAGTAAGGTATCACGACGACATAATAACAACAACAGTGTACAGCCACCACTTTATCATAGCTGTTTCAAAGTCGACTAGTCTATGGTATTTGGTATAAAACATATATGTTTTGTCGGAGGATTCTTAGAAAAGATTATACCCCGGCCACGTAATATTTTATTCAATAACCCAAAAGCACACAAAGTCAAAGTCCTATTTACTGCACACTTGTCCCGCTATCATCTGACTGATTCAGCAGTGAAGCGTATGTTTGGATTCAATCTGCGTATCATATACTATGTTGCAATGTTTTCAATTATTTCAATGATATATGCTTTGTATCAGATTGCTACGTTGGTCCGTATCACAAGTTGACACGTTTATGAAATGAAAATAATACACAAGGAATTCAGACAGGATGTGTTTATTTCTTACTATGAGGATCTGATCTCATTTGAGAAGTTTACGATGTCTATGTGAGTTTGCCCTCTTTTAACTTTTCATCAATTTTTTGACAACAGCACTCGTTCATGGGATATCCACGATGACGTCACTGCTCTCGTTCCCAACCCTGTCCACCGCCTTCAGCATATAAGTACCGGGATCGACAGTGATAGTCGTGGTGTCGGCACCCAGCACTTTAACTGGAAAAATGATCAAATGACACAACTCGGAGAAAACAAGAATCAGGACGCCAAAACAGTTCTCAAGCAACTGGATCTGTACTAATTATCTATTAACTCATAGGAAGCTATATAAGGAAAACTGCTAATGTAAAAGACGGACATTACAGGAGGATACTCTCTACCCACCCATGGTCAGACGGCCGTCCCCCTCCTGCCGGTACAGGGTCCAGGCACGCACGTCACCCGTCGCGTCTCCGGACCATGTGATGGTGCTAGACGCCACCTACATCAACACAAAACGCCGACAGCAGTATTCTTTGGACTTACACAAAAAGCAAAATTTATGGTCTCACTAGACTCTTTCACTTGCAGAAAAGAACGAAATCATAGTTTAGGCCATAAATATGACGATGACAAATAATACATGTACATCCCTTTGCCTATAATTTCCGAGACTGGTGTAGATTAGAAACATGCCAAAAAGTAAATATCACCTACAAGTAAAAAGCAAATATCACCTTCAAGTTAAGATAAAATTAAGTCAAGTGATTGCCATGCTATACCTGGACGCCAGACGGCGCTTTTGGTGCGCGGGTGCTCAACCAGGGCATTGCAGGGGTGAGGACGGGGCTGGTGTACACCTGGGACTTAAAGGCGTCCACAACACCTAGTAGATAAAGATGTGAGAGCTTAGAATCCCTTAACTTCTTAATTGTCAGGTAATGGCCAAGTATATGGTAGTATGAAAGCTAAAAACAACTTCTTTTCTGAGTTGCAGTATATCTCTCCTTGGTACTGAAAAGCTATCACTTGCTCAAGTGAGAAGAACACTTCGGTACTAAAGAAAGCTGCACACTTACATTCTTTTCTAATTCCAATCAAACTGAGCATTTTTCTGAAATTTAGCTATACATACTGTATCCATCCCACAACACCCCGCCTCTCTATTGTTGCTTAAAACATCACTTCATTTTGGACAGTCTCTTTGCTATCTATCCAGTTAAGTTCGTTTGTTGGTAAGGTCTTACCCGCACTGTTGTCTCGGAACGGTTTCATGCTGAACATGATGTTTCCCAAAGACAGACGATCCGCGCGATCTCGCGAGAGTCCAACCTGGTTCACGAGTTCTGACACCGGCCAACCATCGGTCAGGATTCTGCTGAGGTAATTTCCGGTGTAGACGTGACGCTGCAGGGGATTCTGGTCCAGCCACCAGTCCAACAGGGCGGGGTAGCTCTGCTGTGGAGGATCTATCATCCAGTACAGCTGAGGGGCGAGATAGTCTACCCACCCCTGCTCCAGCCACAACTTGGGATCGGCGTACAAGCTGTCGTACTGGCTAAAGCCTACAGGTAGGGAGAGCATTAGCAACTTCATAACGCTGTGCCATATGTGACTGAGGCCCACAGAAATGGATAACTTTGGAAAGTTTGTAGGTCTGTCTCGTAGGCTATTCCTTTAAGCATCGGAACTGTTAAGATGGTATTGAAGTGTCAGGGTCATAATACCAGTGCTAACCTCATAAGGTCTGGAGGTGACAGCATTTTCCGCAAACCCGATTTGAATGAGTTAAAGCATGGAGGTAGAACTAGCTTATACATCCTTGTCCTTACGGGCTAAATACAGGTCATAGTGATAAAGTTATATGCACAGGTTCGGCGTTTTTCTTAAGACAGTTGTAGGTGTAAGAACAGATCTTTGCTATTTATATCTAAAGTCAGGAAGCACCCCTTACCCACGATCCCTGCCGGGTAGCCGGAGCGCCAGATGCCGAATGGTGAGATGCCGAACTTGACGTGCGCCTTCTCGGCGTGGATGCCGCCGTACAGCCGGCGGACCAGTCTGTTCACGTTATCACGCCGCCAGTCAGCCTTGGACAGGGTCCCTCCCGACGTCTGTGGGAAAACGGGTATGTATATAATCTATAGTTAACCGCTAAACTTCGTTCCAACACAAAATGCCACAGCGAAATTCTGGACACTGTAAGAACATGGACACCAAAGAAGACTACATCCTTTAGAAAGAGGCTATTTACATCAGGGTCCTTCACACAACGTTTACCAGATATCTTTGACTCAGTGTTCACGTCACACTTCAGAGGAGCCACGTGACAAGCCTCACTGGGTCAGTCTACTGAGAAAGACCAGAGTGACTGGTCGAAAGCTCTAGCTATAGGTGAGAATTTTTTTGTGCTGGATCAAAAATTTGAAGCGATTTGTAAAATGTTATAACTCTACCAGAAATGCCCTAACACCCCCTCAATGACCTAGTCTAACCTAATCTCTACCAGGCTTCTGGAGACATTTTTTGGGGTGCGACAAATGTACATGTACTCTCTGGCGGATCAACTCCCTCGCCATTTCATCTCTCTGTTTGGCCTATCTCTATAGCTACTCTTTCCAGCTGTCTCAGGAAGCCTGGTAGTGTAAGTCTAATGATTGACCTGGTAGGCCTGGTACGTCGCCGCGTCCGGGAAGTCCGTCCCGCTGACGGGGTACGGGTAGAAGTAGTCGTCGAACTGAACGCCGTCTACGTCATAGCGGCGCACCACGTCGATGATGACGTCGTACGTGTGGTCTGCCACCTCCTGCGCGCCCGGGTCCATCCACACGTAGTTCCCGTACTCATACGTGTACTGGGGGAACCGGTTAGCCATGTGGGTGGGGGCGAGTGTGTAGCCAGCTGACTTGCTCTTGGCCCTACATTGAAGAACATCACAGTACTGCAGCCTTCATTAGGCTCAAATGATTAAGTGCTGAGGACATAACAGTACAGACACGTATTGTCAGTACGGCAAAGATAATATTCCTCGATAAGTCGATATTATTCCCTGAACAACAAAAGTTTTTAGTGAACGCAAGACTCAACGGTGAATAGCACAAATCAGCTGTTTTCTTCATTCTAAGGTATTTTGACTATTATATATCACGGGTAGGGTAGTTTGTATTGTGTCGTGTTGTATTGACACTGCCGTATTGTACTATTGTGTTATGTTGTGCTGTACCGTGCTGTGTTGTGTTGTGTTGTGCTGTGCATATATCATTGCAGACTTCTTCCCATGTTTCGCCCCACCTGTACGGGTTGAACCAGGCGTGCAGCTCGATGCCCCTCCTGTGACTCTCCTCTATGGCGAAGGCCAGCGGGTCATAGTACGGACTGGGAGGCGAACCGTGATGGCCAGCCAGGTAGTAACTCCACGGCTCCAGCTGAGAGTCGTAGAACGCGTCTCCGGCCGGGCGAACCTGTCAGAATATGTTTGTTTGTTTGTTTGTTTGTTTGTTTGTTTGTTTGTTTATTTAACCATTAGAACAAATGTCGCCTGATGGTTCCTGGGGGAAAAATCCCACACAAAATTCATTAACAAAATGAACTCAAGATTAACAAAGGTGTCAAATGTCAAATCTGAGACTTTACCTGAGAACTTAGATTACAGATCACATGCATTGAATGGTTGAACCTTTATTTGATGATTATGTAAGTAAGTCTTAAAACGGTTTTTGTGTCATTCTTTTAGACTGACCCAATGATGTACATTTAGAACATGCATCTAATTCTACAACATTTCAACTCGTAAAAACGAATATAGGTGCCCCAAAACCTACACATTTTTTAGTCTCTCCTACAGCTAAACCCATAAGAACATTTTAAAAATCACAAATCTCGACGATATATATACATATGTATGTTGTCATGATTGTTTTTGACTGAGACTTCAGTTTTGACTGAGGCAATGTCGTGCTTTGACGATGATTCCAAAACAATGTATGGAATGCATTGCTACGATTGGTCAATGAAATACATACTCTAACATTCAAACGTCGCCCAAAATATGGGCTCTATTCTTAAGATTCAAAAGATTACAACGCTGGTCGCTAAACCTGCGCCACAGGTTTACAATTCAATGCGGTTTAGATAAGATTATTATCATTATGAACCTGGAAGATAAGGGCGTTCAAGTTCAACTCCACCATCCGATCCAAGATGGTGACGAGCTCGGCTTTCTGCTGGTCGGTGGACAGATGGCGGCTGGAGGGCCAGTCGATGTTGGAGACCGTGGCGACCCAAACTCCGCGGAACTCACGTGAGGGGGAGGGTGTGATGGTGGGGGTGCCGGTTTCTGGGGTTTGAATACAGTTAAACTAGCTGTAGTTTTCAAACAAAACACTGTGTTGAGCATACATTTCTAAGATACATCAACTAGTACATCCTTGACCAGATAATGAACATAAACATGTATATACATTCCATTAATGAAGAAAAGATGATAACTCACCTGTAACAAGTATGATGGTCATCACGAGTGCCCCGGATACGGTAAGGGCTACTATAATTCCCAAGGCTAGATATCTCCTGCTCATAAACTTGGTAAACTTTGGAACAGGCATGGCTTAGGCGTTAAAGATTGCGTAGGTAGCTTATCTGATACGCAAAATTCTGATGAATCTCTAGAAATGTCCTGAGATTTCTGGAGGATCAGGAACTAACGAAGATACCATGTATCAGCAGAATGCCGTTTGTAAACGCCACCTTTAGGTTTCACGAGAGACAGCTGCAGACTGCGTTATTCCCTTCAGAAAAACACCAACGGTATGAACTGTGAGGAAAGATATCCTGATCGTGCTGATGTTTGTAACATTCCTACACGTCTGTACATGTCGATAGTTTATCTGGACATACCAAGGCTGAGCATCAAGGACACAACGCAACATTGGAATGGATGATTCAACAACATTCTTTGCCAGAATTATAGAGCATGCTTTATTTTGATCAGCCATAGCTTTGCATTGAAATGATCCTACACAAACACAGATATCGGGGCATGGTTTCTTTTCCCTTACCTTGCAGGCAGCACCGTCGGTAGGTAGGACCTCCACACATGCCGCTGACGTAACCACCAGGACAGTAGTTAGTGTCGTGCTTACACACACCGCCGGCGTACGTGCAGGAGTCGTCACTGGACGACCAGTACGCTTCATTCGCTTGACCTGGACAAGGAATGAGAAACGGTACATCATATCGTACATGTATGATCATTTCAGAGAGCAGTTTTTTTGTCGTTATTTCAGTTCTCTCCCTTTCTCTCTCCCTCTCTCTCTCTCTCTCTGTAGTCTGTCTCTCCCTCTCAAATGACAAATATGAGATAGAGACAGAACTGGATGTCTTCTATGTGTAAAATTGAGATTATCGTACAGGATGTACTAGTATCACAGAAAAGACTCCCCTGTCATGTCCATCAACGCCTGTCACCGTGGGTCATGCAGTGCGTCAACGCCTCCTATCTAAAAGCTTACGAAGTACACCACATTGTTACCTTGGTACTCAAGCAACTAGATAGGTTTTGAAAACTGTCAAAAGTAGTGGATGCTACTTAAAACGTCTGACAGTTTTAAAAACCTAATAGTATCCTTGTGTATCCTTCTGACTCACATGTAGCGTCGCAGTTGACGCAGCAGCGGCGGTAGGAGTCCCCGTGACACATGTGCTGCAGGTAGCCCCCCTTACAGGTGGTGTGGCGGTAGTCGGTACACACCCCGTGATGTGCCGTGCACTGGCTGTCAGCTACAGGGAAAACAAGGACGTTAGTTCATCGCTATGGTTTATGTTGTTTCCTTATGACAAAATCAATTGTTTCATTACGTTTAAGTCGCTCTGGTGCCATATGTTGTTATGCCTTTCATTGCGCTCTTGAGTCATGAAATGTGACAATAGTACCTTCAGCTTCTGAGCAAATGCTAAGCCATTGCAGATACTTACAACTTTAGAGTCAACAATAACACATCGGTTAGGATGCACATATACAGTTCTGCAAATAAGAAGTTTAGGTGACATATCTATAGTGGTGGCTGTATTCTATATGTTAAGTTGTCGTTTGTCACAGAAGACCTAAGTGCTCATGCAAACACGTTTAGCAGTACATGTACAATACATAAGAAAATAATTAGATACATGTATATCATATCTAGGATAACAGATACTCCGATTACACATATGTATGAACATGTCATTTCAATTCAACAAATGAGTTTGTGACAATACAACATTATATCTTTTCCTACGATGATTAATAAAAGCAATACGTTTGCAACGTTCCCATATGTTACATTCCTCAGCAATATATACTTATAGCAGTAAAGAGAAAATGCTAATAAAGCTATAGACCTTACCACGTGCGGCTGAAATAAACGCTAAGACGAGCAGCCACTTGAGCGCCATAGTTTCCACTCATTAACGCTTATAGTGGAGAGACGATATGTCGTGCATGTACCACATACACTTGTGTACTGCGCCACGTATCGAGATCTTACTATATATAAGCAAATAGCGTTACCTTGAGATACTGAAGGGTTTTTGTTTGACGGCGGTTGCACGGCTCATACAAACATCCTCAGCGGAACTGGGAGCATGTTACGATATCAATATTTGTATACCACCAGTATTATACATGTACTAGTAGTGTACGGTGATAACTGCAGCGAACATAATATACTGTCATTTTCCTGAGTAATGCTTCGGTCACATTTCACACCGGGGCCCGGCCGGGCTGTTTGTACTAACGAAAAATTAACTATTCATATCAAGAATATACAGAAATAGTGCCCACGACTGTTATTAAGAACTTTTCTGTGTTTTGTTGTCTTTTGTATCGTACCTTTCGTTCCCAATAGCTGCCCGGCCGGGCCCCGTGTGGGAATTGTGACCTCAGCATTAGCAAGGGGAATGTACATTATAGTTTCTTCCCACCCTGCTTAATTTGTTTCAGTATGTCATCTAAATTCCTGACGGAAAATAACTAATACCGTAATAGACGAAGAAAGCAAATGCTGCAATAAACCGACTAAAAATCAATGTAGCCATTTTATATCTAAGTGTCAAACTCTTCGCTATTGGTGTCCATCTATAGGGCCGTCGTACCAGACATACAAAACGTTAGTATACATAGATATTGTTTTAGTTCTGGTAGGATAAAACATTTTCACCACGAAACTTGCTAAACCGGCTGGACCAGTGCATGTAGTAGGCTTGTCTGCCATCTTCAGACACGAGTAGGAGACGAGTATATGGTGGAAGGAAACATCACCTCTCTCGCCCGGGAACTCGGCACGTAAGTTAAGGGCAATCTTCTAGGTAAGTTCAATCATAGTTTTGCCGACATTTCCTATGATATTGCGATACATGCGAACAACGCTAATGATCAAACGTCAAACGTCAATAGCGTCTCTTGTCATGCTCTGAGACAATTCCTTATAATTTACAAGGGATCGCTGACCCTTCTAACTAATGGGAAATGGATAATTTTGCTCATGATCATTTCAATACTAGTTTATGGGTGACGCACGTTTCCGTTAATCGCAAAAGCAGTTGAAATAGCAACGGTATAAACTCTTCTGAAGTTGTGTCTTGTGTGTAATCTATACACTCTATACTGTATCCTGGCGACAGGCTTAATAAATGCACCCTCTTACGGCTCGATACTTTTGTTTAGACACAAATAACCAACCGGACCAGTTTTGACGATTGTGATCACACAGTAGGTAGCAAGCAAGGCTGTATCAAGAGTCTTCAATCAATATGGCGACAACCGGGGCCTATTTGATTTCGCCCCTTGCTGAAGGATTGGGTACTTCTGAGGAAGCCGTGCGTTTAATCCTTTCTCTGCATTCAGGTGAGTACAGATGATACTCTTTTTCTTCACTGTCAACATTACCTGTTACATTTCAGAAGAAGGCTACTGTCAAGATAGTCGGTTTCAATTTTTTAATTACTAGCAACGTTACTTTAACTGTAATACGTGTAGAATAGATTCATTATTCTTAACGTAGATAGCACGGTGAATATCTGTCAACTGCAAAGGGGGGACTTAACTCCCTAAAAGTGACTGGCGCCATAGGTACGTGAGGGTGGCCTGTTGTCACGTTAAATATTTCTTTGGTTCAGCCCAAAACCATGAAATTAGAGCACACTTGTATATATACATCTGTTATCTCAACAGACGTAAGTTAATAAAATATTTCAATGTGTCTTCTCTCTCAAGGTTATTTATTGGCAATCTTTCAACGACTGTTTCTGAAGAAAGCGCCGCCTACCGCTTATCATGTCTTTTACACCCTGGCGGGACTTTCCATCGTGTATTTTAACTTCGGTAAGTTATAACGATTTTAATTACCACCGAACACTGTACAGTTGTTGCAATTAAATGTTAAGATCTCTGTTTGCTAGACCACAGTCCTCTTTATTTAGTTACCCTGCTATAGATAAAATTCACAAGTTGTCACCACATGTATCCCCTTTTATCATTTGTATCAAACCAATGTCATTATATAACGTCTTTGATCAAACCCATGGCCTCTCGACATCCTCTTGTCTTCCAACCATATAGGCATTGCCACGTATCACTCCGCGCTGTCGGTGATAGTGAACTGGGCGCTTCTCCATCTGTTGGGTGGATCCTTCCGCTCAGTAGTGCTGTCCTTCATTTACAACATGGTGGGACTACTTTTCTCATATTCAATACTTTTTTATGATTGTAGATAGTTGATTTGATTTATTAGACCGTATAGAGTGATATACAACCAGCAAGTGATTATAAAGCCAGAAAGAGCATATCTCTAACTCATGTTCCAAAGTATGGATTGTTACTAGTAAATGTAATATTATTTACTTTTTATTGATGCTGTTTACCCCAGGGTACCCTGTTGTTACATTATTATCTCATTGGCACTACCACTTACGTCATCAACTTCACCACGCCCCAGTGTGTCCTGACTTTCCGTCTGATCGGTAAGACTCAGTCTACTCAACTATTCTGGATTTAAAAAAAGTTACTGGCTAAGCAAATTTCTAGAACGTTAAGTTGGCAGACAACCGGTTAACCGAAATAATGTTGCTTTTTGTTCTTCCATAGGTTTAGCGTGGGACATTTATGACGGCACCAAACCACCGGTAACCATTTTTGTTACGTTTGAATCCTCACTGTTTTATATCCTTCTGTTTATTTGTTTGTTTGTGTATTTGAGTCTGTTTGTCTGTTTGTATTTATTGTTACTGACAGAGATGTGATGATATTATTCTACAGGAGAAACAGTCGGAGAGTCAGAAGAAAGTTGTGTTGAACAGGTCTCCAACACTTCTGGAAGTGTCCGGTTATGTCTATCACTTTGGAGGACTTTTGGTCGGACCACAGGTGGGTCTTCTTCGAGAGGATGTTTTGTTTTTATTTCTTGTTATTCATCTATACGCTTGACACACTGTATGTACATTCGTAGTCCCTTACTTATGTCAATAAGATGGTTACCATATTTACGCATACAATCATACTCTTACCATAGGCATGGGAAAAGTGATGGTTGATAGGAAAATAGATGAATGGCAACCAACTCTAAGAAAAAAGTGAACTCTCTGGCTCAGTGTGAATCAAATGAATAACAAGCTGGAAAGATCTAACCCTATGATCATATTTTCTCTTTGTTCTTCTAGTTCCCCATGAAACAGTATTTGCTCTCAATTCAAGCTTTGACTTCGACTGAGGAGAAGCCACCAATAAGGTAAACAATCCTTACGTACAGTTCATATAGCTTTAAATTTCCTAAAAATGTATGTACGAGAGCTTTTATCTTTTTTCAACAAGAAACTTTACAGAACATAACTTAGCATAATTTAAGAATAAATTCGTATCTGCAATTAACTAATATGGCAACAAATGACATTGTTTCTGTTGTGTTCCACAGTATCATGCTGGCTCTTCAGAAACTAGCCACAGGCGTGCTGTATCTCTGTCTGTTCACGCTCCAAACGGTGTATTTTCCGGACGATTACATGATCAGCAAGGACTTTGAGGTAAGTTTGAACAGACACGCATTGCCCAGATCTTAGATCCGACAACGTTTCGAATACCCTGTTTATTCCTAGGAATATCTCTTTGTAAAAAGACAGTCACTATTGTTATTCTTCTATCACATTTGTTGTTGTTGTTGTTTGCAGGAATTAGACCTCCTAAGTCGTTGGGGCTTCGTCTTCATCTGGGGAAGGCTGTTCATCTGTAAACTGGTCGGAGTTTGGCTCATCTCGGTTAGTCTTATAACATTTTTTTTCAAAAAGGGATGTAACGCATGGCATGACAACTTGACTTTGAAGACATTTCTACCTCAACAATCAACAGTTATGAAAGATGTAAAACGACATGGATGTGCTTTAGAATGCAGTTACATACCTTAACATTACCCTAATCCAACGCTACACAGTGGAATGAATTTTTAGTTTTTAAAAACTTTATTCAGAACATCAGAAACAATACATCATAGCACTGTTGATATGTTACGAACCTTAAACTACAGATTTACAGCAATGAGATGGGCAAAACAAAAGTCAAATCATTGGAATGAATGTGTTTACCTATTGTACCCGTAGGAAGGTGCTTGTATACTGAGCGGCCTGGCGTACATACCCGGGACTGACGGGAACCCACCCCGTATGGACGCCTGTCAGAACGTCAAGATCATCCCGTACGAACTGTCAGGGTCACCTGACGAGATCATCCAGTCCTTCAACATCACCACCAACCAATGGCTGCTCAGGTATGTAGAGAGGGCTGCTCATCATCTGTCATATAGATTCATTTTCATCATTGTTTTATTTGTTGTTCTCTCCATCTCCGCTACACTGGTGGCTACTCTATCGCGGTTGGTGCGGGTTCTCTTCGGGGCTGCAGGAGCTCTTACCCGCCGGCCGACTTAGCAAGGTTCCCCTGTAGGTTTTGCACGACGGGTCGGAAGTTTAATTAGCCCCACCGTATTGTGGTCGGACTAATCAACTCCTGGTCTACAAAACTGAGAAGTTCCTACAGGTGTAACACTCCCACCAGGCGACCTGTTGAGCTTGACGGGGAAAACTATTAGATATTAGAGCCCCAGAGATAGCCTGCCCCAACCACGATAGACTGGATACCAGGCTATGTCTCTACCAATATCTCTCTCTCTCTCTTTCGGATTCTCTTTCCCACTCACACACTTTTCTTAGAACTTTAGCTCACGTACATTGTTTCTAAATTATGTTGATTACTCAAGGAAAATGCTGTAAATTTATGTCCTTTTTCGTGCAGCTACATCTACAAGCGTATGAGGTTCCTGGGCATGCGCATCGTGTCTCACGTGGTGACGTTATCGTTCCTGGGGATCTGGCACGGACTGCTGAGCGGCTACCAGGCGGCGTTTCTCTTTGAGGTCGCCTGGGTCAGAGGCGCGAGGGAGGTAAGAAAACGTCGATAAAAGTTAGACACCCAGGTAATAAGGCACCAAAGCAACACTTACTCAGACAACTGTGTGAAAATATATCCATTTCTATACAGACTGTTACTGAGGCAAGAAAACGTTTGGACTGATTTGGATGTGGATCTGTTTATCATACACACATAACGCAACCACAAACCGCCTAACATGTAACACACAAACCATTGATATATAGCGCACTTCTAGAAATTTTGACGCCACTGAAATTTCACTTGTATATCATGATTGATTTTAAAGAATGGCTTAACATTTGCGGGTTCAACACAACGGCACATGCTTTCTACATAACGATCTATAGTAAAAGAGAGACACTTCCACCTCGTTTCTTGATACAAGTATCTCGCTTTTTGAAAGCCATGCGAAACATTTTCCAGATCGACGACCTGGCCCGGCGAGTGCCCGTGTCCCGGGTCCTACCGGCGGCAGGGGTGCGGATAGTGCAGGGTGCAGCCCTGGTCGCCAGGTGGCTTTTCACTTGGACTGTGTTCAGCTACATGCTGGTGCCGTTCGCACTACTGGTGGCCGACAAGTGGGTGAAGGTAAGGCTGAAACCATTGAAATCTCTACGATACAGAAAGGTGCACACAGAGACACATAGAACTAAATACCTTCGCGTGTGTACGTATGTACGTATGTATGTGTGTATGTATGTATGTATGTATGTATGTATGTATGTATGAGTATGCCCAATAACATCAAGACAATCCTCGTACTTGGGGTATACGATTAACGCCATTGAGGTACAAGGCAAATGGGGAATTGCATGGGGTATACGTGATTTGAAATGACGCTGAAAGAGACTTTTTTACAGTACAGGCAGATGACAAGAAACGGACTGAGAGGGTAACAACACAAATCATTTTGCTTACTCTACAGGTGCACGGGCTGCTGTATTGGGGAGGATACATAGCCATAGGTCTAGCCTTAGTGATCGGTCCCTTACTGCGGTTGTGTCTAGCTCCTCCTCCCCGGGCACCGACAAAGGAGCCCGCTACTTCTTCTAACGGAACCCCGCCTTCTGACTCTTCAAATGTTGACGAGATGACTACGTCAGACAGACAGAACGGCAGCGTCACGGTGGACATTCCCTCACGACACCTAGCGGGACCCGGGCGCGATGAAAATCTGCAAGTGGCGGAAAGTGGAGGAAGAAGCCAAGAAGACGCTCAAAACTTAGTCGCTGCTTATCTAGGTCCAAGTCAGAAGAAACTGTTAGACAAGTTTGTTTGGGAAAAAGACGAAAATAAGTAATAAGTCAAATCTTATTCTGCATACGTCATGTACGTACTACTAGTATGTGTTGTTGTTTAATTATTGGTGATTTTCCGGCGTAAAGGGTCCATTCGCCATGACTTGTTTTATATGTACATTTAGTATATATTTTTAGGATGGTCTTTTATGTGATTTTCTTACTACAACGTTTACATCATAGCTTCAATGCGCAACCAAATAGGTGACTGTATTTAGACAAATAACTCTGCTTAGTAGCTAAAATGGAATCTTCTACTAAGTTCTAGGTCCAACGAAATGTCCAAAACAGGGTTGCACATATTCCCGCCATTTTGTCGGTTGATACATCTATGTTTCCTGCGTATAATGATTAGGTAGTTGATATTCAGGTCAGATGCCGAATAATTTTAATGCAGTGATTCATCCCTGTGATCGTGATAACAGCATCCATGATTACAGTAATAGATGACCTCATACGGTGACGTAACCTGCAATTCGTGGCAATCCCGCCAGGAAACTTATAAACTACATAAACTACATGTTTGCAAATATATAAAGTCATTCTTTATAGTAATCTAGAAATTGATGAACAAGAAGAAATATTCTTGATAACATACGTATCCATCCTCAAGTAAGTAGCTAGACGAATTAAAAATATGATTTTGATTCAAAGTAACGGCGTTATATAAATACAGAGGAGTTTCACGTACTTTGAAATACGTGATAATAGTTTTTTTTCGGATTCGTTAATACCAGTCACTCATTACACTCTCACCGGATGAAACTTTTTGAGAAGTTCTCACAAAGTACAAACATATCTGCAACAGGTTATCGCCGGTTATGGCAGGTTCTGGTGAAAGTTTCAATTTACAGGTGATGTCATGCTCCCAAAATAGATCTCACGCTGCGGGCCAATGACCGCCCTCGTTACAAAATACGGTTCATACGCCCAGAATATTACAGCTCCTGTCATTGGTGGGATAGTAGTCACGTGGTATTGTCAAGATGGCGGACAACTGGGACAGTTTTTGAGCAAAAATCGAGAGAAATCCCTAATATCATCACCGGCGCAGTGCATATTCCGAAATCTGGTGGAGTCGAGGTAAGTGCTGGGGCGTATCTCTCTAAATGCGTGGAAGTCGTGCGGTTGTGACGCCGCTAAGGGCTAGAATGTGAGGTGAAACATCGGTTAGGCGTGACGCGACGGCAGAACATGTCTCAGATTCCTGGGCCTTGCTTGCAGTGCGAGGCGTGTAGCGCCCGTCTCTCTCTCCCCTCACACTCTGACGCCGGCCCGCCCGGCTCTGGTGCCGCCAGAATTACACCCCTGTAGACCCTGGCATATCTCAGATGCCTCTCTTAGCAAGCTAGGTCTGGTTTATTCGCACAACCCGACAGTTGTCTCTCTTTATTTTTGTCCAAATTTGGGGAGGGGCCACAAACATCGTCCTGTTTTGTCCTTTAGTGCAACACACCATACTTCCTTCTTATTGCCAAACAGATGTTTAATTTCAAACCTGCGTTTTCCTGGCCGTCTTTCAAATTATAAAAAAAGGGAAACGTTACAGACGTTAATATTCATCGCTGTCGGTGACGTCAGTGTTGAACCAAGGTCAATGATTGTCTCGTTTGTGTGAACAACAATATAACGGTCTCACCAAAACCAAATAAGCGGCTGGCCCGACCATGTATGGCACCCACTTCCGCCCTCACCACATAAAAGGATATTCTCCAACTGGGTCGGGACAGCTGTAGTAAAAATTACCAACCAACGCTACTCTAACACTAACAGTGTATATGATACATACATTTTCTCATGCTCCATCAAGCCATTTATAAACACATTGTAATTTCTAGGTAAATGTTTAACAACTATCCACCCAGTCTTTTTTGCCTGTTATTATTGTTTTTTCACGTAGCATCTTACAAGTTCCTTGTACCAGATAGCAAATCAACACAATTTAGTTAGAACAGTCTGTACAGTTAGAATTAATTATTCTAATACTGGCGTTATGTCATACTGAAGGTCAGTGAAATACAAACAGCTTACAGAGCACAGTTGTTGAATGTGAGAAGTTTGAATTATGTGACCCCCTTTGGCAATCATGTGATGAGAGGGGAAGGTTTACCCTGCACTTGGCTTGAAACTTTGTGCACAGATAAAAGTCAGAAAATTCTGAGTATATAAAATGTCAACTATATTTAAGTCCCTTATGTTATACTACTAAAGTAGCAGCACCAGTTACATGTAGATAATGATCTCCAATGTTCTTTCATTAAGTTGAGGAATTGTTATTTTAATTCCACCATTGCCTACAAAGAAGTTAAACTCCCCATTAAATTAATGAGGGTAGGAATATCAAATACAAGGTCGATCTATATTTATTTATTATTTTTTACCTTTTCATTTTATCATATCAGTGTATACCCTTGCAATTTCCCGGCATGAATTTGCAAATAAAATGATATGTTCCTCACATTATTGCGATCAAGACTACAACTACGTACTACTAGTATGTACATGGCGTAAACAAAAACAGCGATCACTGGTATTGATTTTACGACCATAACTCCTCTACAAAATAAACAGAAAGGTTACGGCATGACCTTAAACTGGTCAGGGTTAGGTGAGCCAATGTCACTGCTAAATAAGGAAAGTACTAAATAACCGACAACAGGAGGGTCATGTCTGGGAGAATGTCAAGGAAAATGTCAGCATCAATAAATTATTCTCCAATCAAGTAAAATTCAGATTATATGAGAAATAGTTCGATTATATCTGAGAATTAGGTCAGCTATGACTATCACTGAGAATGTATTTAGGCAATAGGTAGAATGGTTATGCATAATAAGCCTGCATTTTGTGACCTAAGTTCTAGTGACATTTGTTACAAGCTGTAACTAAGTAAGGCTCTGTTCATGTTAACAACAGTAACATTTAGTAGATTTACATGTACTTGAGACTACAGTAAATGTCACTTTCGTACAGTTGCAGTACATCTTCTTAAATAGTCTAGTGTAGGCTCTTGTGTTTTTTGTTCATCTGTCCTGCTCTTTTCTCGGAACAATAGGCAGCCCAGATGTCAATTTCTGTCCCATTGTTGCGGTCCGATACCGACTCTTCTGCCATTTAAAACATCCTTTGTGGGGACGTCTGTTGATCGGAGAACTATTGTGTGGAGAAATGTTGTATTCAGATGTCCTGGAAACGGTCAGTGACAGCTTGGCCTAAGAGTAAGAGGTCAATATGTGTAATGGAATCTATTGAAGAGGACTGGATTTAAGCATATCTCTTCTGCATGTTCTTGCTCTCTGGTGATCACAGGCTCACCTAACCAACAGTGATATTTGCTTGTAATGGTAATAGTCTTATGTATTGTATTTGAACCTCAACACACTTTGGAAAGCGTTTCTTTTCTTGATTATATGATCTCTTGAGGATACAACTGACCAAATGGTATCAGAATGCAAGAAAATATATTGTTGTTTCGATAAATCAAAGATGCAAAGAGTAGCAAAAAGTTTAAGCTGCTTTACATTTACAAAATCGTGGCTTCATTCAGAAACAACATTATTGTTACAGTGATTGCTGTATTTTTTCATCATGACAGTTTAGAAGACCCACAGGATACTACCCAGTTCCTTCCTAGCAGGACATGTGCAGCTGCGTCTTTCCTGCACCACAACTGTCATTAATTGTCTATAACTGTCAGGAAGAATTAAGACATCCAAGGCCTTTGTTAGGTCAGGAGACTAAAGCTTGTACCAAAAAGGTTCTGCCTACTCAAGAGTGATTTATTTACCTTGACAAACAGATGATTTGTTTTAGGTTAATCTAATTATACCTTGCTAATCTGGATAAATTGCTTAATTTCATGCCCTATCAGTTTAATTTGTCTCTTGACCATTGGCTGTGTTTACAGTTAGATGACAAAGTCAATAGACTTGCCCCATAAAGAAAGGTTGCTTGGCTATGACTGAGCTACCATTTGGCTACTGTTTAACCTAACCCCTGGATCTATAACCAATATGAAACTGGTAGCACAGCTACTGAGCTTAAGGTTAAATTACAAAGTTACATATACTTTCAGACTCAAATACATTTACATGTGAAAAAAGTGTCTTTAAAATCCAGATTTTTGGCAATTGTCTATCCATCCATTTTTCTATGATGGTGCAAGAAAAAAGATGTCAATATATTTCCATGACAGGGAAATCTGGGATGAGTTTCTGAACTCCTAGTGGAATTGATGGCACTCACCATATAAAGCCACAGTAGAGTACAAACACACGGACTGCCCCAGGCCAACAATTTAGGTCAGGATATGCTGTTTTCTCATCATTTTTTTTGGGCAAGATGCAGATCTTTCTCACATTTATCAAACTAAAAGAAAACAGACTATATATACATTGTACATGATTTTATGAAAAAAGATAATACAACAAGCTGTTCGGTTTATTTTAGTATTATTAGCAAGTTTTGTTTGCAAGACATGTAGACTACTCCCTCGCCCCATTTCAATCATTATATCCACATGCCGACAAGTGTCTTATTCACACACGATTACAGGCTATGCAAAGGTTTTATATAATAGAGAAATTGCAGTCCACTTTTTCATTATCTGCTCGTTGACGTCATTTGTTGACATGAAATTGTTCCCCTTAAGTCAGGTATTATGTAATGGTACAAAATGTATCTTGGAAACAAAGATCCTTTTGTATGTTGTACCTTTCTACACTGCAAATCTTGTTATTTTTGCTCTGTATCAGTTACACTAGGGACAAAGGTACAATACTCACGTTCATAGGCTTTAAAACATATACTGTATTGAAAACTTGTAATTGTAAAATGCAATAATAGTATTATTTATGCACATTACTTTATAAAGTTTTAACTCTAACATGAAGAAACCTGGGGAAGGAGCCTTCTCTGCAACCATTACTTTAGTGTGTAATCTTTAGCCTGAAAATTGAATTATCCATAATGCCATGAGTAATGATCTTGCCTTCTGTGTCCTTCAGCTAGTCTGTAATTACATTACAGCATGGGGAAGTATTGTTTGACAGCAAATTGAATTTCCAGGCAAGTGTAATTGGGGCAAATGGCTGCTGACTCATGCAGGGTCAGGCAGTTTCCTGTCAATATACATGTACTTTAGGCGATGCAAGGAATATCAATGAACTAGATCATATATACTGTTGCAAGCAGGACTTGTACATGTAAGAAGTCAGGGCTCGAAATTCATTTTGGGTAATATATGCACTGGTGCATCCAAATTTTTTGGGTGCACCACATAAGTAGAATGTCAGCAAAGTGATGTTTCATTTCTAAATAAATGTATCATAACAATGATTTATTATTTTTTACCCTTTTATAAAAATATTAAGAATATACATATACTACTATACATTTAACATCTTTACATACATAAACTTACAAAAATATTTGGGTGCACTTGTGCCCCCACAGAAAAAAATTGGGTGCACAGCTCCAAATTTGGTGCACTAAGGTGCACATGCACCTAGTATTTTGAGCCCTGGAAGTACATGTATTTCATTGCTACAAAAACGACATTATAACATTTAATGTAAGTATAGAAAGCTGCTAGAGAGATTATATACTTGAGATTATAAACTTGCTGTTTGCTTTGTTGACACCTACACCAAATATCATTAAGATCCACCCACAACTTTTACCGGTATATATATTTAAAGTCATGCTGATATCCCACAAGCAAAGCCACAAACAAACAGAACCAAAAGCAACCTTCTTGGCAAATGCAAAAATCACCTGTATGCAAGATTGTGGCTGTTTCCATGTTTTCATTTGAATTGAATATAGATAATCAATAGAAAGTCTGAATTTTAAGTGTACATCATCAAACGTAAAATGTTGTTTCAGTAAGAACAGTTGAATAAACTGTAATTACATTCTTACACTGATAACAGGGACGATAACCTAATAAGGATACATGTACAACCAGGTTTGTGTACCGTATTGTGGCAACATTACCCTTTCATTTTAACTCCATTTTCCCTCCTCTGCACACATGAGTCAGACTCATTAGACAGCAAAGTATCTCTCATTACATCATTTCACCATTAGTGCCAGGTAGGTTCTACAAATTGACCACGGCTAAATTACTGTTACAGTTGATCTGTCATCCATTACCAACCCTGTGGGAAAAGCTGTACATTTTGCAAAACATTATTTACAAAGTACACAATTTTTGGGGGGCATTGGAATATAAATTTTGCATAATCAAATTTTGTATTTGTGCACAAGTTGGTTTTTAAGAATGCAAAAAAGTCTAAAAGTAATTTGATTTAAATATATTATAAAAATAATGTCTTTTTAAACCATAGTTCAGTAGGATATAGGCCATGGTTAAGCCTTACCCCAGACACAGGTGTTAAATATTAGCTGGGTCTGAAGAGACAAGAAAAACAAGCACCTTTCCAGGTGAATGAACACAAGCCCCAAAGGTAACTGTTAAGCAAATACCTGTCTGCCAATAGGTGTGTTTATCAGGGCTCCTGTTACACTTGGGCACCATAGACCTATGGACCATAGTTTTTATGTTACATTTGAACACACTAATGTTTTCTATCCTAGGCAAAAGTATAGAATACTATACATTTATGTTTTTAAAGCTAGTATTAGTAGTAATACTATTTTAAAGCAAGTTATTAATACTATCATTCTCAGGTTATCAATCTTTGGAAAAATGTTAAATTTGGTAGAAGTGTAAAATAGTTCTTGAAGATTAGCAGTGAGCAAGTATGAAATAATGTACGTAATACAATGTATAACGAAATATGCATGTCCAGGCCCCGTAGTACTGAATTATTCAATGCTGCCTGCTTTTGCAAATGTGCAAAGGTTACAATCTTGTCATCTCAAGGCCACTTGCTGAAATGTTCTTTCCCAGTGAAGGAATTTTGGCTGTTGTTCAGTGCTGATGGATTGGCTGCCTCCTAGGTTTCAGCTAGTGTCATATTGTAGTTGTCTAGAATCTCTACATTGAGACCAACATTGGTGTTTCTTTACCAGAGCTGGGCTAAACAGTCTGGCAGTTACAGTTGTGTACAGGGATCAGTCTGTCAGCACAATAGGTTCATTATGCCAACTACCCTCCAGCAGCTGGTCCCCTTGACTGTTCCCCGACAAACACGGGAGAAAGTACGCCACAACAATGGCGACTGTTGAGCCGCCGTCCCGCCCCGTTCTCAAGTGTTGTGTGTGGGAGCGAGTCAGACGCGTCACGATCATTGTTTGAGTAGGCCCGGGATAAGAGAGGGACATAGTTTTGCAGTGAGGTCAGAAATACAAATGTTGGGACAAAATATAACTTAGCTCACCCCACCCTATTCACATACTTCACTTGGTTATGCATATACACTAGTGTGCAAATATAGCAGTACAGTGTGTGCAATCAAAATTAGCTGAAGAAAATATTTTTATGCACTTCATTATAATTACATGTTCTTTTATATATCTTTTTATTAATTTTATATCTGTTTATTTGCTTGATTGTTTTGAAATTTATTTTACCACACTTCATATGTATATGTTTTTGCTGAAAGTTTTGTGTACAAATTAGTAACGTCTTGGTTTTGTCACTTATTTGCTAGACTTAAACTGATTGGAGAAGAGTAAAACACCAGCAGAGAGCTCAACGATGGCAGAGGAAGAAGGAAAGGGAGTTGAGGAGGTTCAGAAGCCGATGGAATTTGAAGGAATGGACTTTGGACAGGCACAATTCCAGGCAGGGTTTGGCCAGCCTGTGGATCCAGACCAAGTGGTGCCCATGATGGGGGACATGCCGGTGCCTGGGGAAATCAACGGTGGGACTGCTCTGGATTTCGGACAGGCACCAACAGTGGAAGGGATAGACATACCCAAAAGACCGGATGACCTACAGTTTGGGGACAGGCCGGGGGAGGTCCCGAGCTCGGAGCTGGTGACGGGAACACCTGTATGTTTGATACCTGACTGTGAGGAGTGTCCCTTCCACACGTCCCCCCGCCCGGCCGGAGCAGAGCAGACACCCTCTCCTGGAGCCTCGGACCAGCCCTCCAGCCTGGACCCCAACGCTAAACCTTTCGCACTTCTGGATCCAACTGCCAAACCGTTCGATCCACTCAAACCAACGCTGGACCCAAACTCACCCCCCTTCCAGCCCACAGCACCCATCTTTAACCCTGATGTGCCATCCTTTGACCCCAATGCAAAGCCATTTGACCCCAATGTAGCATCCTTTGACCCTTTGATACCCTTTCTGGACCCCAATGCTCCGGTCTTCGACCCTACAGCAAAACCTTTCGACCCAAATGCTAAACCCTTTGACCCAACTGCCCAGCCCTTTGTGCCTGAGGAGCTTGTGCCTGACCTGGGTCTGGAAAAACAGGCACCTGCCGAGGTGGCCTTTGGTCAGCTAGATGCAACAGGTGTCATCCAGGAGGAGAAAGAAAAGGGAGAAGGGAAGAAGAGGAAGAAAAAGAGAAAGAAGAGGAAGTCAGAAGGAGATGGAGGGATCTCGTCTGATTCACCGAGTACCCCTGAGCACCCCAAACCACCCCTCGGTGCTGAAGAGACAGAAGTGCCTTCTGATGTTCCCAAACTTGAAGATGGTGCAGGAGGCATGAAAGTTAATGGAGACGGGGTAGAGAAGCACGAAATCGAAGTGACAGAGAAGGGAGATGTAAATGATGTCTTGAAAGAAATACTAACAGAGTCGAAACGGCAAGAGGAAGTTGCTGCGCTCATGTCTCAGCCAAAAGTTGAAGATGTAGGCCCTGACGACATACAGGCTGAAATTGTAGATACCCCTCCACAAGAAAGTGGGGAAGGTCAACAACAGGCCTTCTTGTCAGAGCAGGCTACAATCGAAGCCTTGTTGGGGGCACGAGAAGAGCCGGAGGATTTGATGGAAGACGTGTCCCAGGAGGTAACAGGCAGTGAGGAGGTCTCCACACCTGGGGAGGCAGACTTGGAGGACTCCGTGCAGGACGCAGAAATCACGGAAACCTCGGATTTCGAGTTTGTGCCGGGTGAGGAGATGGAGGAAGAAGAAGCACCAAAGAGTCCACGGCAGGATGAGGTCAATGCAGAGGCAGCAGCAGCTCCAGAAGTTACAGAACAAAAGGAAGATCATGGCGATCTACCACCGAGTAAAGAGCCAATGCTAGTCATGGAAGTAGAAGAGAGGGAAACCATGGAGGTAACCGAGGTGCTGCCAACCGCTGAACAGCCTGTTGAAGACGTAGGTGTTACAGAAGGTCAACAGACGCCGCCGGCTGTGTATGATCCCTTTAATGAGCTAGCAGAGCAAGACCCTCTCATCGAGGAAGGGTTACCACCAGAACTGATGGAGCCATCCGTACAAACAGGCCCTCCTCCAACTGGGTTCCAGGATGCTGACTTCTTCTCAGATCTGGCAGTGAAGGAGCCTGAGGCAGAGATGCCACAGGAGGTTCCTGAGAGCCAAGGGGGTACCTCGGAGGTGGGGCCCCCTCCTCAGGAAGGTCCCTGGGGGGAGCCGGTAGCGGCAGCGGCACCTACTGATGACATCTGGGGGTTTGGTGTGCAGGGTATGGCCACAGCTGACAAGGTGGACACAGACACAGCCAGAATGCCCGAGGCCTCCACGTGGGACAGGGACTTCCAACAGCGCGGCATGCAGAGCTTTGCTTTCTCTGAGCAGGAGAGACCGCCACAGGCGCAGGGCTGGGACGCAGTTTTCCCCAGCGACGACCCACCGCTGGAACCCCTGATGGCACCACACCAGGCTCCCATCCTGGAGGAAGGTGCGGATGTGGCAGCTGTGGCAGGAGAACCCCAGCCGTTTGACGCAGTGTTCCCGCCAGACGAGCAACCCCCTGTCCCAATGGCTGACATCAGAGAGCCGACAATACCAGAGGAAGGGGAGAGCACTTCTGAAGAAACTCCCACAGAATCTGAACCAAGCCAGGCAGAACAACAACCAGAGGAGTCGGAGGGACCCGCCAGTGTGCCTGACTCACCTTCATCAGACATCCCGGCGATCACCGTGTCTGAGGTACCAAAGGTGGAGCCAGACGACGAGTTCCTAGTTAGCGTAGAAACTGCCAGTACAGGAGACATAGAGACAGTCGCCATGGAAGCTGAGGTGCCTGAGGCGGCACCCAACGATATCACTGATGAACAAATTGTTGCACCCCCGGACGTCATTGCTGATCAAGTCCAGGTCGAGGAGGCACGCCAGGCAGAGCAGGTCGCTCAGATGGCGGCCATGGCAGCGCAGCAGAAGTGGATGGAAGATGTAGAGCAGGTCGTCGTGGAAACGGGCAGGCTGGAGCAGGAAGTGGAGCAGATCGCCACGGATACGGCCAAGGCCACAGAAATGGTGGAAGAGGCGATGGAAAGTGTTGTGGAAGAGGAGACGAGAGTTGAGGCCGCCCAGGTAGCAACTGAGGTGTTAGAGAGAGCAGAAGACAAGGCCGGTGGGACAGAGGTTACAGCGGAGGCACCACCTGTACAAGTCGGTGTGGAAGCGGAGGAGAAAGTGCCTGAGCCAGAAGCTATGCAAGTGGAAGGTACATGACGTGTGGCCTCTGTGTGCGCTTAAACTTGAAACTACTTCGCTCCTGTAGCTGCCATGCTATTGTTTGTCCTAGCTGCATGAACAAGCCTGTATCCCAACCCCTCACCCCCTGCCAAGCGCTGCTCTCTGCCATAATATTCTGCAGCCTACTAACCTCCACATCATTAACAATGCTTGTATGTCCACAGCACGTGCCATATCTATTATGTTGTAACACCACCTTCTCATGCAAGCAGCTGTCTTTGGCAGTCATACAGAGTGCATTTTCATCGTAGTTTTATTACAAGGATATGAAGCATACTATAGTGAGTTACAATGTAGATAGGCTAGGTTTCTCAAGTGATGAGATTCAAGATCCAAGATTGCCCTTAAAAACAACTTTCTTGACAGATTTTTATGGATTCATTTTTTTCTATCATTTTTCTATCATATATAACATGTCATAAATATTTCTGTTACAAAACATTTTATTCAACTGTAATCCATGAATTTACACGAGTAAAGAAATACATGTACATATAGAGATTCATCATGTATTTCTACCTAGTCTTGTTTACCATGCATGCAGAGTTACTCAGTAGGAGTGCTGTGTATACATTGATTAGTGCCTGTACTTTACTGCAGCTTTGTAGTAATAGCTTGCATGTTATGCTACATGTGGCTTACAATGCTTCTAACTTCACTTCAACTTCATTTGCTTGTATTCATGTGCATCTCAGTTATATGCATGTACACTGTACTACTAAATAATAGACATGTAATAATATTGCCAATTCTCCCTACTAAAACCAGGCTAAAACACCAAATAAGGCACTAAATCAGTAAATGCATGCATTTTAATCGCTCCACATGGTCTGTGCCTTATATTATGTAAAAAGCAATGTAAAACTATCACTCATCTTTCAAATTTCTTTCTTTGCTATTTGCTTTTATAAATTGTACCAGGGAAAGAAAAATATGATGTTGATTTGGATCAAATGTCAAAAGAATTTTTAAGATTATTGTGTTGGTTCAGTCATGTATGTCTAACTATTAGATAAACATGTTACTGACGATGTCTTCATTGATTGTGTTAACAGCTGCTGTGCCTGTAGAGCCTGTGGTTAAAGAAGAGGTAAGATAAGATGTTTTTCCTTTCCCAACCCCATTTCTCTTTACTGTCCCCTTTCTTTGTTTAAAGTAAAAACCAATATGGCAGCAGCTCTATCGTGCAGTAAATCCAATGAGTTACTGAAATTACAAAGATAACTAAATTTTTATGTATGGTGCAGTCTACACTCTCAAATGTAAATGTGTATACGACATATAGTCTACTATGCTTAAAATGTTTATTAAATTTTCATTGAGACCAAGCACGCAAAATAGATTGATAGAAAATGGTGTAAAATTTTTAATCAATACATGTACTAATTTTGATATTTCACAACCCAACAATTATGTGCAGCTGGATAGTGCCAGTTCTCAAAAGATTGGTTGACCCAAATTTTGGTGCAGATTTGCCATGGATGAGCTAAAATGTTTCTGCTCCATTGCTACACAGTACTTAAATGACCTGTCTCTATTACACATGTCATTGAGCAATGATGTCAATTTTCTGCCTTACGCACATGGCAGTATTTTGATGGTGCCAGACAGTATAATATACAGTTGAATAGAGAGGGACTTAGTCTCTTGACCTGATCTAGGGCTTTTGATTCTTATATAATACAGTGTATGTTCTTGATTACTACATGTAGAAGGGAAACAGACAATAACACAAAATCATGTTGCATATGTGTGTACATTTACAGGTGAAAGAAGAAGCTCCAAAGGCAGAACCTGTGTAAGTGATATATTCTCAATTTTGCACAACGTACAAAACTGTATGTACAGTGAAGTGTTAAAATGTCAGCATTTAGAATATTATTCATCGTATGAGATTTAAGAGGGCCCCTGTGCCATTGATGTACTGAAAAATTCCATAGTTTTGCAGTACATGTACATGTATGCATGTACTACACGTATGCATGTACACATAGTTTAATGTCTGTAAATACATGTCCTGATGTTTCTTCAATATTGTCACACCATGGTGACTACCCTTGGGTCAGGGCAAGCTATTTTGATAAGTAAACTCCTCAGCGTAAAAATAGAAAGCATATAAATCCCATGCCAGGACTCTCAGTGTTTAACCTTCAACACTAGTTCTGTTGAGGTTATCTGACAATCATAAAGTTTTTTTATGAAGACAGCATTAGAAATGGGTAATTTTATTGAGATTTGTGAGATGTTTTGGGCATGTATTCTGCCATTGGGGACCCGAAACCTATGATACAATCTCTGTCATATCAGGAACATTCCCTCCCCACTGATAAATGTTCCTGGCCTGTTATCAGTTGTGTACTGGTTGCTCACATCCTGTGGGATGTTCCTCCTGTGGTACAAAAACATGTAGGCTTTACCACATCTAATCTAGCAGGGTTTTACAATCACTGCCTTACAGCCAGGGTGTAGTTTACTGTTATACAAACTTCAAAAGAAATACTGAGTGCTGTTTTGTAAAATGATAGATGATATTTTATTCAAATGTAAAATGTAAGCTCTTGACGTTAAGTCATCGTATATTTTCACAAAGGTCTTTTAAGGTCAACAGTATCATATCAGTGTACATGTTTTTATTGGCCAGTGGTAAATCTGCCACTATGAGTAGCAAATAATGATACTGCTCCCTTCCAAGGTCCATTGATACTAAAGTAACTACCGTAGAGAGGAAGATATAATAGATATAAGATGTAGGATATGATAGATATAAGATAGAATATCAACATTTGTAATGAAAATTTCAGGGCTCAGTAATACATACAAAATTTAAAACAAGGCATCTAGTTCTATAATCAATTACAACCAACCAATTGTTTGCAGAAGCTGGTAGGGTTCTTCAATCCCTTTTATGCACACTGACAATTAAACAATCAGAGGAAGACTTCTGATGAGTTGTACATGCTTCTAGTTCAGAAAAACTGTGTGTCTCTAGATTAAACCTCTTCTCCCCCATTCTACAGTGCTGAAGCAAAGCCTCCTGCGGAACCAAAGGCAGAAGAGAAGGTAAAGAAAGCCAAGCCTGCAGCGGGGGCAGCAGCCAAAGCCAAGACCACCGACAAGGCTGCGCCGAAGGGTAGACTTACAGGGAAAACTGATGCTGCAAAGCCTGCTGGGAAGGACGTCACCAAGCGACCCACCCCGCCATCATCTGTGTCAAAAGAAGCCCCTCCAGCCAAGAAGAAAGTTGGTGCTGTTGGGACGACTAAAACTTCGAAGCCTGCAGAACCAGCAAAAAAGCCGTCAGCTGTCTCGGAACCAAAAACCAAGAAGCCCACCAGGCCTACAACAGCTCCCTCTGCCAAGCCCACAAGTACTGCAGCCAGTAGAGCAGCAAAGCCTGCCAGTGCTCCAGCAAAGACGACAAAGGCGCCACCTAGTGGTGCAGTGCCCAAAACAAAAACAGACCGCAAACCTGGTGCAGCCCGTCCCAAACCTTTGGCAAAGGCTGCAGCAGCAGGGAGCAGTGCTGAGGAGCAAGCGTCGGTGGATTCAGTTGAAGTTGCTGTAGATGCAGCTGCAGCTCTTGGCGACCAGGTGACCCCGAAGCCTGCAGCCGCTGCTGCAAAGAAGCCTGCAGAGAAGAAGGCTGCCGTCCCGCCAAGGACCAGACCTGCGAGTGCTGCAGCACCGAAGGCAGAGCCAAAAACAACTGCCAAGAAGCCAGCCAGCACCCTGGGAACAAGAACAGCTGCTGCCAAAACTGGTGCAGCTGCAAGACCCTCATCAGCTACAGCAGCTGCAGCAAAGAAGGAACCAGCAAAGAAGCCAGACGCAACCACAAGGCTCGCATCTGCCAAAACAGCTACTGCTGAGAAGAAGCCTGGTGTGGGAGCTGCAAGAAGGCCTGCTTCGGCTACAACAGCTGCTGCCAAGAAAACAACAACAGGTGCAGCTTCAGCCTCAGCACCTGCCACAAAAACAGCTGCAGCTAGGAAGGTGGGTACCACAGGTGCTGCAGGAAAAGCAGACACCAAAGCAACACCAAGGGCACAGTCCGCAGCCGCAGCCAAGTCAGCTGCAGAGAAGAAGACACCAGCTACACCTGCGAGGGCAAAGTCTGCACCCGTAGCAGGTGCTGCAAAGGCAACCCCAAAAGCTGGGGCCAAGGCACCTGCCGACAAGACCGAAGGCTCCAGCAACACCTGCAGCCAAGGACGCAGTCATGAAGAATAAGGTCAAGACTCCCAGTGGGAAGGGAGCACCGACACCAGGCAGGACTCCAGGAAGAGCCATGCAGGTAATCATTTTTGGCAAGAAAAATGGTAATAACAATTAATCTTCCCTTTCAATAATCTTAAGATTCCTGATTATTTTGAGATGTATCATCCGACACATTGTCTGAGAAATTGGGATAGTTGTAAACATGGAAGATGTGACTGATTTTGATGCATTGTTTTTCTTTGACAGCCCTTTGAGCAGTACATCAGTAGAGAGGCTGTGGCAGAGGGGTTGAAGAAAGGAGACTTCATTAAGGGTGCCTTGAGAATTAATGCCAGGAACTTTGAAGATGCCTACGTTCCTGCTCCAGTAAGTAGCATGAGACTTACACCTCACAACCATTGAAATCTGATCAAGATATGTCAAACTTTGATACAATACAGTACATTTGGTTGTATATGTATTGCAATTATACAAGATATGCTAAAAGGCAACTGAGACTAAATCTAAAGTAAGTATGTGTGTATGTATGACTTGATGTACATGTACTACAGAACAGTTTTCAACCTAATTTGTGATTTCTTAAGACAAGTTGTCTACATTTTGACGCATACATCAAGACCTAATAGTTTCTCATGATCACTATCCTCAGTACTTGTCTTACAAGGTGCAAACAAATGGCGTTCATGTATAACATACATTTAGAAAATAGTGTACAGTCGTTTGTTACAAAATGTCTAGGCATAATTTGTGTAGAGTGATATGTTTGTTGTTCCCTGTCTACAGGATGGAATGTCAGATCTGTGCATCCCTGGTCTCCATGCCCGTAACAGAGCCCTGAACGGGGACATTGTGGTACTAAAGGTGCTGCCTAGGTCTGAGTGGAGGGTAAGTGGACATAGACTAACTTTGAACAACATAGACGTACCTGTATTTACTCTGTATCCATGAAAGTAATAATTGTTATTAGAGACCCAAGAAGTGGCAACGGATCCAATGCTATCAAGAAACAGAACTATCAAAACATTGGTTAAGGCCCTATTATTCCTGAGAAAATTGCTTTTCCAAAATGTGAAAAGTAGTATAATTTACTATAAAGCATTAGATAAACGTGTCCATTTTTGTACATGAGTTGTCAGTGGATTATGTTTTGAGTCTGCTCCCATACATTAATGATACACTCTTAAATCATTTGCCCACATGGCTGTCCTATGACACATTATGTGTGGACCATGAGGTCTCATATTTGGTGCTTCAGTCATTACGTCTGGTATGCCTGGATTGTCAAACACTCCAAAACTGCAACAACTCCATCCACATGTCTCCTCTTGTCACTGTCTGGAAATGAGTGGCCACCTGCACACTCCCAAAGGAAGAACTTGAGTTAGGCACATGTGTAGACAAATGCAGCAGCTTACCATGAACACTCTCAAAAACTCACGGGGGAGCTTGACTTAAAATTGTTTATATGAACTCTTGCTAGTTTGGCTGTATGAAGGGGGGGTAAGATTATCACTCATTTTGCAGTTTTGCAGGACAATCCAACATTTTTTTTAAAACCCAACGTGTTTGTGACATTACAAAAAGTGTGTTTGAATTACAACATTGGTTATTGTGTATTTACTGGGTCTATATATATTAGTACATGTATAGAAATAAATAGAAATTGTGAAGAAACTTCGGCAACTTGAACAATTGATAGTAGACATTTTTATGTATAATTATTTGTCTCTTAGACTACTAACTTGCAGCATTTGGTACACTCTTGTTTCAGGTGTTACAACAGGAATATGACCTGTTCAAAAGTCTAAAGACAGCTGCAACAGCTGAAGGTGCTAGTCCAGTCACACAGCTGACAGAAGGCATGAAGCAGTTAGCACTCCACACACCTGAACCTGCAGGTGCCCGGGCAGCTGCAGACACCACCGCTGGACCTCAGTCTCCACTTACAGAAGGCAGCGGGGACGCCGCTTCTTCCAGTGGTACTGCTGAGTCCACCAAGGAGAGCGGCTCCTCAAAGTCATCGGAAAAAGGACCCGAAGAGAAGAACGATAGAAAAAAGAAAGACGCTGTTGGGAAGGAGAAAAGTGCAGGGGCGAAAACTCCCACCAGAGGAGCGGCGGCGAAGGGTGCAGGAGCGAGGACTCCCGCTAGAACTCCGGATAGACAGGCTGGGAGATTGAAACCTGGGGAACAAACAACACCTAAAGGTTAGTAGCACAATATGTATGTCATAGTAGAGTCGGTTGGAATTCAGGAATCTTGGATTGTCCTAGGACAGTTTGGTGTTAACGATAATCCTTGATTGTCAAGTCACTACTGTGACATATATACTTGCTATGTCCTCAAATTTATATCAGTGACAACGCCTGAGACAATTGATAATATGAGAAGTATTGTAAGTCATCTTGTAAACTACTGTGTGCTGTCTTCATATATTTTGAAAACTTTGTTCTGGAAATGCTTTTGTTAGTGTTGTATTTTATTATAAGTGTTCATTAACTCACATGCTTTACCTTTTTAGGGAGACAACCTCCCAAACCAGGGTCTGCTAAAAAGACACCCAAGCCAGCAGAGAAACCAGGTATCGACCCCACCACAGTTCCTGAACAATTCCTGCAGAAAACTGCCAAGGTGAGCTAAGTTAATATGTTAAATAACATCAAATATAGCAGGACAAAGTGTTCAAAACCATGGGATTCTAGAGTTTACTTAGTTGGGATGAAGAGAACTTGATACCATATTTGAGTGTTACCAACATGTTCTAGATTTGTGAGTCACTTTGTAGAGTTGAAGTCTAGAGGAAAGTTTTGGAACTGTACCAAAATGGGAAGTTTGACATTCTTGGCCGTGTCCCAAACTTTGGAAGACATGACCAGTGGGGAGTGAAGTGAATATGTCAAAACAATTTATAGAGGTACTAAGTGATGAACTGTGTGTGGTTCAGCCGTACTTAGTCTAGATTTATTCATTTGAAACATATGAGTTGCAAATTCATGCACTTTACATACATCAGTGTCTTGTCATCTTTCTTTGCATCTGTCTCATGCTTTGCTTATGACTATACTTTGTAGTCATACTATGAAACCTTTTACCCTTTCAATGGTGTTGTATTATATAACTTGTATTTAAAGCAGTCTTTTTGTTACTCTAGGATTGCTGTGTATGATTCCAATCGTTCTATGAAAAAAATGTGTGTTGAGAAATTTGAGGCCTTGTATACTTCACAAGCCCTGGTACTGTTGCTGTAATGTTGTCCCTAATCTATCCACCTGTAGGTAGTTTACATCTACGAGAAGAAACATTCCAGAGCCTGTACAGGCCACCTGAAGAAACTGGATGACAAGGTGATCATTATATATGATAGTTTTCATAGGCTTCCTGTAATTTTCCTAAATATGCCATGTGTTAAGGTTATCAATATATAAATTCCATGCAAAAAATAAAAAAGCAAATGAGAACATATGGTGCCATATACCATTCTTCAGATATACTGTAAATCATGATGTTTTTGCAGTACTTGTATATTTGCAGCTTCTGCAGTCACTTCTGTACCGCAAATTTATTCTAACCATGAATCGCCCACTTTCTTTCTTCTGCACCTGCCGCCACCGTGAACATAAAGTTCTGCAAACATGTCCATTTTTCTTAGACCGCAAAATTTTGTTACTGCAAATATAAAGTGATTTACAGTACACAACCACACAATGCTGAAGTGTTTTTGTGTATCTGCCAGGACAAGGAGAAGGTGCTGTTTTCCCCCATGGACCACCGTCTGCCCAGGTTAAAGGTCCCGCTGGAGGACTGTCCTCCGAGGTTCAAGGAACGACCAGACGACCACGCCAAATTCCTCTTCATCGCCAGAATAACAGACTGGAAGGAAGACTCCGGCTTTGCCGAAGCGTAAGTTCCTCATAGTTTTTCACGGTATGATACAGAACAAAGAATAAAGTGTTCACCATCTTGCATGATACGAGGTTTATACACACTAAATTTACATTAGATAAATTAGATGCATAACAAAGAAGACCACAAAGATGTGTATGTAGTCTTGCATTTCACTCCACGTCTTTGATATAAAAGGGTTTGTGTACTTTTTGTGACTGGTACCCATATGGTAATGCATACAGGAGGTTAGCAAAGAGCCTTGGAGAAGCTGGACAGATAGAGCCTGAGACAGAAGGGTTACTGGTGGAGAATGGAGTGGACTTCTCAGAGTTCAGCGAAGTGGTACGTCATCTACCCCCATGTAGACCCATGTTTGTACAATGTTACACTTTTATGTAGCTGGGCTTCACAGATACTCTTTTAAATTGTTACAGCATTGAGTGAGGATATTTTGCTTTTCTAATGCAATTTTCTAATGCAAACTAACTGAAAATAGTACAAGTCACAACATTCAAAAGAGTTTTCTGTTCCCTCTATAGGTTCTACAGTGCCTGCCTCAAGATTTACCATGGTCCATTCCAGCTGTAAGTTACACTTACTCTTCTTGCTACTGTTGCATTGGTAATCAATTTTTCCACTTTTCATATGTCTTAAATTCAAACGTTCAACACAGTTCTGTTATCATGTTATATACCAATATTGGCTGCTGTTCCATTTTGACCTGCTAGGAGGAGTTTGAGAACAGGAGGGACCTGAGACTGGACTGTATCTTCACTATTGACCCTGCCACAGCCAGGGACCTGGACGACGCTGTGTCCTGTAACAAACTTGACGACGGTTGGTTACTGAGAAACCTTACAGTTTTTACTATATATAGACATTGCTTGGATGAAATGTCAAATTTCAAGAATATTCATACAGTACTGCAGTTAATTACATTCAACTCTGGAATTACACATGTATTATCATTCTAATTCTATGTATTAAAAGTAAAGTCTTGTAAAAATATCAACAGCTACTATCCTGCACATACTGTGTGTTATATATTTGACCATCTGAAATTTTCATCAGAAAATGTTCTAAGGTTTCAAAAGTTATATTTAAGGCTTATGTTGTGTCTGACTGCTATCATCTACATGTGTCTGTTGTGCTGTATTGAAGCAATAGTTGTAAAGATGATAATTTTGTTTTGCAGGTACGTACGAGGTGGGAGTTCACATAGCAGATGTGAGTTACTTCATCCAGGAGAACACAGCCCTGGACCTGACAGCAGCGTGCAGGGCTACCAGTGTGTACCTGGTACAGAAGGTGGGTCAGGCCTGCCTGTGTAGGGTAGGAGAATACTACTGGCGTTCATGGAATAGACGTATGATTGACTGCTCTGCAGCCGGCTGATGATGATGATGATCAGAGCATTGAAATCAAAATGACCTTAATAGTGCAAAAATGTAATTGCAAGTACACAGATATATTTAAGAAGTATTGCATCATGTATCTGCAGGTCCAACGTCAAGCGGGTCAACTATAAATGAGAGTGCCTTTGTCTGAATAAAATTTGTCCAAATATTGTTTGAAGTACCTGGCCAGTAGGGAACCATAGACTTTCATCATCTTGTTTAAGAACATCTCATACTGACAATGGTCTGTGTTTGTATCTGCAGGTGATTCCCATGCTGCCCCGTCTACTTTGTGAACAGCTATGCAGCCTGAACCCTGCAGAGGTACGGTTGTCTCATGTTTGGATAGATGAAATATTTCCTTCAAATGTGATGTATTTTACAAATGTAGTGTAAACTGGTTTTCTCGTGTGTATAAATGTACATATCTATACAGTTGTAAATGCTCTTCCTTTGCTTGAAACAGACACCAATATTATACTGCCTTCTTGTCTGTTTTGCCCTGTTGACTACAGGAGCGTTTGGCGTTCTCTGTGATCTGGAAGTTGACAGAGACAGGAGACGTGCTGGATGAGTGGTTCGGCCGGACCATTATTCGTTCCTGTGTGAAACTGAGCTATGACCACGCCCAGAGTATCATCGACCATCCTGACCAGCCCCCTACACAGGACCAGCTGCCTCCCATCTCTGATGGACACTCTATACAGGAGGTGGCAGACAGGGTTCTCAACTTGTACAAGGTGTGTTTATCATCTACTATCATTCTACTACATTTGTATGTTTTTGTCTTTTTCAATAAAACCTGTCTGCAAGAAACACTATACAAACACAGCACATTTTAATTTTATGAGACATTGAGGGAGTGCTGGGAGATGCGACTATGTGTGTGTGTGTTAACGTATAGTTGAAGTAAATAAACTGTTGCGTGCCTTTTACAGATCTCTCAGAACCTGAGGAAGAAGAGATTTGATGGTGGAGCTCTGAGGTTGGATCAGGTAGGAAGTGTATTTATGTTCTGTCATTTATATGCAATGTTACTTGGCTGGTATGACAAAGTACATAAGATATAATCCTTTTCTATGCATTAGCCACTTTCTATTTTTCTCTTTCAATATGAATCAAATCAAATAATATTAACTTTATTCCTTCAATTTACAACATTCATTCAAAGTTATAAACTAGAAATTTGCTTCTCAGTTAAAGATGTGCAGTTCTAATCATAGTCTCTTTGTCTCTTTTCTTTTTTCCTTCTTTGCAGCCCAAACTGGCCTTCTCCCTGGACTCTGAATCAGGACTGCCCAACGGCTGCTCTGTGTACCAGATCAAAGACAGCAACAGGTGAGCGACAAGAATTGTTTCTGAAGGGTCGTCTAACTCTCTCTAAAGTACAGTTATAGTCAGTTCTGTCCAATTTGTATATACTATAATGTAGCATCAGTGCTTGCTATCAGTTGCATTGTTGAGTTGTAAAACTGTAATTCATCTTTGCAAATTCAACAGCAAAACAACTAACATTGAACTTGATTATATTACTAGTACACAATGCTACAAAGTCACTAAGAGTCTTCCTAATCCCTATGTCTAACAGACTGATAGAAGAGTTCATGCTGCTGGCCAACATGGCGGTGGCTCACAAGATCCACCAAGCATTCCCAGAGCGAGCGGTCCTGCGCCGCCACCCCCCTCCCCAGCCCAAGATGGTGGAGGACCTGGTGAAGACCTGCGGTACCATGGGGATCAACCTGGACGTCAGCAGCTCTGGGGCGCTGCATGTGAGTCAGCTCTCTCTCGCTATCTGGTTTATCGTCTGTTGTTCCCCGTAATGAGGCTTAGACGTGCTTGCACACATGCTGGGGCTAGATGGTATCTCGCCATTTGCCTCTGTCATGTGGTTCTTGGCCACAGCAAATTTCAATACCACTGTGGGTTAGAGTCTCAGCAACTTTTTTTGGGCATATGATAATTACCTGGATGTCTAACCTTCGTCAAATACTCCTAAGAGATTATGTATTGTTTGCCAAGAAAGTGAGATACATTCCTGAGAATTCTTCTTGAATTCTGAAATCTTATTTTTTCTTGATGTTATTTATCACTTTGGAAAGATGATATCGACTTGCTTTAATTAATGGTGTAATTTTCAGCAATCCATTGCTCGATACATTGGAGATGATATGGAGACTCAGGCCACTTTCTACATCCTGACTGCCATGGCATCCAAACCTATGCAGGTCAGACTACAGTTCCATGTTTCAAACATACATTGTACAAGATGTGGATGCTGCCAGTTACTTGTAATCTAATTGTCTACAGTTTTCTTTTTTTATTATTTGCTTTAACTATACACATAAATATACATACAGACATAATGGGAATATATTACATACATAATGGAGGAGTAAAATTCAGAGGTAATCAAATACATCTCACAAATTAGTCAGTAAATTGAATTGACAATAAATTGAAAACATAGATGAAAACATAATCAAAACAAAGCACAGAACCAAAATCATGCTGGTGTTTCTAATCTAATACAAATCTTATTGGGTTTTTAAAGTTGTTTTTTTTTCTGGATATTTCACAGCTTGCGAAGTACTTCTGCAGTGGCTGTGTCCCAGAAGAGGGTCTGTACCGTCACTATGCCCTGAACGTGCCTCTGTACACACACTTCACCTCACCCATCAGGAGATACGCTGATGTACTGGTACACAGGCTGCTAGGGGCATGTCTGGGTAAGTTCTGTGACCTGTAAATTTCATCAGCAGGCCTCGAAATTAACTTTTCTTCGTATTGTCCCAGCAATGTCCCAAAAATAAATTTCTATGTCAATGATGACATGCTTGTCTGTATGACAACCCCAGGTTGTGCTCCAGCCGTGGAGAAGTCTGCTGAGGAGTTACAGGGTATGACAGACCACTGCAACGACAGGAAGGATGCCTCCAAAAGGGTTCAGGAGGCCAGTGCAGACATGTTCTTTGCCTCTTTTGTCAAGGTCAGTGACCCAGTTGTATCTGTGTGTAAAAAAAAGTTATAGTTCTTAGTAGCAAATGTGCAGTTCTTGGCACTTTGGCAACACCAAATCCATGAAGTGTCCTCATCACAGATTAGTGAGAGGTCCAGTGGTGACTCTCCACAGCACAATGTGGAAAGTCATGTAAAGTGCTGAAGGGCACAACGTCAGGCATGTCAGAGGATAGAACCCAGGACTTCTAGGTTCTGAGCCAGCCGCTTTGACTATTATGCCAGAGTGCCATGATTGTGTGGTGTATAGTGTGGATTTTTTGTCATATTTATCAAGCTGTCCAATCTTGAAGAACTACGGTATACATGTAAATGCTGATCTCTTCAGGAGTGTGGTCCCCTGGAGGAGGATGGAATGGTGATGGGGGTACTGGACCAGGCAGTGGACGTACTGGTGTGGAGACTGGGAGTCGTCAAAAGGGCGTACTGCAACGTGAGTACTCATTATTGTCAATATGAATGTATTTTCAAACTGTAGAATTACTGATATAAGTAAACAATTTTCATGGCTATGTGCACAATCATTGGAAGTCATCTTTAGATAGCAGATTTGATATGATTGGTTGATGGTGTTAACCTTTGACCCACAGGCCATCCCCTTGAAGAGCTATGACTTTGAGAAGGTCAACGGTCGTCCCCAGTTGACCTTGACCTGGGCAGAAGACCCAGAACACCCCGAGCCGGCCACACAGGTCCTGACGTACTTCAGTAGAGTACAGGTCACCCTCAGTGCCGGCGATCAACCTCTCAAGTACAACGTGAGTATTTAGTAGTTAAGCTGTTCAACATGCACAGCCAGGGCAGCCCAAGTAGCCTGTGGCTGTTACAAGGGGCTAGCCTTGTAGATGTAGTTCCCTGTAACCACGCATATGTGTAGATAGGTAAATATTGTACATTTGGGAATGCATCTATAGCAGTGACACCTGTGCTGCAATGCAATGTGAACCAGTGAGAATTGCACTACTGAGGAAGGTGACAGACGGTCACCGAAATGTCGGATGAATAAAAGACCTGTGACTTACCAACTTGATGAAACTATTAATGGAAAGAGCTAGCCCTGCTGATAAGACATTGCAATAACATATAACATGGGCAGCTTGAACAGTGTATAACATTATTCCATCATTGTAGCCCATATAAGTAAATGCATTGTAAATCCTGTAACATTGTTGTGTTATTCTTGTGTTTAATTTGTAGTGAACCTCAGATTTTCTCTCTGAAGAAGTTTAACATTTTGTTTTTGTCCTTTCACACAGGCTTTGCTCAAGAGGCCTTAGACAACCAGGCCAGCAGGCATCATGGGAAATGTGAACAGGTAGTCCGCCATCTTGACAGAAAAAATTCATGCCACAATTTTTTTTCATGGGATGGAATGTGGTATGCTCCTTGGTTTTTACAGATTGAAGAAAAAATAATCAACTTGAAAAATAAAAAAATAGCAGCAAAACTATGGTATTGTCAAAGAGTACCTAACAAATGTAGAACTAAGAGGTTTTTCCTACTATAGAAATTGTTTGCTGTTGGAAGAAATACATTGCTACAATGATATATAATAGATGTGTACTGACTTTTCTCGAAGAGACTTGAATATTTGCGACATTTCCTAGGAATGATAATTGTACTAGCAGTTTAAGCAGAAGTGAATTGAATATCTAACTTTATTCTAAGTAGCTGAAATCTGTCTTTGATACTCTGAAACTATTATAATACTCTGAGAAACAAGGAGGAGAACATTGTGAGCAAATGCACTGTAGTGAAGTAGAAAAAGGTTTGACAGAATTATCCAATGGTACTTACTGTTTGGCCAAATATTTCTGGCAACAAGGCACTATATCTGTATTAACTGGTTTGTTTTTTGTTATCGCTTATATAATAGAGGAATTTTGTATTTCAAGAAAATTGTGTCTTTGGTCAGATTGGGGCAATTTAAGAAGAATTAAGGCAGCTGCACTAACACCTAACACTGCACCTACAGTTACAAAGAATCGTAGGCTGGATGTTATGGCTGTAGTGGTATTGGATATAACCTTGTACAAGAGTGCCATATGCTTTATTTGCTCGTTTTCTTGGTGCTATATAGAGTTCAACTAACACTAGCAGTTGTGAATGATTAAATTACACGCATGTTGCACTGATTCCATAATATTTTGTAGGGTTTAACCATGAGTGCTGTCATACATCATGTAGAGCTGGTGTGATTGTAATTTTGGACTAAGCTGCAGTCACTGTTGTTTGATACCTAGACGCTTGTCGCAATTTGCTTCGAAAGATTTTGCTGTCAAGCACTTTGTCTAATAATGAGCTTTTCCATGTCTTCATATTGTGGTTGTGTGTGGAAAGTGTTTCTAAATTTTTTCATTAACGCCAAAGGTTTGCAATGGAATGAAACCAGAAAATATCCATCGAAATGGGTCATCAAAATAGTCTGAAGTTGTCTGTGTCTGATGGAGTTTTCTGTAAGAATGCACCTTCTTGTCATGGGTATAGTTTCATTTTATGCCACATTGCAGTTTGTGCTAAAATCAATGCATCACCACGTTAGTATTTTCACTATGATGTTGCTATAGCAAGCTTAACATTTGTTGCAAAAGACACTTGTTTTGAGTACCGTGTAAAATTTTCAGTGTGTGTTGATCAAATTAACAGCTTAAAATATCTGTGCTGAAGCATTTATGCATGTATGCTGCATTTCAAACATTTTATTTTTCAATCACAACATTTGAGTGAATCGTTGCTATCAAAAATAATTTTTCTTTCTAATGCCGTTTGGATAGTTACTATACACCAGACAAAAAGGATTTCTAACCATGCCTAATAGATACTTGAATATCTCTAATGTTTGATATGATGATTGTCCAGCCTACAATGTAGTGATTTATTTTTGCTAACTTACCAGCTGCCTTGGTCATCCCTTTGCTGCTCACCTCTGATATATCAATGTGCCAAGTGTGGAAGTTTTTGGAAGCAAATTTGTGGAATTTGGAACAGCAAAAATTGTAGCTGTCATTACTTGTGGGTGAATTTGAACGTGTACTCTTTGGAGAGACAGACAAGAAAATGGAATAAAAGATGCAGATTTGCTGATTAGTAACTCTTGTCACGTGTGTTTTCTCTTAATGTTAAATATGTAATATATTTTAGGATACATGTGATATATGCTGCATTAAGCTGGTCTTTATTTGTTAAGACACAGGGCCCACTGTGCAAGCCTCATCTCATACAATGTATGAGACATGTACTGTATTTCTTGGCAGTAATAACAGTAAGTTTAGCGTCTCTGAGTTTGTTTCCCTGAGTGACTGATATCTGCAGTTTTTAAGACATAAATAATGTATTGTTTGTAATATGTATGTTCATTGGTGGTAAGGAAGGTTGTCTACTAATAACTTAATATGTAAGGAGATGTCTACAAAATAATACAAGCCAACATGGATAAGGTGAACAGCAAGTTTATTGAAGTACTACTGTATTGAAAATTCCAGCACAGTTTCAACTCAGCCTCAGTAGTTTGGCAGTGGACAGTTAATTACCGTAAAGTTATAAATAACGTTACAGTTGGAAAAGACACCTTCCTTCATGATCTAACAAAGATCTGAAAATAAAATTTTTCTACAGACAATTAGGACAGTAAAGCAAAGTTCTTGCCATAGTTTGATTTCACGTTTATGAAATAACAGAAATATGCATGTCAATCAATACTTAAAAACTTGCATCTGTATCTCAAATAACTTACTGGTAAACAAACATGTACATTTTACAAGTCTCTGATTCAAGATATACATCTTATAGCAACATATATTTCTCGTATAATGTCATATGAATATGGCTGTGAAACCATATTACATATCTATGCGAAACCATACAACTTCTTGGCATAAAATGACTAACACAGCACGCCCGATAATAAAAGACTTGGTAAATCACGTACATGTATTTCCCTCATGCTGCCTTGTACACACACATTTTTCCAACCCTCTTGGCGAGTTCTTTCTGTCCACTCCGCCTCAGAGCTTTCTCTATCCCCTTCACATCCGCCTTCTTGCCGTTGACTTCCACCCAGGCAGTCAGCACTTCTGTCACCCTCTGGCGGCGGCTGGAGTTCGAGTCTTTGATCTTCTTAAGGACTCTCCTTGGAACCTTCTTACCGGGCAGGTTCTTGGCAAACTTCTGCCAGCGGACCGACAAATTCTTGGCGACGTATTCGACTGCTTTGCGAAGGTTATCGTCTGAAACGGAATGACACCGATATGTTTTATTTAAGGAAACATACTCCCTTTGCCCTCACTGATTATTAGCCTTTAAAAAAAGTTGTATTTTGACATTTCTTTGGTTGATCTGAAATAATTAAAGGGAAGTGTAATATGTACCTTCAATGGTTTGCGTAGTTGAACTGTTGTTAGGACGATCCGTTTCCTCAGATTGTGAATCCGCACAGATTGCGTCACGGTGACGGCTTCCGTGTCGTTTGAAGGTCAGGCCAAGTGCAGTGCAGTTCCTGTGCGGGCGACAGGGGACGGTGTTGGACGTCTCATCGGAGAAGGTTCCTTGTTTGCACCTCCGGCACACTACATCAGAATTTGGGGTGCCTGGAGGGAAAAACAATTCACAAACATTAATTTGATTTGCCGTATCGATTTCAAAGTTCCTGTTGACATTTAGCTTAGACAAAATCGATCACAAGTTCAAGTAAACATGACGTCATCCCCACCTTTTCTCACGACCCCATGCCCACGTGGACATCGTCTGTGTGCGCGGCAAATCTCAAGGTCCAGGAAAAAGCCAAGTATGCACTCACACCTGGAACAACAATCGGTTGTTATTTCAATCTGAAAACGTCTAAAGATTGAAGTACAATAATCGTCATTTTTACGAACAGAATTTGATAGTTGCAAATACCCTTATTGCCCGATGCCTTCAGACTTCAGTGCTATACTACCTTCAGTAGTTATATTGATATAGCCTGTGTGATAAAAGCAAAGTCAAAGCGAAGCGATGAGGAACTAGAACTGTGCTATATTGGAACCTAACATCGGCTAAGTTTGCCCTTGGGGTGTTGTTTCCATGCCCATGTCTTTGTCAGTCGCATAACAGGCTGAAAACCACCTGTTACATGTCCCGTCATGCAATGCGACACGTTCAGACCGTGACTTTGAGTAGTGAAAATCAAACGTTTGAACTAAAAAGAACAAATAGACATCAACCAACAACATAACCCCCATGAATGCGGAACGTGTTTTTACTTTTTTTTTTCTCGGATGGCAGGTGTTCTTAAAAGGGAAGAGGATGTTTGCTTCAATGGGGAGTGACCATCATGAGTTGTACATCGTGGGTGTACAGTGTACTATATTATAAGAGAAAGTATCCAGAACTGCTGTGTGGAACGTCTCACATTAAGGCCTTTGATTCTTAGATTAGTGAAGAAGAAAGACTTCGATGCACCTGACTGTCTTTGGGTATCGTTGTTGCTAGCAACAACGACTTGATGTAACACACCGTGAAGTTCCTGAATTGCTTCCGACACGAAAGAATAAGTTACATTGTGGACACGACACTATTGCATGATTAGGTTCTGTAAACGAGATGCTTTGTGTTGTATTCTTTACACACGCACCTCTTTGAAGGTAGCTTATATGTACTTCAACAACGCCGATGATTCACTTCTTTGGCACTTCCAATCGCCCACATTTCCTCCCCCACATCGCTTCCCCCTCCCGTAAACTAAATTTAAAACGATTTTTCACAATCTTTTAAAGCCCTGTGTAACCGTATCTTACTAAGGCAGAGTTGTAGTTACCTTCTGTTGTGTGTCGTGGTGCATTCTTCCGACACTTTCTGGTTGGGTTTGCCACAAAACTCGTTGCAGTAACGACATTCGGGTTCCCAGTTATAGTACTCGGTGAAGTGATTGTCAGGACACACCTAGATTGAAAAACCAAACGTATAGAGTCAGACCTTAGGAAAAACGTTAAAACTGTTGAAATTTGAAACAGCTTGTCGTACATTGCTGCCAGCAACAACAACGTGAAAGTGCAGTTGAATCGCCTGCTGTTACAGATGTATAACCTTGAGGTCAGCTACTATTAGTGGCTGATATCACTCAGCACATGTTCGGAACATGTGTGTGCAAGGAAAGGCCGTCAGCCCGTACCTGGCATACGGTGGGACTGTTGGCTGTACAGTAGTCCTTCAAACGTGTTCCAGGCGGACACTGGTCGCACAGTAGCCGCCGTCCGCTCGCTGGATCTTTGTATTTGAACTTGGGGGATGAGGTAACGTTCTGTACTGGCTCACCAGCCACGAACAGGACCTAATGGTACAAAGATTAAAGTCAACGTTTATAACCCATTGTACATATATGTACATGTTTATACATGTACATGGGTGCTTACTGTTTCCCCCTTTGGCCTCACGTATTTTATATAAGCATACCGTTTACTCAATGTCTAGACTGTCCTAAGGGCTAACGTTTCTGACGGGCTATATTTAGAAGTTTGTCCTTATTAATGCACATCTTGGTTATAATACGCACTGCTTACATATATACATCAAGACAATAGGGGTTGGGAAACCACAGAATGATTCATATTTCCTTGTGGTAAGAGAAATGTCAGGAATGACGCAGCTGAATTAAAGTTCCCTGGTACAGTACTATTTAAATGCCTCCAACTGGAATTCCCCTGACACGTAAGCACTCAGGGTGGGGGTCTTATTTTCTTAAGACACAGCCCCAGGGTTAAGACTTATATTGAAGGTATGTAACATTTACAACAATGTGAATGAGGGAGATCTTACCGTCGTGAGGATGACGACAACAGCACTTCGGAGTAAAGCTGCCATTTTTCAGGAACTTTGAAAACATCTGGCTGTGTGGTTACGTCGTTATGACGTTTACAAGAGGCGTGGCTAACACAAAGGGTGACTCACGGGGGAATCCCCAACTTTTCATGATCACGAGATGATCCCGTGATCTTGATCGCAGATCACCAATTGACATAGTAAATCCCAGTTCAGTAGATGTAAGGAAAAGTTAATGCAATACTTATAAAGGAGAGCAGAAACATTTTTCGTAGCTATTAGATCCAGCAAGAACGTGGCCATGTATGGGAAGTTAAATGTCTGGCACAGGTCCAAACTCCAAAGTAGGAGATGACAGCACACGCAATGCGGTTTCAGGATACATTGCATATTGTGAAGTCAAACTAGTGACGTGTTAACGTGACGATATCATACTAGTCACGTTAAGTCGCTAAAGGCATTTTTGGTCTCTCGCTTGCGTTTAATCTCTGGCGATCATCGGGAATATTGGCGTATTTTGCATTTCGATGCGTTCAGTTCACCTGACGTTTGACACACCTGTTGACGACTTTCAACCCTTTGACGTCACCGCATTCCGTCATAGGGATGGCCTGCATTACGAACTTAGGGCCAATGAGCACGTAACAGCGACAAATATCTACACATCATGAGGAAGACATACCATCTCACATGGAGAGTGCGGTGTCCCAAGATGTGGCTGCACGCCTGTACACTTGTGTGTGTCGCGGTAAGGCCATGTTTCACAACAGCGTTTGTTTGTTTTCTACCTTAAAATATTTTAGTTGTGGGGGCTTAACTAAGGGGGAGGGGGTGAACGTGTTTGCGTATGACAATCTCAGTCTTTGTATTCCAATGAATTTTTTGCCATACATGCCAGAAAATCTGTGAACTTCGTATAACTTCGGCATCGCTGTACCCACTTGTCTAGGACGTCTTAAATTATGTACTCGGTTTCTCGGTTTAGTCTTTAATCATAATTTTAAATACGAAACGCACTTCCTTTGCCTATCCATATCTTTCAGATCTCTTTACTTGTATGTGAGGCACGTGCTTCAGATCCGCCCCCCAAATGGCAGCACGATGACCCCATCTCCGGTAGAACTGTGTACTGTGACTGGTGTAAGCCCGGAGAGTACATGAACCGGCCCTGTACGGAGCAGAGTCCCACAGAGTGCCTCCCCTGCCCCTGGGACCACTACACAGAATACTACAACCAGGAGCCTGAGTGTCTCCTGTGCCACCAGGAGTGTAACCTGAAGGAACATGAACACGAACATGAGGCCCTGCCGTGTACAGCCGTGCAGAACCGCCAGTGTGAATGTGATGACGGGTACTACCTGTTGTTCGAGTTTTGTCTTCCTCACACAGAGTGCGAGATAGGAGAAGGCGTCAGGGAAAAAGGTAAGGTTTATTTTTGACAAATATTTTAAAATAATACACACAGCAGAATTATTAGCTACGTGTACTTTGGGGGAGCTTTCGAGGCGCACTCTGTCTCTTCGTCATTCCAGCAAGGTAAGGTTTGTCTTTTTGTTTGTGCGCGAGTTTTTGTATGTTTGTCACTTTGCTTTTGTGTGTGTGTTTATGTGTGTGTTTATGTGTGTGTTTATGTGTGTGTGTGTGTGTGTGTGTGTGTGTGTGTGTGTGTGTGTTTATGTGTGTGTTTATGTGTGTGTTTATGTGTGTGTGTGTGTGTGTGTGTGTGTGTGTGTGTGTGTGTGTGTGTGTGTGTGTGTGTGTGTGTGTGTGTGTCTCATGACATACATAGTGACATACATAATGACATATATATGTATTTCCATATCTGACTTCTCTCATGACGCTGAGACTGACACGTACACTGCGCAAATCACGATTGTCCTCTTCCCTCCCGTCACTCATTGTCACTGTAGGCACCCCGTGGAAGAACACGAGATGCATGCGCTGTGGGTCAGGCACGTTTTCAGACGAGGTGTCCAGCACGGCGGAATGTAAACCTCACACGGACTGTACCATTGAGGGGGAGTGTGTGGTCCAGGAGGGCAACAGGCGGAGGGACAACACGTGTGGCACCTGCGCTGTCAATGGAACAGGTATGTGTTCACCAGGAACTTCAGCTTCTTTTTATGTTCTTGGCAGTTAGCTAATATTAAACTTGTCAAAGTTACTCACACATTCCCAGTGTTTATTATAAAAGGTGGACGGACAGGTCTTATTGCTAAAGTCACATTCAATAGATCTATGTTTAAGTTTTATCCGAAGTCTATAATATCTGACCTTTTATCTTTTAGTGTCCAACTCGTCCGTGAGCGACGCGACACAGGTGCCTCCAACAGAAGATGGAAACACAACCGGCTATGAAGGTACAACACAGTAGTACAAAATGAATTTTATCGCCATGTGGTAAGGTTATTTCTTGCCTTTCTTGTTAAAATCGTACTCAAAAAGTTACTCGTGGTAAAGCTTTACGTGGTACAGACAGTATAGTTTTACTTTCGTATAACTTTCTGACCAGCAATATAACGAAGACGTTTTATTAATATTCATTGATTTCTTCCTTACAGACGCAAACAAGTCCGATGACGCCACCAAGACCCCCCACCCTGGTGGCTCGACATGGGGGCCCTACTGGCTCCCCTACTTGTTACTGGGGCTGGTCATATTCATTGCCGTGATCATCGTGGCTGCTGTGGTCACATTATGGAGGGACGACCCTGCAGTACAGAGCAGACGGCGACTGCCGTCAAGGGTCAGTCTGACAGAAATCTTTGTCAAGCGAGCCTCTCAAACCAGCATTGGGAGTGCGCCAGGACCCAGCGAACACCAGCAGCCTCTGCTAGAGGATAACACAGGTCAGAGAAGGAGGTCGAGTCAAGAAAAGGCGGCAAGGCTCGTAGGCCACACTACCGCCGCCAAGAGGTTCCAGAGGGGACTCTCCGTCGAAGAGGAGGAGAGGACCCCGTCTCTTACTTCCGATGAAGGTGTGTATTGCGCGACAAAAAGGCCTATATATTGTCCATAGAGGCATCGTCAGAAATGAATACATTGTGCACGGTGTTTGCCACAGTCTTTAGATGTACTGGCCATGGCAACCTCCTTGGCCATGGCTAGTACTTTCACATCGAATTAATTTTCCCACTTTTATTGCTGCAGAGCTGTCCCGTGAGAAGGTAGCTCTTTCTCACGCTGACCACATAGCCGAGGACATCGGTGCTGAGTGGAGAGCCCTGGGTAGGAAACTGGGCTTCAATGACGGCCAGTGTGACGGTTTCCAAAACGACTACCAGGTAAGCTTTCTTCTTTCTCTTTTTGTCAGTATATGAAGTAGCTTCGACTTTTCTGACCAGACAAAGTTATTGCGTTTCTCTCTTGGAATCTCTTTGAGTTTGAATATGTTTCGGAGGCTATATTTCTAGATAAAATAAGATTTGCTGATGACAAAAAAACTGTTTTCTCGTGCTTTTCCAGGGACTGAAAGAAATCACGTACCAGATGTTGCGCAAGTGGATCGAAGTGAAGGGAGAGGGCGCCACGCTAGGAACCCTGGGTAACGCACTTGTTGACGTGAGGAAAGAAGACGTCAGGTCAAAACTCTTTACTTTCGAACACGGGCGCCGGCTGAGTAGAGACGAGTCTTCTTAGAGAGTCAACCATGTCTTCCCATCCAGCTTGTTTTTAGAATATTGTTGGATGCTTTTTTTCTACTGTGCAACCAACCAGGTATCCATGTTGTGTTGTGCGACCTACCCTTTTCTAATACTTGGCATGGTATCAAAGCAGACAATTGACAATGTATCGAAAAACTTTAAATTTATCTTTCATTCAATGACATTAGGGTACACGCCGTGCATATTTTTAACTGTACTGTTTTTTTAAGTGGTACATATACCCCACAAATGTTGCACGAGTTGGATTGAATTCTGCCAGTACAATATACAGAGAGCCCTCCTCGCAATTTTGCCGATCGTGGAACGGTAACCAAGAAGACTTTGCTGTATTTCAAAGTGATACTATCTTAAGGCTGCTATATGACAGTGCTGCAATAACGTGTGACACACGTGTATACACCATATGTTGTTTTATTAATGGTGATCTGTGTATGTATCATGGTGATATTAGTAAGGGAAACATCATGTAAAATCTCCAGCCATATGATATATAAAATATTTTACGATATATATGTGACAACGAATTGTATCAATACTTGTAGTATAGTATGTAAGTACGGTGGTAAGATCGAGGGTATATTTTGTTGACCATGGGATCAATTCTGACAAATATTTGTATATATTTGTACATTTGATACTTTTACATAAAACCAATGTAAATACATTGTATTTGAAATAGTATGCGTCTTGCTACGATGTTTGTTCCAGTAGCGCCTCTGCCAGTTCCGGTTTTCCTACTTTACTCAAAGCGTCCACGAGTTTCCCTAACGTCACGTCCCCTCTCCTCTCGTCTATCCACGTTCTCAGCATCTGAAACACGACCTCTCTCAGCTGTAGACCGTAGTCGCTCTGAAACCCGTCCAGCCGCCCGTCCGAGAAGCCGAGGTGATCCCGGCCGAGTTGACGCCAGGCGCCGCCGATGTCGCCAACGATGAGCTCGACATCATCTAGGTTGGCGGGGCGGCGGCGTAGTTCTGGAAAAGGTAATATATTTCTATCATTTATCCATGTTCGTTCACTCAAACACTCACTGTCCGGTTTATCGTCAGCTGTTCCCCGACTTAGACGTGCTTGCACTGCATTACTGAGGCTTGGTGGCAGCCTACCACCTGCCTCTGTCCGTGTTATAGATGCATTTTATGAAGTTTCTACCTTTTACCGCTATTAAATTATAACGTTTTTGGACTAGATGTGCGATAATTGAGCTCTTCAGATTTGCGCGTGCATTTTGTGACAGATCATCGACAGTACACTTACCATCGTCATTTGGTCGCGATTTTGTCCTCCTAAGTCTGGGCACGGTCGGAGAACTTGTACGGGTCATGGCTAACGGGTTTCTCCTAGCGGAAGTTGTCTGTCTTGCAGCAGCAGCAGCAGTATGAGCGTGGTGGGTCTCAAACAGTTCGTCTACTTGGTCAGATTCGGTGGGAGGACTTTCCTTGCCCTTAGGGATCCCTACAAATGAAACTATGGGTGTTTTCCCTGCTAAAGTCGTCTGTAGGGGCGGAAGTCCCTGTGACGTGTCAGCCCGCCGTCTTCGGAATGTATGAACCACGCAGCAAAACGCAACTGTGAAAAGTTGAAATTTAAAAATAACAACTTTTTTTCTTTCATGAATCCATCTAATGTGCTACCAACATTTCTTGTTCAAGTAACACATTTTAGATATACAATGTATTTCAAATATCTGTTACATGGCGACGTGTCTATGGTAAAATGATATTTACAAGAACCAACATAAATATATAATGAATCCTTGTCTTATGTACCTATAACTGCTGCAATGATGACTATAGCGATTGTGACGTAAACTATCGGCTCCCATCTTACTTCTGTCACAGTGACGTGTTTCAGGGTCGCGTTGTCTTCTTGCCTTGCCGCTGATGTTCAGAAGTTATTTGATACAAAGAAAAAAAAACTTATCATCAAACTTATCATCAATAATATTGCTCATCATATCTACATTTTTATGTAACATTTGCTCATTGTTTTATGTGCATGAAAGTAGCGCTGTTTATTCAAAAATTATCAAACATTAATAATACGGAAGCCATATATCACACATACCGGAGACAAACTCTGTTGATCCCGCCGTAGGTACAGTTGTTTCGTCTTCAGACTTCGGCGTGGCTGCTGGATTCCATGTGTAAGAGATAGGCAAGGGAACGATAAAATCAATACACCTTAAAATGGATCCACAATAATCATATGACAAAGGGTGTTGAAAAATTAATCTAAGCCATACAAAGAGCTTGCTATAGCTTGCATTAGATGGACAGAAAATTGTGTTTTAGGGGCCGTTACAGATATGTCTATGTGTTCATCTGTTCTAGATCCGCAAGTCTAACATTCACACATTTAGTAAAAAAAGCTATATCCGTACTTGTGACGTAGTCCGGGCATATCTCACAGACGTTGTCGACCCCCCTGTTGCCCCTCCGTGTGACACACAGTCCCATAGTCCCACAGTCCGTGTGGTTCCTACACGGGGCTATGCTGGACTCCACGTTAGAGAACGTGCCTGAACTACACCGTCTGCACTTGGTGTTCGTCCAGGGGGTCCCTGAGAAAAGCGATATTTTGGATATACAAGTTTTTCTGATAAAATGCTTTAAGTATTGCCCTAGCCTCAAAATTAAGTTCTGGAATTAATATCAAGAGACATTAAAACAATGACAAACGCATTAATACTACCAATAAAAACTTGTAAAACATTAATCATTATATTGCTGAACGTTCAAAATTTCAGAAACGAAAGACGGGATTGGTTTGCATATGCATGATATACCATACCTCTCTGTACAACCCCGTACCGGATGGGACATTTAGTGTGAAGAAAGCAGAATTCTGCGACCAGGAAGAAGCCGTCTTCACAGACGCACTCTCTGTTGTTGGTAGGCGTGCACTCTAACAGGACACGCTCGTGGGCCTGCCATGGGTTAGTAGACAGTAATATCACGATAACATATAGTATATGACACGATACTACTGAGAAGTATAGAAGTAGTCTCTGCATTCTGCGTTGCATACGTACTAGCTTATGGTTGATAGAAATGTATACTTTGTCCGACGAGTATATAATACTAGTAGTTTACAAGGCCTAGGGAATTTTGATTTCACAAAAGACAAAGTACTGGCTGCTCTTCGTGTTTCTACGTACTTCTAGTAGCCGGTTTACATTGACGCTTTTCCCGGCTACGAAGTATGTTTTAGAATACTTGAACTTCTTGACGATGGTGCAAAAAAAAATATGCGTATTTTTCACGAAGTATACTTTTATAGGATCTTATCTGAAACGTATTTTTCTTTGCCATTGGCACATCCTTTCCAATTATCCCACATACCTTCAGACATTCCCTGCACCGGAAGCACTCCCTGACGTGGTTAAAGTGCTCCGTGTATTCGTTCTCTGCGCATGTGCGGCACTGTGTGACGGTGGTTTGCGTGCATTCCGTGACCATGAACTCCCCGGGAGCGCACCAATCACAGAGCAGCGTTTCCCCCGACAGCGGGTTGTAGTACTCCCATTTGGGGGGTGGTTCGTCTGGCTCACATCTTACTAACAACGGAATCTGGAAAAATCATGTACAGACCTGCCAGTCTTGTTTGTACAATTTATTTACAGTTACTGAACAAAGGTGTGCCGTAAGCTTGCCCTGCAAGTCTGACGTCATTTCAGCCTGACGCGCGAACAGAGTCATCAGCCTCAGCGGCAAAAACAACAATGATCTTGAAGATGTACTGTTTCTATTTACCTACATAAAAAGTCACCATGCATTCAGGATTGTAATAGACTGTAGCTGGCTAACAATACATAATTTGCAGTCTGTCTACGTGCTTTTAGGGGGGGGCGAGAGAGAAACGTTCTTATACAAGGATACAAGTACAAGCAGTCGGGCACTAGAAAGTTCGTTAAGCTTCGGTTGTTACCTGATGTGTTATTCCAGAGATGTCTGACATTTTAGCATCTTCGAACCACCACCTGTACTTGGCCTTTTCCACCCTATAAGGTCATCTACTCCCTACGAAAACCACCGAGCATAGTGAAATCATAACGTGTCAGTACTTACGGTCAATAGAATTCCACAGGAAAGGGTGTTCAGTGTCTTCATGTCCACATCTAGCTGTGCCTTTGGGGAAAGCAACAGAAGGTAGCTATAGAAGTAGTAGATAGAGCAGAAATTCCGCTACATGACAGCCGCCCTCCCACCTTTACCGTCCCAACACGGAATGGCGCCCGCTTTGTTGCCTTAAGTCAGAGGTTAAAGTTCATTGACCTTAAGTACTAGTAACAAACGTAGCTACGTAGCTACAGTTGTCATAGCTAGTGCCGGTAATACGTTTTATCGTTGCTTACTTGATTGTCGTAACAGCACGCATTTTCCGTGTATTTGTACGTTTCTCTGACGATGAATTGAATGAAATCGTGATCAACGTGTTTCAGCCATTATAGGACCATGGTTTCCTCACAATATTGCCTGATTGAAAGGTCCCTTTTGTGAACAATTATGTAAGTTATGTATGTGTCGCGACAGAGCTGGTGGTGTAGATTTAACCATGAATATCAATCATAGACCGCTGATATATAAAAAACGTAAATGCAACCCTGAAAGTGGTAATAATTTATCAGTTTATTATTTTAACTTGTTTGTACAAATATCACCCTGTACAAATATATACAAATATCGATCTCTGAGCAACAATATGCATCCCCTATATTATGTTATGGAGAGACTTCTTGAGCCCTGGCAGAAAATTCATGGACTGACAAAATTAAAACATAAATGCAAACTCTTGGCCCAGGGCTCATTAGCATTGCAAGTACAAAAAGAACATTTGATATGGAAAGACAATGACATGATATTATAGACCTAAAACTTATTCCTATAAAGCTATTGGCCGGATTTGGCTTCAACAATCTTCTATCTCAGTACTCTACGGAAGTGTAGCAGCTTAGATCACAGAAACACCTATTGGCTGTGTTCCCCGATCGCAAGTCCAAGCAAAGTCCTTGCCACGTCTTCTTTCTCCACTTCCACAAGCGCATCCGCAAGTTTGCCTCTCGTCGCTTCTTCTCGGTTCTCGTTTACCCATTGGCGGAGCATCTGGTGAACGATCTCCTGCAGGTACCTGTAGTCGTTCTCGAAGCCGTCCAACTTGCCGTCGCTGAAGCCCAGTCTCCGTCCTAGCGGTCTCCACGCGTTCCCAATGTCTGCAGCGATGGCGTTGGTGTCGTCAGTCGTTACCATCTGTGAACGGACGTCTGAAAAGTGGCGACAGGAAAATAAGCCTTTGACAATTGCAAATGATTCTTGGAGTCCCAGCTAATGGGTCATGATCATCTTTAGACAAAACAACGATTAGTAATGATGATATACTAATAAAAATAAAAATACACACTTTCGTCATTCCGTGACACTCCTCTTCGTAGCCTGGGGCTAGAGCGGATGGGGCAGCATCCCAGAGTGGGAAGATAGTCGGCTAGCTGCTCAACTGCCTGTGCATCATGTGCATGTCCAGACCTGTTCATCAGTGGCTGCATTGTTACACCACTATCCACCTGACTTTGACCTTGTCTACGTCTGTCCTGAGAAGTTCGGCCCAAAAGTTCATTGCACTTTGCCATGATCCAGCGACGTTTAACCACGCCAAGACAGACAAACAGGAAGAGAAGAATACATATGCACCCTAATGCAATGTATCCCGGTGTAGACTCATCCGTCGAGGTTGCAATTTTGCTGGCGGCAGTAGAGTTTGCTGTAAAATGGAAACCAGGAAAGATAAATATTTTGTACTCCAAAACATCTCAGGTGACACAAAAATACTCATTACACAATATATGCTCAAAGTCAGCTGTCACTATCTTATCTTTATATAGATTCTATTTGCCCATGAAGTTATGAAAGCCGATGAAATATCATACGGTTCATACCTGTATTTGTGGATGAGTTGCCTCCCGTAGTCATTTTAGGTGTAGAGACCGTTGTCATAATGACCACTGTAATCAAAGTACCATATTGTTACTCAAGTAATTAAACAAAATTGATGTGTTTTTGTTTTAATTGCAGTTCTACCTAATCACTGTATCTATAGCTAGTATAGCTATATTTTATTGAATATGGAGGAGAAATATCTTAATCTATGCAACAATAATACACATGTACTGTAATACAAATGCTGCGTATAATGTATCCTACCTGTACCATTCGTGGTACAGTTTCCACAGATGTTGTCTTTACGTCTGTTTCCCTTGTCTACCAGACACAGTCCCAGGTCCCCACAGTCCGTGTGATTCTTACATCCCTCTGTACTGGACAGGACGTCAGAAAAGGTCCCCGAATCACAGCGCTCACATTTGGTGTTGCTTGTGGGTGTTCCTGAAAGCGACATTATGGTTTTGGCGGTCAGAAACTGGAAGACTGTGTAACCAGAAATAAAGAAAAAAATGAATTCACTGTAGTATTTCTGCTGACAAACTAATATTCCGTTGGCTGTATTATATATTATCTGTTATCTACCGATATGTCAAGACCGTTACCTTGTTGTTTCACTCCGTACTTCACTGGACACTTTGAGTGCGCAGTACAAACGTCACCGGACAGGTAGTAGCCGGGGTCGCATTCACATTCCGTCTTGGTAGTGGGAGTGCAGTTTTGCGACTCGTGCTCGTGATGCTTTAGGAGAAAAATTTATTAAGATTACCTCAAAGTTTATATTCATTTGTAGACAATGGAGTAGATTGAGAACAGTCGTAATTTTGAGTTACAATAAATAGTATCCAACTTACTACAGTTCCGGTTACCGTTCGGTCATTACAAGCTTCTTGGTCATTACACCGGTTTGAAATCATACATTAATTTTAAACTTTTACACTTTAACACCCATTTCAGTTCTTTTTGGACTAACTGTTTGTGACCACGAATAATCCAGCAGGTTTCTGGGACTGTAAACTTACCCTGTGACATGCCTTACACAGCCGACATTCCCGCAGGTGGTTGTGGAACTCGGCATACCCGTTCTCCCCACAAGGGACACACTCCGTCTGTGACCGCTCGGTGCAGGGACTGCTCATGTGCTGTCCCGGTGGACACCAATCACAGAGCAGAGTTTTCCCTGACAGGGGATCGTTGTGTGCCCATGGAGGAGGGGGCGTGGCTAAAGTTTCATCTTGTCCATCACCGTGCACAACCCCAGCAAGAACCTGAAGAAAAGCACTTTGATTTAGCGGCCTAGTGCTCTACAATAAGTACATGCACTGGTAATCTTCCTCTAAGTTCCTCCGTTTGCATCCTTACGTTATATACTGAAATGATAGCGGGTTTGGTCTTGGATGAACATATTTTATGTCCTTCTCTATATTAAAGTTCGGATTTTGCCGCCTTATATTATCTTACTATGTTTGGAGACCCAGGCAGGTTGAAGATTGCCGCCACATTGCCATAGCCCTAGAATTTCTTAGTTCGGGCATTTCTTAGTTTCTCTTCGAACAGGAAGTAGGAAACAAAACAACAAAAACCCAACCCTCTTGCCTCAGGCCCTAACATTCCCAACTTGCACTTGTAACCCTTGCGAATTGCGAAGCGTATGTGGGGAGCAGGCCCTGACTTGTTCATTACGTCATCGGAATTCCCCGGCGTCCCATGCCGCACCAGGTACGGTATTTCGTGTTTGAAAAAAGAAATAGCTCCAGCGTTTGCTACACAAAGATTATGGCCGCCGATGAAATGCCTCTACAAAAGAAATCAAATTCATGGTCGATGCTCACGCGAATAGAAGTCATACACAAAATTATCTGGCAGCAAGTACAAATGTAACTTGAACCGGAAATGACTCACGGGCCCTGGACGTCCAACCAAGCGAACAATCCGACGAACTTGTGTTCCCCTCATCAAAAATAGCTTCATGTACCCTTTGAAATATGTCACTAACACTACACTTCTCAGGTTTTAGAACACTTCATAGTTTTTGACGAGCGTTATAACCCAAAAACAAGAAAAAAACGTCTTAAGGTTTCATTCGAGTCACCACAAATGACGTCACTCAGGTCACGGTACCTCTCGTGATTTAGGGTATTTTTACTCTTAAATGTCCTATAAAGCTGTCGAATTGTCTGCGTAAACATTATTCTTCACTTAAACAACAGGTTCTGTCGAAATTAGTTATTCTAGATCGTTCTAGAGTCGTCATTGCGCAACACAGTGCAACAGGTTACAACAGACCAAGGCGTTACTGTGTAAACACACGATACATTGTCACTTTCCTCACTTACCGTCGCCCCAAGCGCCAATATGACTCGACAATACATCCTTGGAATCCTAAACTACACCGAAGAGGAGAGTAGCACCATAGATTTCCCAAAGAAAGGTTGATTATACTAGAAAACTTGAGCGCTACATGTTGATACACCCCGCCGGTGTGCCGTCTCGCGGCCTGAATGAGGCAGACCGGTTCCGACCGGAACCTTCAATGAGGTCAAAGGTAGACGAACTCAAATATCAGTGTTCTCGGTACTACTTAATTTTGCTCTCTATTCTGTTCTTTTGTCGGCAAATATGGAATGTCTTTATCACTGTGCTCAGCTGTCTGTACATCTATACCCAAATACAAACTGCCAAAAGCAATATATTGGAGAACATTCTAGATTCTTAGCTTGTCACCTGGTCATGGTATTAGTGTTGCAGATTTTCTGATTTAAGTTTTAACTACTTTATATGACAAAAACATTAAGATTTACAGAAATCTGTCATAACATGCCAGTCGCTTGCCAAGCTTGAACGGCAGGCATGACGATATTGTCAACAAAAATATAGACAACTATACAAAGTCCAAAGATCATTTGGAACAAAAATAATTCTGTGATGATTAACTATACTTGTTTCTTTACAATATTTTGCCTAGATTTGATTCGTGATTTTAGAAATTCAAATTATCATCCAGATCAATGTATGTTGGTTTTGTGAACATATATATACTATACTAACTTGTTAACTTTTCTGCTGGTACTGGCTCACAATGGCATTTGATTCTAGAACCTTCTTTGAGTTTGACTTCTTTGACATGGCCATTTGTCTGTCTTGTACAGTCCTGTTGTCATTCCTTCCTTCAACCGCGTTTTCCCCAGTGGTTATGCACGCATTCTTAGAACCATTCTTAGATAGGCAAGTTACGTTGCGTTGTACGTTTTCTGCAGCAATATACTAGTACTGACTGCATGAATGTCCCAAGGGCCTGGATGTCCCATCCCTACATCTGCTTGGAGATTACTCTCGTTTTGTTCTCGCGAGATCGCTGCGAGACTAGACAGTGCTGTGTTGGACAAAATGGCGGAACGCAGGAAAAAGAAGCAGAGGGCCAGAGAAGTAAGTAAATCCTCGCCTTTTCCACACAAATACAGCTTCATATGACATGACACCAGCCTCTACAGATAGTTACAATTTTCTGGGTTCTCTAGATCAAAAACCATTCCCTACGTTTCGCGCTACGGCGTATGAGCGCCATTGTTTACCTATTTCGTATCATCAGCTGGTATGAAAGTGAAAGAATTTTTAACTTCTGGAATATCAAAGTTTGCTGTTAAATGGATCCAGATTTGAACTAGATTTTCCTCTTGGGTGTGTCCCTGAACGATCCTCTAGCGGACCGCGATACCTGTGCAGACACGGGGAACAGCTAGCAGGCGAGCAGGCACGCCGTGGGAGATGTGGCGTGGTCGGGTGTGAAATGTTGACAATATTGCGCAAGTTTTTACTGAATGGAGGTCATAGACCGTGCCATATGTTGACGGACAGAGTCTGTTGTGTTGATGCTCAGCGTATCTGACGTGAGCCAACAATAAAGAGCTACAGTGAAAACAGGAATATGTAGGAAACAGTCTGACCGAGGAAGAAATAAAAGATTTTTTTCATCAGGCCCAGATCTAAGCTGCAAACAAGGAAAATCGTAGATTTTGTACCTCCGGGTATTGTAATGTATGTTGCAGAATGTTGGGTGCATGTTGGGACTGTTCTTTGAATTAACTAGTGAATTCGCGCGAATACCATTTTTTTTCGAAAAGTTTCGAAATGTTTGTAATTGGCTAAATGATGTGTGAAATCACTAATCCCCCCTAGCCGACTGGAGCCCAAAAATAGAAAGGACAGGAGGCATCCCGTGGCGAATCTGGCTGCCCGACCCTCAGCGACCAGCGATAATGTAAACAAACACAGTAACGGGTGTCCGAGACACGAAAAGGAAATACAAATAATCTTACGCCCCAAAACACATATACAATAAAACAAAAAAAACCTGCACCATCTACAGCCCATTAACAGAAGATACACCGAGTCCCGAGAAGGTCTGAGACAGTATACCACGGTATTCGCCGAAAACATCCGAAATTGCGCAAGAGGGCGTTGACCCCTGACCCATTGGCCCACCCGGAAGTTCGCTGGCTGCGACCCGCGCGATCCCACCAGGCACGAGACGTTGATTGACGGCACATGTGGTTCACATCTGAACAGTTTCAAAGAATGCTGACACCCCTCTGTGTGAAAGGTCAGATCAGTGGTCGCGACCTCAATGGTGATTATACATGCAAAGGTCAAAAGCTGAGGCCCGACCAACACTGAAAGGGGTGTCCATCGGCGGTCTAAACGCATCATTTTCACGCACTAAAACACACATACTAAAAAACCAAAACAACGTGCACCATCTACAGCCCAACAGCAAAACGTATACCAAGTCCCAGACATATCCGTCCACCCAAACGCGAGAAACGGGTGCGAACGCAATTTTCGTCTTCCCTCACAAAACCTCCGCGCTCGGGATATACATCCCTACCCGGAGGTAATAATCTTAGCTGCAAATAATACTTAGTCTAGTAGTTACTCATTCAAGCCTTGTGAGAATCAAGATATGTAGCTGTATAAGACTAGTGTGTAGTAAACATTGTGTCTCCTATCAATGTTGTATGGTTTTGAATTTAAGTGTAGATTGTTCCAGATAAATTCAATTCGCTAGATTAGCAGTCTTATACAATGATTTGTCTCAAATTGTACCTGTTACAATTGTTGTGTGATAACATCGAATTGTCTATAAAACTTGTTAAAACATTGCAACTTATGTTCATGATGTTTCTGCTTTTAGGCTGACTCTGATGGTGTTTCTAAAGAGGAGACGGCCGTTGGTAAATACCTGAGGTTCAACGTGCCGACCAAGAAAACCTCCATCATGAGGAACAATGTGGAGTATTTCACAGGTAAGCTCACCACCATGATACACAACAATGAAGGTTGCTGTAGTTACAAAAGCAGAAGTTAATTCCTGGTTTGTTTTACTACATGTACAGTGAACAGCAATGAAGATTTCAGTATTTAAGTCTATTATTCTTAAAAGTATTTTACCTACTTGCACTTTTATCTTCCTTTGTAAACTACTTCCAACCAACTGCAACAATGTTTTTTGGGGTCTTATTAAAGTTGAGGTATGATTTAGAAGATGATACAGTTACAAAGAGACCAATTCCCCCATCTATAGCCTCCAAAGCTGTGGACAGTCTGCTGGACTCCAAGTGGGCAGAGGGGAAGGGGAAAACTGAAGTGTTGTTCACTCATCGGGAGTCTGCTGTCAACTACTGTCAGAGGTAACAAACAACATGTCTGTCTTAAATCTAAATGTTGGATTGGCTTGGTTTTGCAAAATGCAATGAATAGTTATGTTCTAGTAATGTACTAATTTCATTTTGTTCTGGCCTCATATTAGTCATAATGTTATGATTTGTACAAATAACAAACAGTTCGATCTAAACAGGTTTGCCAATGGGTACACACTATAGATTTTAACCATTTTATCATGTACATCATGCACTTATGCTGTACATGTATTTCTGTTATTTGCTGTTTTTTTATGTCAATTGATTATATGCATGGTACTAACAGTCTAATATTTTGATGATAGGTAAATACTTTTGATGAAAATTCTATTTGTCTTTCTTTATAGACTTCTGGAAAAGGGGATGTTTTACCGAGCCAAGAAGATGGTGAAGAAGGAAGAAAAGAAAAAGAAGGAGGAGAAGAAGACAGAGGAGAAGAAAGAAGGAAAGAAAGAAAAGACCAAGGAAAAGGAGAAAGAAAAGGAGGGAGAAAAAGAGAAGACAAAGGAGAAGCCAGAAGAAGAAGACACTGAAACATCAGGAAAGAAGGTACCACAATTACCATGACTAAACATATTAGACCATACACATGGCTTTGAAATAAGCCCAGAACATTTTTCAATCTCTGAAAATATATGAATGATGAAGGAAAGTCTAATGCATATTTGAAGAATGTTTGGCGTGACCATTGTCAAAATCAAAGAAGCACCGATTTTGTTTCCCTCTTGTCTAAAGGTTGTTTTTCATTAGTCACTTTGTTTTGAAATACCAAGTTGCAACAGAAAAGGGCCCTTTCTACTCAATTTGGATCTCCTAACAGGGGCATTTTGTTTCACCTACGAATAAGAGACTATCGAAACAGCCTCCTGAATAAGAGACCCTTCCCTGGTGACATATAATGTCCCTCTAGTCCATAGCCAGACATTGTTGATGTTGTGTGTTTTTTGTGCCCTCAGGAGGCAGTGGAGGAGCCTGCCAGTAGGGAGGAGGTGAGAATACCGGTTCACAAATCTGGCAGAAACTCCTCCTACACTGCCTACCTTCCTCTCTTCCTGCTACTGTATACACTCTGGTCACACGATTGCCAGGGGGAGGGGGGTGACAGTGCCAATACAATCTCTACAAAATGAAGTAATTGAAAAATAGTGTACTAAAATTCTGTTGGTGTTCACACATAAATGGTTATCATGCCAGACTATAGACTATCAACACAAACTCTGTCTGCATTACAACCAAAACAATGTGATATTCAATTCTTTCTCACATTACAAGTGACAATGTCAGAAAGTCTTTAGTAGTAATCTGATAATAAAATGGAAATAAATGTGGTGTATTCACAGGAGGGGGTAGAAGACACGCCCAGCGGTAAGAAAAAGAAGGAAGTTAAAAGGAAAATGAAGTTGGAATTCCATGAGGAACAGATCTTCTTGGATGGAAATGAGGTATGTGTATTCCTGAAATTCTAACTTATAGTAAGAACCAAGTAGTGTATGGCTTTTGTTGTCTGAGATTATGAAAGTTGCACATGCATGCACACTAATTCTTGTTGTTATAGATCATGTCAGCAGTCTATGAATCCCTTTCAAGTTGATGATAGTTCTGAATGAATCCAGCATGTTTTTTTGTTCCCACAGCTGTATGTCTGGGTGTTTGATCCCATCCACCCCAAGACCTTTGCCCTGGGACTGGCTCTGGGTAAGTAGCAGTATAAAGTTTGGTAACCACTGATATCAATCACTGATATCACAATCTGTATCTATCTGTAACAACTCAAGGAAAATGTCTCTGCATGGTGTAATGTGAAGAAATATCAAACATGTACATTCGTTACATTGCATCATAGAATTAAGCTTGAATTGTTAGATTTTTAGGAGTAACTGTGGAATGTACAGACCAGTGTTTACCAGAACTGTGTGGACTTAACCCTGTTTGTTTTGTGTGTTCCTGTGTCAGTTGTTGCTGCGGTCATCGTGGTGTTGTTCCCGTTGTGGCCGTACGAGGCACGACAAGGCGTGTACTATCTCAGCCTGGCCGCAGCATTCTTCATCGGATTTATCCTGTTCCTGGCTGTCGGTGAGTCACACTTCTGTACATGGACTTGAACTCTTTCTCTAGCATTTAGTATCTTGCTAGTCAATAACTGAATAAGTTAAGTTTCAGTTCAGTTCAGTTCAGTAAACTAATTATATCTTCTAAATATATAGTTTGAATAACAAATCAGGTGCAAGCCTTCTGTAACTTGGTAAGGTGACAATAGCATTAGACTTGACCAGAGACCTCAGAATCTTAAACAATATGAAATCTAATAATTATAACCATGATTACCATCAGATCTTGTTCCAGTCATTTAAAATTGCAAAAAGCCAAAATAAAAGGAACATAAATTTAAACATTAATCTTTGTAATTTTGACCTTCTGTCCTGTTATTGTCAATTTTCCTTCTCAGGTACTTATTTAAATAAATACTGAACTTTTGTATAGTTGTAATGTTCTTGCATTTTTTTTCCAGTTCGTCTGATCCTGTTCTGCCTGATCTGGGCGGGGACAGGAGGACATCACCACTTCTGGTTCCTCCCCAACCTCACCGCTGACGTCGGCTTCCTGGACTCCTTCAGACCACTCTAACTGTACGAGTACAAGGGACCAGATAAGGACAAGGGCAAGAAGGAAGACTCGGAAAAGGAAACAGAGCCACAGGGAGAGAGGGAGGATGAACATGTCGAAGAGGTGGAAAGAAAAGAAGAGGAAGAAACAACGGAAAAAGGAGAGGAGGAGGCTGAATCTCCCAAAGACCAGGACGGATCAGGGTCGGAAAAAGACGCTAACGATGAGTCAGAAGAAGATGAACCAGAGGGAAGTGAGGAAGAAGAAGCTTCAGAGAGTGAAGACCAAGACGTTGACGAACAAGGAGCAGAGGAGGAAGGGAAGTGGGGGGTGGGAGGTGGATACTGCCAATGGTGATAACGGGTTTGAAGTTATAAAGAAGGAAGAGTTGGAAGTGGAGGGGTTAGGGGGACGAAGGGTCAGGGTGACGTCACACAAACACAGGACTGAACACACACGACTGGACACTCACCTTGTACAGTACACATAGCTGGTAGGGTCTCAGCATGTCAGCAATACACGTGGAATATGAAATAGGCATGCTTGTTGCTTATGTTCAGATATAAAACTATTAAAGTGTGCTTTAGCATACCTATTTAAAACTTGGCCTAAAGTGGAAGATTTATTCCTCCCTGTGTCTGTTTGTAAAATTTTCTCTAATGTTTACTGACAGCTACAGGAACAATTTAAGGTCTTACATGTTATTGGTTCGGAAGCTCCATAAAGTAGTAGTTATAATTTGATGTCTAAATAGCTGGACAACAACATAATGTGTTGACATGCATATGCACTACTAACTTAGAACCTCAAAAATATCATTGCTTTTGGCATTAGGATAGATGTTTTGTCAAAGACATGCAATTAACAGAAAAGGTAGATTGCATCTCAACACACACGACTCCAAATTTTCTGCTGTTTTCTCGATCCATCTCCATAATTGCGCGGCTTTTGCACATCTTATGATAGTTCACATGTCTGAATCAGAATCTTAGAGTCCCTAAAAACAGGTCACTTTCATTTCATAAATATAATGATGCTGTCTTTCCAAACTAACCATCCTGATTTACTACAGGGTGCTTCTTTCCTGCAGAGCTTGACAATGTTTTCATTCCTAAGAATGTTGCCATATACTTTCATTTATACTTCAATTCGCCATGTTCTGCTCTGTTCATATATTGACAGAATATATTTATAACCTTGTAGTTGTTATTGTTTACAATGTAGTTTTAAACAGTGTGATGATGCCCATGCTCTGTAACATTACTTACAGATGGTTGAGTGTTAACTTGCCATAGCTTGGTTAATAATAACTAATCTCATGTACAGTTCAGCTGAGATTACATGATATTGTGTTACTTTGTATTCATATATAAGCAAAGGTATTTAATGATTACAGCAATATTAATGGCTACTGAAGTTCCTTGTATGAATGTTATGAAGGAAATGCCTTATAGTTGCATGTATAGAAGTGTGGTTTATCGTATCTCTGTTCAAGGAAAAGTGAGAATAAGAAACTGTTCTTTCTAAATATTAAAGAAACTAAAGTTCTACTACATTCCAATATGGATAGTGGATAGGGGGTTCCCCTTGTGTATTTTCCAACAGGCTAGTTACAAGGCAAGAAGCATCTCAATGTGTATTGTTCGTAAGCTGAACCATACCATACCCCATGGCAATGTACATTTTATTGCATAAAATATAGAATGTATTATATGAAATAAAACTTCACCCATTGTCTTCCAATTATGCTCTCAAAATGCTGAAAACTTGCCAGGAAAAGGACAAATAACTGAGAACTGTTCCATTTGAATACAATGACTTTTATTTTACTTCTATTTAATTCCTTGGAAGTATAAGGGGATGGGTTCTTGCAAAGTGTTATTGTAGAAAAGTTGTGGGTTTGAAACAGTTGCTAGAAAGTATCTTGTGAAAGAGATGACAACTTGTGAACGATGGTGTTCTGTTGTATGTAGATTACTGACAGTGTGAAAAGTTGAAGTCTATATGTTTCTTAAGATTGTAGTCGGAATGGCGAAATGCCATACTTGTAAATATCACTACAACAATAGGTCTTGGAAGACAATTTCTTTCAGATATGCCATTTTTTTCTCGATTTTTTACTCCTTTTGCTCAAAACAATTGTCTCTACATTTTCCCATTTCCATGTATAAATTTCCAGCTATTCCATTGGAAAGGAAAGTTATAGAGGGGCTGTCAGGAATGTTTCTTTCCAAGCAATTCATGATTTTTTTTTTGTTTTTGACAGTTGTAAAAGATACAAAAGGTATATACAGAAGTAATTAGGTTAGAAGTTTTTCCTGACCCAGAAGTGGAACTAAACAGCCTCAAGTAGATTCCTCCTTCATTAGCTGGTGAAGGGCGGTTGTACTGGCTATACAGATAAGTGTAGTACTGTATGATGTACATGTAATAGATGCATCGCATTGGTGCTATCTTTTGCACATTCCTAGAATATTTCTCTCAAAATTTGTTGTCCAAAGACAAGCAGCTCTATGCTTCATCAAAAAAAAAATGAACAGTTACATGTACATGTATAGCAAAGATATTTTTCTTTTTCCTTGTCATTGAAGTTGATATATATACTCCACTGCATACATGTAACATTACATGTATGAGTAAAAGTTTTAATTATTAAATCCTCTTCATTGATACAGCATCTTAATGAATTGTTGACAGCATATTACATTATTATCATTCACCTTATGGAGAAGTTGCCATTAAATTTAAATTGTTTGGAAGAGAAAGAAAAGAATATGTCTCAACCTTCTTTGGTTTCTGACGTCTTGGTTTACCTGTGTGTGGATGGTGTTCAGAGCCAAGGACAGGTTTGCTTGTGGGTGGATGGTGTTCAGCACCAAGGACAGGTTTACCTGTGTGTGGAAGGTGTTCAGCACCAAGGACAGGTTTGCCTGTGTGGGGAAGGTGTTTATTCTACCAAGGAATAAAGTCCCCGCGAAAATAGACGAGTAGGAAAATTTGGCAAGAGTGATATGTTTCATACTGTGGCCACATTACAGCTTATTCTTGAAAACGTTTATTTGTGATGATAGAAATACTAATTTAAAGGTGCCCTGTAGCTGCATTTTCATCCATTTTCTTTTTACCGAGATTGACATTAACGTTAGTATTCTTCGTAATTAGATAATCTAATCGTACTTCTTCGGCCCATATAAGTTCCTGGCACCGAAACGGGCCGTCACTGGTCGCCATAATTACATTACCAGTTTCACATTAATTATAACGTCACATGGCCGTTTTGCACACCTGTATGGCAGTGGCCCATTCAAAATGGCGCTTTCGTACGACGGGGATACTCTGAGCTGATTTTTTAATACAAATTTCTGGGTGCTTTTTAGCGTTATCGTCGGTATAATGTCTTAGAAAGTGTGCAGCAGAAAGTTTGGGAGTTTTCGCTGTGGATTTGTGGCGTTCTGTTGATGTTTTGAAGAGAAAATGCGGATTTCCTGACCTGGCGAATTTTGGAGAAGCCAAAATGGCGAGACAGTTTGGGAGAGTAGCGTGGTATAGAGACGACTTCACTCATTGTTGCAGGTAAATCAACCAATTATTTATTCCTTAGCAACTATAGTACGAACAAGTCAAGTTATATTCCGAAAGAAATGACCTATTCCTGTATTAGGGAGCGACCGTTCCTAATTTTAGACCGGCTTAGAAAAGGTCTTATCAAGCTGCTGCGTTTTCAACATTTTCAATGTGCAATGCGTTTGTCGAGTAGTAAATGTATGTGCATGTCTTTTTAGTCAATTGTTCAGCGTTTTGAGGTTATGTTTGTCGAAGAAATTCTGCACTGACCAAACCTTTTTTTCTCTTTATCTCCACGTGGTTCAAAACACCTGTTGGAATGTGGCCGTGTTACATAATTAGTTATTTTTCCCGCCAAAAATTTGCGTAAACAAGATGGGGTCCTCAAAGCTTCAAGGCGCGAAAATGAATACAATACAAAACAGTTGAAAACTAGTTAAGTCGAGTTGACCATACTTTAATTCTTCATTAATATATATCATTTGTGATGTATAATTTAAAAGCTTGTTCGTTTCCATTTTAGAGTCATTCAGCAAATAGTAACCAAACCCAAGTTTTTGTCCTGCAAACACTACAGTTGACTATGTTGGAAGGTCGCAATTCCTGTTTTCAAAACATTTTGCGTTGAGAATTCTTCGTATTCCACATAAAGTTTCAGTTGAAGGGGGTTGATTTATTTTTATTTTTTTTTTCTATCCCTGTTTTTATGGTCATTATGTCGAGTTTTCGTCAAGGTTTCTGTTTGTTTTAAATTGAAATGATTTATAAGGTGTGTGTGTGCATTGCTACAATGTATACGTACATGTAGTTTTTATTATTTTAGACTAGTGTCTAACTTATGTCTGTATGGCTAGGTGATGACTGATGCAATAGTGATCAGACTACTGTCTGAACCTGGCAAGAGAAGATTGGACAAGACCAGATGATTTGAAGACCCAAGAGGAATATCAGGTGAGAAAAATCTGAATTCTGCATTTTACCTATCATTTACTTGGCATTATTTGAGAGAAGTGTGTAACTTTTAATGTCTGCATAGTATAGGTGGCTGCTGACTGATGCAGTAGTGGGGACTCTTGTCTGAACCTGACAAGACAGATTGGACCAGACCTGTCCAAATGATTTGAAGACCCCAGAGGAATATCAGGTAAGAAAAATCCCAATTCTGCATTTTACCTACAGCTATTTGATGTTATTTGAGACAAGTGTGTAACTTCTAATGTCCGTATAGTTGGGTGGCTGCTGACTGATGCAATAGTGGTGAATTCTTCATAAACCTGACGACAAGATTGGACCAGACCAGGTGATTTGAAGACCGACGATGACTCTCAGGTGAGAATTTGGCATTCAACCTATTATTTACTTTATTTGAGACAAGTGTGTAACTTCTAATGTTTGTATAGTTAGGTGGCTGCTGACTGATGCAGTATTCACTACTGTCTGGACCTGACAAGAGATTAAGATTGGACCGGCGGGTGATTTAGAGACACAAGAGCAAGATGACAACAACAACATCCAGAGGTAAGATCATAATGATTGCTTTTGAAGATCTGTTTAACTCTAGCACTCTTCCCTTATGTCTTACACTTTATAAAAAAAAACACACATGTAGCAAAACATATTTCATATTAATTTTGTATTGCCTTTGACTCGAATAAATGACTAGTATATTAGACTTCTTGAGCACTTGTCAACATTTCTAGGAAGAGGCAAAGTAAAAGGTCACATACAAGAGTTCATCTTTACCTGGTAGCTAGTTACCCATTCATATACAATAGCCATGTACCTGGCATCAATTGGTCTTTTATAATTATGTAGGTATAATTAGGGTCAGCAGTCCTGATGTTCCTGTCCAAACCAGGCTAGATGAGACAGCTGACTTTGAAGTTGAAGACAGTGAAGAGTTTGTACAGGTGAGACCATGGCATGATGCTTTCCAACTTTGTTTTCTGTGTGTTAAGAACTTAGAGGCAACATATAATAACAAGCTACTTTTAACACTTTGTACATATCTAAGCAATCAACTGCAAGCATCATCTAAGCAAAGAGATAGTTAAAGTTGCAGGATTTTATCATTATCTTTCATACTCACCTAGTTGCCTGGAAATTTTGGGGTTAGCATCACACTAATTATTCATTGTATTAGTTAGGTGTGTCCTGACGTTCCTGTCCTGACTGGGAAAAACCTGCGATGACGGCTGAGCAAACCAGTTGACCTGAAGACACAGAGTTTGTACCTGGTTATGCAGGTGAGACAATGTCATAGATTTTTCCTTTCCTATTGGATGTATTATTAAGAGCTGTGGCATAGCTTGCTACCAGTAACACTTTGAAAAGCCTAATTTTTGTGCATCGATTCAAGCAACTTGCTTGACAACTTACATAACTTATTTCTTGCCTCACATGTTATTATTATTAAGAACTCTGAGGTGTAACATGCTACAGGTACAATACATTTTGTAACACTTCTAAAATCAGTTTTCTAGAGCCTAACTCTTTCAAAATCTATTCAATCAATGGGATAGTTGAATTGCATGATGCTATCATTAGTTTGGTTATTCAGTGTTGCCTGGGGATGTTTATCCATCACACATCCTTTTACATTATTTTTAGGTGTGTGCTGAGGCTGTCCAGTCTGGGAGAAACCTGCGATGACAGCTCAAGAAACCATTTGACTTGAAGATGCAGAAGGAAATGAAGACAGCAAAGCAGTGAGAGAAGACAGTGGGCACAGTTGTAACTTGTGAGTATATTTTATTTGTTTAGCAACACACCCAGGCTAATAAATTTCTATCCTATAGTCCAATCATCCAGTCTTTAAAGCTTTCACTGCTTTTAATTGCATAGTATGTCACACTTTTCTAGACTCCTTTTCACATCTTCAAACAATTAGTCTGACAAAAGAGGTTACATTGTATAATGTCTCCAGTATAACCTCCTTGGTCCTACTTTTAGTCATTTGAGATACAGCATGTCACACTTTCTGCACTGTGCTTTGGACCTTTACAGGCAGCATTTAGCTCCATTCTTACTGTCATAAACTTGCATGTTGTGTGACAATTGCTGTTGTCAATACAGTGACTTTTGTTTCTCTGTCTTGAAGATGCGGACCTGGAGACTGGACTGCAGCAGGAGGAAGAACCAGACTTCTGCAGGCAGGGCTGTGTGAAAGAAGATGGGAAGAGTGAGTATGGTTTCTTTATTAACACGAGACAACACTCCACATGCACACACTTGCACTCACATTTCTCTTTTTTTCATTTAATGTATATTGTAGCCGGCGACTTCAATTTCATGTTAAGCAACACTGAAAAAGTCTTCATATTATATGGTTGAATGCCAAATTGTCCCTAAACTGTTCCCTAAATTGTTGCTTCAGACCTTTACAGTAAAATTCTCCCGCCGAAAAACTTCGCATCTAAGCCGGCTGCCTGCCTGTATTCCACGTTGTTATCCTCTTCATATTGTATGAATCCAAAATTGCCCCCAAAATTGTCGCTTTGGACCTTTACACTTAAATTCTCACCGAAAAACTTTGAATCTTAGCTGGCCGCATGAATTCCTTAGTCATCCTCTTCATATCATATGCATCCCAAAATTGTCGCTTTAGACCTTAATACTTAAATTCTCCTGCCGAAAATCTT